CAAAGTTAAAAAGTATTAAATTGAGGTGTTGTGTTTACAAAATAAGCATCAATACGTTTATTTAAAAGTGATTTTATTACTTTTATTTGTAATGATTCCTGTAGATCTGTGACCTCTCAGTCCCCTCAATGCTTTGATTCCATTATGCCTTTACTCTACTGTACTAGTCGTCTTGTATAAAATCTCTTTCAAACTGACGCTTTGTTGCTTATTTGTAGATACAGCACCTCAATTTAATATTTTCTAACTTTGCTGGTTTATACTGTGCTTGGTTTGGACTGTACTGGCTTGAAAATACTAACTACCGATTTGCATCGAAGCGTTTTTTCGAAAGTGATTGTATCACTTTCAGATTTAAAAATTCCTGTAAACCTGTGACCTCCCCATCCCCACTATGCCCCGACCTCACAGTACTGGTTTTTTTTATATTTAAGGAACTTCTCCAAAAAACTGCTGTAAACCGCTTTTCTGAATTCAATACTAGCTACGCCTGTTATATTTTAGAAAGTGTGTTTTGATCTTCATCAAACCCTTTCGGCCTATCAGTTACTATTTAAGAATACTAAAAAAATACTTCTTTCATCAATCACTTAATAAACTGTGCTAGTTTCTGAAATAACTAAAAGTTATTATTTTTTTTGCCAAGTTAAAAATTAAACGTTTAATGCTTGTAAGCAAGCGATAGAAACATCTCCATTTCCATTGGCCCATTAAAAACTTAACTAAAGTAAATTAGTTAACTATTTAGAGAAATAAAAATATGCAAAACAGTCAGTGAATAACATGAATAAGTAATCTCAAAGTTGAGACGCCAAATACTATTTAAAAAAAAAACATTAATTTTAGAAGTTCATGAGCCAGTTCTGGCTTCTGGGCTAGTTTCTTTTAAGTCGTCCGAATTGTTTTGGTGTTTGAAGGTTTTGCTGATCACCAGATAATAATATCATAAGTTCATATTGGGTTCAAAAGGGTAGTGTAAAAAAGGGGCTTGTTTGTTATTGGTATTTTTTAGTTTAGAAGAGGTCGAAGCATATCTAGTCGATAGTTGAGTGCTTTGCGTTTTTCTTTTAAATGTGGTGACCAGGTTAGGAGCTCGTTAAATATTAGGCCTAAATATTTGATTTGAGAGCATTGGGAAATGGGAGTTTCATTTAAGGACACAGTGTGGCGCGAGCTGATTTTATTTCGTTTAATTTTATTTTACAATTTATTAGCAAGGTTTCTAGTGAGTCCAGGTATATAATTTATTGTATATGTAGTGAGAGAGCGAGAGTTGTGGAAAAACATATTCTGGCTGGCCACAACCACATTGGTATTGGGTTGGCTTAAATAAAATTTATGTAAGAACAATTCATTGTACGAAAATTAACCCTACATAGTTTAATTTGAAAAGTACTTTGATTTCATATTATTTTTCAACACGTTATCGTGAGCTAAATTCCAAGTTTGTAAAATTGTTATTGTGGTTGTGTATTGATTTAAAAAAGTGTTTTTGTGTGGGCTATTACTCATATGTTGTTCACTTCGATACGAATCCGAGAAAAATAAAACACCAAAAACAATGATAAATAATTGTGTTTTTGCACCCAATACTTCAATTGGAAACCTAAATTTGGGCCTCTGCGGTGAAGAGTTCTACACACGTTGGAAAAAAATCGTTCTAGATAGAATAAAAAAAAAATATTATAGGTATATTCCATTTAATGCAAATGGTGTATGACTATCAGGTAACTGTTTGAACAAGCCTACAAAACATCACATCAAAATAATATGTTTTCTTCTTATTTCAATGAATAACACTTAAAGTGTGTTTTCGTGTAAGAAACTATATATACAATTTTTTGGAAAAGTAATAACAATAATAAAACCATGTATTGTTTTCAAAATGGTTTAAATAATTATAAAAATAAAATAGTAAAATTATTCATGACCTGATGCAGACATTTTTAGGTGCCCTTAATTTACCAATTATTGCAAGTGTAAAAAATATAATTCAGCAAAATACTAATTGTAAAAGTTAAAATGATGTGCAATTTGGGATAGAAGGAATGTTCAAAGTTGTACAAAACTATGTGTATAGTGAGGCCACAAAATAAAAATATGAATACATGAAACTTTAATAGTTGTGTAGCTAGAACATCTTAATATTTATTCACAAATTTAGAATATTCTTTAAACATAGTACCTACTATACCGATAAATACAGACATAACCAAAACATATCATAAACCCTTTCCACTAAAAGAGATAGACATTTCTTCTTTTTTTCTCTTTTTCAAGCAAAGTTTTAGGGATTTAAGTTTGAAAATTAGACCGGAGGAAGATCTAGAACGAAACTATAACATATACAATTTTCTCAAAATTCTACAGTGAAACTTTTTTCTATCAAGGAAAAACTCCAAAAAAAAAAGAGGAAATCTTAGCTTTGACCGAGGTTTCCAGATAAAGAGCATACTTGTCAATAGGTGCAATGCTTTTATCGATATTTGTATTTAATAATTCTCGTAGACCTGTGATCTTACCGTCGCCACTATGTCCTAAGCCAACTGTACTGGCTTTCTTTAACATCTATTTTTTTTTGTTATTATTGTATTAAATATTAATTTTACTAGTGTGGGCCTATGTATTCTAACAGAGTCAGCAAAAGGTGTTTTCAAAACCGATTGACTTAGGTAAACGCATTAATACATTTTATAGGACGTCGATGAAGGTAATTTTACAACAAGCTTTTAAACCGGAGTTGAGAATTTGAACAGTTTGCCTCCTACAACGCGCGACAGTTTACCTCCGCGCTATGGTGTACCTCAAGCTGTGGCAATCACTCGTTATCACACATACACTATCACAAATCTGTCTAGAAAAATTTCTTTTGTTGCGCAGTTTGCGTTGAAATTACAATTATCATTAAATTCAAGTTTTGTTTTGACTTTTTGTTAATAATTGAGATTTCCTTTTGTACCTACACTGAATTTCTGTGAATTATTACTAGTTAAATTAGATTTAGCGCTATAGTAACAATTTGTTTTCAGCATTGTTGCTACGGGTCCGATTCGTGAGATTCTTTAGATTTTAATCATAACATCTTTGTCGATGTCTGTGATAAATACCCAACGTGTTGGGTCGTGTTTCGTTATTTGGTTTCGATTTGCGTTACAATCGAGTTTTGTCTTGCCTGTTAATAATTTATTATAAGGTTTTAGTAGCTGCCCTGGGCAGCGGTTTACGGTTCTTCTGTGTGTGTGAGTACCTACAGCTTTGTATTTCTATATTATTTACATTATTGCCGTGTTTCCATTGATTTAGGAAATAAATGTTAATAAATAGAATCATAATCTATGTGTGTTTGTTTATTACTTATTATTTACTTGGAATCTGGTTGAATGACATGGGATCAACGCCACTTTAAATTAATCTATTCGGTCAAGTGGGCTATCGTCTAGCTTTAATCTTTATTGTCAAAACTTCTTACCTACAAGTCATACTTGTAACATTGCGTCATTCGTCTAATTTTATTGAATTAAAATTTAGTTTTAAATGTTTATAAAATACAAAATATACCACTCAAAACTTTGTTGGATTTTTATTTTTCAAACCATGTAAACTAAATTTTTCTTTATCATATCATTATTATGACTTAATAAAATAGTTAAAATTATGTAATTAAGTCGTCCTATTAAACCTCAATGAATATATGGCACAGAAATATAACTGTCAACTAATGTTAAATGTCAATTATAGAGTTTGGAAGCTGTACAATATGTTGAAAATTAAAGAAGAAAATGATGAAACAAAAGAACATTTTTTTGAAAATTTGTTTGAACCTAAACCGTTAGATGTACAGTTTATAAAGAATGAAATTTCTACAATAGAGGAGTATTTGGTAAAGAATGAAGTCGACAGTACTTATAAGTAAGGCGATTTTTATAACCATTTTTTTTTATCCTTAATAAAACTATTTAGCTTTTGTTATTATGTCGTCCTCTGTAATTTAAATATAAAATGTAATTAATGATGTCCTAATACATTTTCAAAATAGTATTAATGGTATTATTTAAACAATTATCTTTGGCGCTATAAGAAGTAAAGAGAAATATTAACTTTTCTTGAGTAACTTAATCCACTTATCTTTACCTTCTTCTATACTTAGCTTTTTTTGAAGTATTATAAATGATAAAGGTTTATATTATATAAAACATTAGACTTTATTTAAAACTTGTTATCGATCAGTCAAATTTTTCAATAAAATATATACTCTTTTAAAAATAATTGTTTGGTAAATACTATTTTATAAGTTAGATATATAATACATCAGTGATTTTTATTTTTATCTCTATAAAAATGAAACTGTTTATTTTCTAATAGTGAGTTATAAAGAAATTCAAAATTTAAAGCGTATTTAAAAAAAATGTATTTTTATATATATATATATATATATATATATATATATATATTGACTCTCCTTTTAGCTAATAGACCTTTTATGCTTACAAAACAGGCAAAGTTATTGATCTATTTATAGATAAAAGTCTGAACCTATCCCTTATTTAGCTATTGAAGTATAAAATCTCATATATCCTAAAAGATAGGTACTATGCTTTGTACACCGGTTTGTGTTGAGTCGAGTTATACGGGATCAACGTCACTTTAAATTAATCTAGTCGGCAAAATGGCAAATCGTACCGTCTTAACTTCTTACCTACAAGTCATACTTGTAGTTTTATGTTATTCATCTAATTTAAGTAAATTAAAATTTAGTTTTAAATGTTTAAAAAAAAACATAGTATACCACTGCAAAATTGGTCGGTTTATATTCTTTATTTATTTTTATTTTATACAAGCTTCGGAAACTTAGGACATTAGCTGTCTGCTTTTTTATAATATTATTATTACTCTATTTGTTACTAAAAAAAATCGTTAAAATTGTGTAATTAAGTCGTCTTATAAAACCATGCATGAATATTTGACACAGAAATTCAACTAATGTTAAATTTCAATTATAGAGTTTTGAAGCGGTATAATATGTTGAAAATTAAACATGAAAACGTTGAAACGGATGTCATTGAACCTCAACCGTTAGATGTACAGTTCATAAACAATGGAGTTTCTACAACAAAGGAGTATTTGGTAAAGAATGTAGGCGACAATACTTATGAGTAAGGCGATTTTATTACCATTTTTTTAAACTAAATAAAACAATTAAGGTTTTGTAATTATGTCATCCTCCTCTATAAACCCGTCGTTGGTATCGATGTTAGCGTTTCGCTAACATTAAACTTAAATTAGGAGCTACTTGTTCATATAATAATAGATTGTTTTAAAACTACAGCTACCTCTTATCAATATAATTTAAAATCAAAATACCAAAAAAAATAAAATTGTAAACATCTATTTGTAAGTATGATTACCGATCAAAGTCTGCAGTACCGCATTATGTTAGCGTACGTTTGCACGAGACTTACCGTGTTATATATTATATAAATAAATAGAAAACATTTATACATTACATATACACGAAATCTAATACATTTTTTTATATTGGTTTTGCATAAAACCTCGATAATCTAATCTTTTTATCCTCTTTTTAGCTAATACACCTTCTGTCTTCTATGCACACACAACAAACCAATTTATTGGTCTATTTTTAGAAAAAATCTTGCACAAAAAGTAATTTAATAATTTGGGTTTTATTAATTACAGAGTTGATGAGCGTTATAATATAGCCAACATTAAACACGAAACTGACGAATTGGTGGACGAAACACAGCCAGACATAATTTGCAACGTGTGTTTGCAGTCGTTTACTTCTGAAAGGAAACTGAACCGTCATGTAACATCATCACACAATTGCATTTCTAATACCAAGGGTTATTTGATAAAGAAAGAAATCGAAAATACTTATGGGTAAGGTTATTTTATTTATTGCAAAATACATTTTTTGGTATTTCATCTAAAATCAACTAAATGAATTCTTAAAAACGATGCATGTTTGATGCATTGTGCAATATAAGTAATATTAATACTTGCTGTATGACATCAAAATATAACCTTAAATAAATATTTTTTGTTTTTTACTTGTTGCAGAATTCATTACCCGTGTAAACCGACCGATTCTTCAAATAATACAAAACCCATAGATTGCAGTTTTATTGAAACTATAAAGAACAATTCAGAGAAAAGTATATACAAAATACGTCAGTTCGACTGCAATATATGTCAAAAAAGGTTTACAACCAAAAGTAAAATAATCCGGCATATTGTGAAATCGCATTCCAGTACTTCCATTGGAAAGAAAGCGCCTCGAAAAAATAAAGTCGATCATCGAAACAGCAGAATAAAAGGGTATACTCGAAACAATGATGGCCTATTTAATTGTGGCATTTGTTTAAAAATGTTATCATCAAAATCAAGCCTGAGAAAACATTGGCGCATTCATACGGACGATAAGCCCTTTAAATGCAATGTCTGTGAAAAAACATTCAGTCAACAAATTAATCTGGAGACACATGCACGTATACATACCGGAGAGAAATCCTTTAGATGCAATTTCTGTGAAAAAACATTTGGTCGACAAACTACCCTCAAAGTTCATGAAAGGATACATACCAGAGAAAAACCCTATAAATGTAATATCTGTGAAAAAACATTTCGTCACTGGTCTTCACTCAAAACTCATAAAAGGATACATACCGGCGAGAAACCTTTTAAATGCGATGTCTGCGAAAAAACTTTTGGTCGACAGTCTTACCTGAAAACTCATAAAAGGATGCATACTGGCCAGAAACCCTTTAAATGCGATGTCTGCGAAAAAAGATTTGGTCAAAGATCTGCCCTCAAAACTCATGAACGCATACATATTGGTGGGGTACGATATAAATGCTTCGTCTGTGAAAAATCGTTTGGTCGCCAAGATAATCTCAAAAGGCATCAAGCAAAAGCACACGACTAAAGCCTTTACATACCTCATATTATACCTTTCATGACTATTTGGCTGTTTTGAAATAGTTTTGATAACGATTTTTTATTATTTTGCTTTTTATTTCACCTACGAATTAATGATAAACGAGTATACTTACAAATTTTTTTTGATAGTTTTTTAATGTTCACTATCGTTCAACTGATCATTAATTTGACGTTTTCTATTTGACTTATAATTCTTTTAACAGACTAAATACATTATTTAGTTCCATAATACACTTGAAAAATAGTAGATAATATTGTTACTACGAATGCGTTAAAACTTTCGTGGATTAATATATCAATTGAGTAAGTTTCGGATATATCCACGTCACATGTTTTATGCCGACGTGGATATATCCGAAACTTACTCAATTGGAATATTGTTACTATTGTTATTTTATTAAAATAATTATAATAGTCTTTTATACTTACTGTTGTGGTTTTAAAGACAAATTATTATTAAGGTATATAAGTTTATATTTCTTAATTGGTTTTTTATTTAAAATATGTATTTATTTCTTCACTTATTGATGAAGCAATATGGCTTTCATTTGAACTTATTAAACAATTTAAGGCAGTAGATAAAAAGTAATGTAAATTTCTTTAAAGAAAATGAAACAGTGGCACAATGACACCTTAACCACAATCAAACGTTATCCAACTAGTCTAAAAACCTAAGTATTGAATTATATATTATAAAAAAGGCACATTTGAAAAAAATACGGTTTTTATACATTTTTAGGTAATAGAAAATTAAATAAGAATTTTACTGAAATAAAAAAAGCCAATTGGGTTTGGGGGGGCTAAATCATATATTGGGGGGGCTAATGCCCCTTTAGCTCACCCCTAAGTCCGCCTATGAGTGTGACACGCAAAAAAATATTTAAATATAATAACGTAATACTTTATACTTTATGTATTAATTATTAAAATAAACATGAAGGAATATAAATTATTTATGCTAAATCAAGAACGAAGCTCTGGTCTTGCACCATATGAGTGACGTTGTCTACATAAACTATGGAAGCCTTATCGTATTGGAATGACTTCACGACTGTCGTTCCATGATGTATGACACATGTATTGTCGTCGGGTGTAACTTCAGCATTTGTTATGTATGATGTTGGATCTTTTACACTCCAGAACAATCCTATCATTCGACATGTGTGGATAAAATCAAAATGTTCGTAGTTGGTTGGGTCTAAAAAAAAAAAGTTTTCAAAAGTTGGCCAAATTAAGCTTGCTGCACTGGCAAAAAAAAAACATAGTTGGACAAATTAAAATAAAGGCTAATCTTATATTTTACAGGAGAGAGAAAAAAACATGATTTATTCATAAATCAATAATTACTAGCTTCTTCTTATTAAACCTATCAAGTTTAATTAAACCTGAACCTAGCAGTTCATCATCACCCAACTGCATTGCCTGTCTTACCCTTTGACATTCTCCAAAATTAAACACGATTGTCACAGTTTTACTCCTGCTAATCCTCAGTCCTTTCTCTTCAATCGGTTCTCTCCACTCTTCAAGTATCTCAGCCAATTCTTCCGGATTCCCCCGCCCCCCCGCTAACGCTACGTCATCCGTAAACATCATACACCAAAGCAAGTCCCCCTGTATATTTTTCTAATCTCGTCCATTACTAAAGAGAACAAGTAAGGACTGAACGCTAAACCTTGATGCACACCTACTCTTACACTAAAATCTTCCATTTCACCACACACACTCTTCACCCTTGTACTTGCCCCATCATACATTTCCTCTATTACTTTCACTTACACCCTTGGCACTCATTTTTACTTTAACGTCCCCCTCTAAACCTCCAATTAACGAAGAACTAACTAATTAGTTAAAATAAATGAACTTAGAAGGACCCATCTAAGAGTCTAAACGTCATATAAGGTAGATAAAAAAAAGCAGTGAATAGAGCGTGCAATATAAATTTAGGTGACCCAAAAATAAAATCAAAATTTTTTATTTATCACACTTTTGCTCTAAGATACGAATATTATCCTATTAGAAAAATGTAACGATGGAATAAGTATTAAATAACTTATTGAACTAAGTTTTTAGTTTCTTTAGCTAGAAAATAAGTGGGACGATTTATTTATGTTTGTTGTTCCAAATATGTATTTTTTCCGTATAACTACTAGTGTTTTATTATTTACTATATATAATATCGAGTATTAACAATGCTAAATCGGGTTTTAACATAACTCTTCGGTCAGATCCAAGATCATTCATATTTTTTTCATGATAAGCTGAAAAATTCGATAAATGTGTTAAACAAAGTATAAAAAATTTTGTAAAGTGTTTTTATTATGGCAATTTTGTAACCTCGGTAAACACGGTGAAATTTCAAAATTACAAATTACATTATTCGAAAAACACACAAGCCATTCCATTCTACTAGCTGATATTAGTTTTTATTAAAATAATTTTAAAAAAAGGCTTATTCTTGTTGTTCGATATTTGTATGGTAGATAAGCGTAATTACCGAGATCTGCAACCTCAACTTCAGTTAAGTCTGTAACAAAATCATGAAAATATGCAATAAATAACTTTACGGCTATTGAAAAATAAGTATTTCATTATACGGTACGTACAACGGTAACTTTAAAACTAAGATTACTTAGGCCAATTAATTAACTTGATCGTTTATTTATGAAAGATGATTAGTCACAATTTTGTTGGCCCAAGTACAAAGGACCCAAATTTTAAATAATTTTTTTTAAGTAAAATTATATGTGAAACACAGTTTATCTTTTCGGATCAAACCCTTCCATAAACGATCGATTCAATTTAGAACACTTGAAATAATTTCTAGAAGCCACTTTTGAGTAAACGAAATGAACGGAATGGCTTCAAATGATCTTTAACATCAAGTTGAAAATACTTAGCTTATGACTATGATTTCAAACCGAAAGTTTTTAAGTTCAATTGAATTTTCTATCAGTTTTGTAAAGTGTTTGTGAAAATATGTTGAATTTTATAATTACCTAAGCCTTCGAGCATTTCTCGTTGCAGTTCAAGCTCCATTGCGTGTTCTAAAATTTAAAACAAAACATATTTTTATGTTATTGTTTGCCATAACGATAGACATCTATCGTTATGGCAAAATTAATAACCATATGATTGCTATCATATTTTAAAAACTAATGTAAAAGCCGTGTGCAATGTTTTATAAATATGAAATAAGAATTACGGATAACAGGGTCTTCATTGAAGTTTTGTTCTGAAATTAAAAACGAAAACATTTTATACTTGTGTATAACCAACAACTGTATGGAAATATTTTCAACTATTACCAGGTAGTGCAAACATATAAGTCAATTCCTCTGAAATCATGATTACAAAAAATTAATTTTTAAACGATATTAGATAACTTAATTTCATGTTCCATTATAAATTTAAAGGAGAAAGTCAAGGTATAAAATACACGTTTTTATAATAATAAGCAAGTTAAATATTCAAATAAAAAATTAAGTGATTTAAATTTAATATTTATATCACTCATAAAGTTGCATTGATATATTGTTTTTACAAATAATTGTATCGTTTCCAAAACATTTCTTCTGCTAGCATACTTAATTGGTTTTTTTGTAGAATAATAGTTACCCATTAGGACCTCATTTTGACAAACAAAATGTGTTATTTTGCCACGAACGTTCTCTAAAATATATAAATAATTGATTGAGTTAAAAAAAATCAAATGAAATTTTAATGCGATATAATATGTAGAAAAATGTTCTGAATAGAAGTACATTTTTAGTTAAACGTGGCCCATTTAACTCTAGTGATAAACCGTGTTGGAATTTTATTAGACAATTATTCTATAATATCTATTCTAGATTATCAATCATATTGTACAAACTGAATTATTATATAATCATATTATTCGTGCGGGAGACTCTTTTGAAAAATATACAAGGTGCATTATTTGAGCTTTTTATCCTCATCAAACCTCGACTTCGCCACTGTTGATAACTCCTGGAGTTCTTCGGTAAAAACCTTTTTTTTTTTAATACAATACACACACAAGCCAATAATTGGAAACATTTTTTTTTGTAGAGATTATAGTTCATAAGTACAAATTATCTTATAGTCAGGCAAATGGCAAGTACAAAAAAAACATTAAACTTATAGTATTTATCATTTTAAGTATATCTTACTTTGTTTAACATGTTTCTTAATGAATGTGTCTGTAATAAATTATGTATAAAAACTGTAAGTGGTAAAACTTAAAAAAGTATTTTGTAAACAAAACTGACTTGTAGTATGAAGCTTCTTTCTATCCTCTAGATCGGCTATTCTTTCCATTTCGACTAATTCTTTATCGACTTCTTCATCTGTAAAAAAGTTATTGAATTTTGTTTAGATTTATATAAACCTAAACCAAGTACCCTGAGCAGGTACTTGTAAAAACGAATTACATACCACTACTTGCCAATACGTTTAAACACAGTACAGCACAGCACAGTAATACATACAGAACTTTCATTTTTGTCTGCAAATAATAATTAAAAATGTTATATTAGACGGAGGTATACTTACAATAAAATCTAAACATTTTTTGCACAGTTACTATTTGTACATTTTTTAACTCCAAGCAGGATTATTTCTCGTTATGTTTACTTACTTACATTGCTTTGACAAGTAGTTAAAACTTCTATTGTTATAAACATGCAAGCAAAAAATCATGGTTGTCTTACATTGATGCAAAGATTTCTTTACAACAACATATTAGATACGATTACAGAAAATATTGAAAAACAATTTTTGACAAATGTACCTATACTAGTTATAAAAAAAATGACTTTACACGCATTTCAGAGTACGGTTGACTTGAATAGAGTAGTTTTTGATAGAAACTACACAGATGTAGAGGCCTCTTAATTATGTCGAGACGGATTTTGTTTGGTTACATTAAACACGTTACATGTATTCATTCTGGTAGCCTAAGAACTTGAAGTAATGTAGACAAAAGACAAATGATTGTTAAGCAACAGTATTAGCATCACAAATTGTTCAAGTTACCACGTTAAAACAACTGTTGAATTTCACTTACAGCTTTTAAAGTTTTACTATATTTTTTTTTTTATGAAAAACAAATGTTTTTTTTACTTTATCATGTTTTGTTATTTGTCTTTTTGAACGTTTGGGGCCCAAGCTTTTATTTTTAGATAAAAATTAAATGTTTAACATTATTTAATATTGTAGTTAATTTTCGGTTGTTTTCAAAGTAACTGATATTTTAATTTAAATGTGCTACAATTGATTTGTTTAATTGTTCTTGTAGTAAAATTATTTTTTACATTTTAGTTTACCTTTTTACTATTTTTTAAAAGAGCATGTTTTTAAATTGAAAATAATGTACTAAACATTTTAACTGGTCGATAACAAATTTTGGATAACTATTTTTGAAGAACTTAAATAATAATAATACGAGTACCCAACAATATCTGGTGATATTGTTCAGTTAGCGCAAAACACTTTTTTTTTATATTATTTTGTATACATCATTTAATATATTCTACACTTAGAAAATATATAAAACCAGTAAATATAAAAAAACAATTTCGTATATTACTTACTTAAATAATTGCAATAATAGTTATACTGACTGCTTCAACGGTTTGTATACGACTTCTCGAATGGCTTATATTTTGTTGACCGAAACAATAAAATCTAGATGTATTTTGCAGAATTGTTTATGCCAATTTGTTAACATAAGCAATATTAGTCATTTTTTGTTATGACTAACATATTTATATTATTCTGAAGCATACTAAAAAGTAGAGTATAATATTATATTTTGTGCTTAATATTATACAGGGAAATTTTTTTCGGATTAGGTACGAAAATATGGGCGCACAAAAACATATTTTTCCATGTTTGTGTTTTTTTGTTGGGGTTTCTTGCAGTAGTCAGTAAAAAATGTTTTTTAGCAATAGTTCAAATAATATTTTACGATTTGTGCGAAGAAACCAATGTACAACAACATGCTTTTCTAAGCTCGTGTTGCTCTTATCGATACAGGGTGTCCCGTCAGGTTTTAACAACACCATCTTGAAATTAGATTGAGAACACTTTAGGCTATGATGCACAAAATATATTTCATCAAGCAAATTTATAAAGGTCATTGTAACAAATTAACTTAGATTACACTTTAATGTATTCCGATAACAAAATAAGGATACAAGTTAATAACTGTATACTATGTACTACGCGACTATATGAAGTGTTCACAAAAATTAAACGGATCTAATTCTACAACATTTATTAGTCAAAGTTCCTCCATATAAAGACAATAACAAAATATAATAGCATATAGGGAAATAACTGAATGTTTGTAAAATGTTAAAATATGTTTAACAAGACATATTAAATAGAAGTCGCGTTGTTCGTCTTCCATATCTTAAAATACTAATTACTCGAAATAAAAGCTGAAGGGTTCTTTGATCCTTTTACATTTAAAAAATAAAATAATAAACCCAGTTGCCGTTTAACCTCCTGAAGTAATTCTTAGATGTTAAATCAATTTTATTATTTTTGCGGTATTTCATAAGATCAGTGGCGCTAAACTAAAATGTAATAGGAAGGGCAAATAAATATTATGGATACCCCCTAAAGGTAAAAAATGCATCGTCGAGATTATTTTCATGACTCACTGGCCACCCACCCTCCCCGAGGAGCAGATTCGGCTCCACTGATTTGGATTATTTTCATAGGATTTCGAAATCCGAAAATTGGCTTTTACGACTTCAAAGAAAAACCTTATTTAATTTTCTATCAATAGTTAATAGTCTTGAACTGAACTCCTAGGCTTCATATAAGACGAACAAAAGAAACGAAATAATTAGAATAAATATGATAAATTGATATTTGAGTTATTAAAATATACTGATTGGATATTCTGTATCGATATAAGCGATGAAAATAATGTTTTTGTGCATTTGTTCTTTCGGACTACCGATAAGGTATTGTTTAAAGTTTTTTATATGTAAGTATTGTTTTATACACTAAAAAAACCCTAAACACCAAAAAAAAAAAAAATGAATATTAGGTCAAATTTCAAGTTTTGAAAATCCACAAATTTTGGTATTAAAGCCAAATTTTCGGCTATTTCATTACAAAAATGTAATATGCAACAAATAATTGCAATATCAACAATATAATATGTTAGATTTTAACAACACCGATAAAGAAATATAAACAAATAAGGTCAAATTTTAAGTTTTGAAATCCATAATAGTCTTCAAAATCTTCATTTATTAGTCTTAAAGCCACTCTTTGGGTTATTCTATACAGGGTGATCCATTTATCGCGAACCTCTCATATCTCATAGGGTTTAATAAGAAATGACAATTTTTTTTAATATTGTTTTCATACAATATGATCGCAATTTTTACCCCCCTCTCAACTTAGTTTTTTTTATAGCAAATTTTGAAACTTGTAGCGTGCAACTTCATAGCATGTTACTGCTTGTTAATTATGATAAAGTACATTATCTAATTTTCCACCACTACTCTAAATTTATTTGGTACTTCAACGAGACACGAAAATGCTCTTTCGAGGTTGCAGACTCAGCTGAAAAACGTGTTTAATGTTAATTAGCTTTAACATCTGGTAGTTAAAATAATTTAATATACAATATTGAAATAAAGCGGTTATAATTATCCTATTAAGTTGAAGTTTTCCACTAGCCCTATTCGTTTACAAACTGATAATTAAAGAGTCAAATAATTAATTCTTAAAAATTATTGTAAAAGCTTCTTAAGAGTGCATGCGTTTGTGTTTTGTAAGGACAGATTTACACGAATAAGACTTCAGGCAAACGTCACATTTGTATTTCCTTTAATTTGCACGCGTTTGTTTGCTGTAGTCCGGGTAGTGTTGGTTTTCGGTGAAAATTTGTGTGGGATTTTATTATATGATGAGTTATATGCTTTTTAGTTTTAAACGACTTATAACAGTAAACACAGTGAAATAAGTTACGTTCTTTTATATCTTCATTGTTATTCTTCGGCGCTATTTGATAATTCTCAACAGTTTGTTTAAATAGACTCAAAATGACGACAATCAATTTTTTTATTTGCTTCAGGACTCGTTCCGTTGACACTACAACAAAAATTAATGATTATTATTATATATTCTATTTTTTTAACAAAATTAATAAATTTAAAATTGTAAGTAAATAGCTCTTCTTTATTTATGATTATTTATTTTTCTTTATTGTTGAAACTAGAGATCACGTTTTATAAAAACAGTTTGAAAAAAAATTACCATTCGCTTTCGCTCCCATTTAAAATTCTTAAGTTCATAACGTTTTGACATATAAGGGATGGGGTTAAAATTTGTCCAACTAATAACTATAAAATTGTAAAAAAAAAATAATTAAAAAAAGTCTAATATCTTCTATGTTATTGACTAGTCCATAGTTATCCAATCACCAGGTACATACACCTATATTTGAATTAACAAAATACTGTAGTACCTTTATTTTTGTTTGAACGGCCCGATATTGTTTGTTCTAGTGCAGTACCTAACCGAAATTTACATTAAAATAAATATACAAATAGTTCGAATGGCACAAACTATAACCAACCAATACTCATTAGACGTTCCTATGCGATTTGATAACTCTACAAAATTGAACACATACACACAAGTACACCTCGTACCATAGGTATCGATATTACTTTTTTCACTTCGTTTAATTTTTGTTATTACAAAAAAATGGTCCGAAGAAGTGAAAAAATGGATGTATTAAAAAAAAAAAATGTTAGGACTTAGGCTAACTAAAATTAAATAATGGTGAAGCAATGTCGACAGATGGGATGGATGGAGAGGAGTAATGGTCCCGACAAAGGACCTAAATGGCTTTTATATTAAGCTAATAAGAATTATGATTGAAGAAATGAAATAATTTATAACAGCAAGTAAATACTTTTTATTATGTAGTATATAAAATTATTTGACAATTTTTCTATTAGTGTGACACGAAAAAAATATTTAAATATAATAACAGTAATACTTTATACATTAATTTTAAAAGAAACCTGAAGGAATATAAATTATTTATGCTAAATCAAGAACGAAGCTCGGGTTTAGCACCTTATGAGTGACGTTGTCTACATAAACAATAGAATCATCATCGTATTGGAATGACTTCACGACTGTCGTTCCATGATGTATGACACATGTATTGTCGTCGGGTGTAACTTCAGCATTTGTTATGAATGATGTTGGATCTTTTACACTCCAGAACAATCCTATCATTCGACATGTGTGGATAAAATCAAAATGTTCGTAGTTCGTTGGGTCTAAAAAAAAAAAAGTTTTCAAAAGTTGGCCAAATTAAGCTTGCTGCACTGGCAAAAAAAAAACATAGTTGGACAAATTAAAATAAAGGCTAATCTTATATTTTACAGGAGAGAGAAAAAAACATGATTTATTCATAAATCAATAATTACTAGCTTCTTCTTACTAAACCTATCAAGTTTAATTAAACCTGAACCTAGCAGTTCATCATCACCCAACAGCATTGCCTGTCTTACCCTTTGACATTCTCCAAAATTAAACACGATTGTCACCGTTTTACTCCTGCTAATCCTCAGTCCTTTCTCTTCAAGCGGTTCTCTCCACTCTTCAAGTATCTCAGCCATTCTTCCGATTCCCCCCCCCCCGCTAACGCTACGTCATCCGTAAACATCATACACCAAAGCACTTCCCTCTGTATATCTTTCTAATCTCGTCCATTACTAAAGAGAACAAGGAAGGACTGAACGCTAAACCTTGATGCACACCTACTCTTACACTAAAATCTTCCATTTCACCACACACACTCTTCACCCTTGTACTTGCCCCATCATACATTTCCTCTATTACTTTCACTTACACCCTTGGCACTCATTTTTACTTTAACGTCCCCCTCTAAACCTCCAATTAACGAAGAACTAACTAATTAGTTAAAATAAATGAACTTAGAAGGACCTATCTAAGAGTCTAAACGTCATATAAGGTGGATAAAAAAAAGCAGTGAATAGAGCGTGCAATATAAATTTAGGTGACCCAAAAATAAAATCAAAATTTAAGTGGGACGATTTATTTATGTTTGTTGTTCCAAATATGTATTTTTTCCGTATAACTACTAGTGTTTTATTATTTACTAAGTATAATATCGAGTATTAACAATGCTAAATCGGGTTTTAACATAACTCTTCGGTCAGATCCAAGATCATTCATATTTTTTTCATGATAAGCTGAAAAATTCGATAAATGTGTTAAACAAAGTATAAAAAATTTTGTAAAGTGTTTTTATTATGGCAATTTTGTAACCTCGGTAAACACGGTGAAATTTCAAAATTACAAATTACATTATTCGAAAAACACACAAGCCATTCCATTCTACTAGCTGATATTAGTTTTTATAAAAATAATTTTAAAAGAAGGCTTATTCTTGTTGTTCAATATTTGTATGGTAGATAAGCGTAATTACCGAGATCTGCAACCTCAACTTCAGTTAAGTCTGTAACAAAATCATGAAAATATGCAATAAATAACTATACGGCTATTGAAAAATAAGTATTTCATTATACGGTACGTACAACGGTAACTTTAAAACTAAGATTACTTAGGCCAATTAATTAACTTGATCGTTTATTTATGAAAGATGATTAGTCACAATTTTGTTGGCCCAAGTACAAAGGACCCAAATTTTAAATAATTTTTTTTAAGTAAAATTATATGTGAAACACAGTTTATCTTTTCGGATCAAACCCTTCCATAAACGATCGATTCAATTTAGAACACTTGAAATAATTTCTAGAAGCCACTTTTGAGTAAACGAAATGAACGGAATGGCTTCAAATGATCTTTAACATCAAGTTGAAAATACTTAGCTTATGACAATGATTTCAAACCGAAAGTTTTTAAGTTCAATTGAATTTTCTATCAGTTTTGTAAAGTGTTTGTGAAAATATGTTGAATTTTATAATTACCTAAGCCTTCGTGCATTTCTCGTTGCAGTTCAAGCTCCATTGCGTGTTCTAAAATTTAAAACAAAACATATTTTTATGTTATTGTTTGCCATAACGATAGACATCTATCGTTACGGCAAAATTAATAACCATATGATTGCTATCATAATTTAAAAACTAATGTAAAAGCCGTGTGTAATGTTTTATAAATATGAAATAAGAATTACGGATAACAGGGTCTTCATTGAAGTTTTGTTCTGAAATTAAAAACGAAAACATTTTATACTTGTGAACAACCAACAACTATATGGAAATATTTTCAACTATTACCAGGTAGTGCAAACATAAAAGTCAATTTCTCTGAAATTATGATTACAAAAAATTAATTTTTAAACGATATTAGATAACTTAATTTCATGTTCCATTATAAATTTAAAGGAGAAAGTCAAGGTATAAAATACACGTTTTTATAATAATAAGCAAGTTAAATATTCAAATGAAAAATTGAGTGATTTAAATTTAATATTTATATCACTCATAAAGTTGCATTGATATATTGTTTTTACAAATAATTGTATCGTTTCCAAAACATTTTTTCTGCTAGCATACTTAATCGGTTTTTTTGTAGAATAATAGTTACCCATTGTGACCGCATTTTGACAAACAAAATGTGTTATTTTGCCACGAACGGTCCCTAAAATATATAAATAATTAATTGAGTTAAAAAAAAATCAAATGAAATTTTAATGCGACATAATATGTAGAAAAATGTTCTGAATAGAAGTACATTTTAGTTAAACGTGGCCCATTTAACTCTAGTGATAAACCGTGTTGGAATTTTATTAGACAATTATTCTATAATATCTATTCTAGATTATCAATCATATTGTACAAACTGAATTATTATATAATCATATTATTCGTGCGGGACACTCTTTTGAAAAATATTGCATATAGTGCATTATTTGAGCTTTTTATCCTCATCAAACCTCGACTTCGCCACTGTTGATAACTCCTGGAGTTCTTCGGTAAAAACCTTTTTTTTTAAATACAATACACACACAAGCCAATAATCGGAAACATTTTTTTTTTGTAGAGATTATAGCTGATAAGTACAAATTATCTTATAGTCAGGCAAATGGCAAGTACAAAAAAAACATTAAACTTATAGTATTTATCATTTTAAGTATGTCTTACTTTGTTTAACATGTTTCTTAATGAATGTGTCTGTAATAAATTATGTATAAAAACTGTAAGTGGTAAAACTTAAAAAAGTATTTTGTAAACAAAACTGACTTGTAGTATGAAGCCTCTTTCTATTCTCTAGATCGGCTGATCTTTCCATTTCGACTAATTGTTTATCGTCTTCTTCATCTGTAAAAAAGTTATTTAATTTTGTTTAGATTTATATAAACCTAAACCAAGTACCCTGAGCAGGAACTTGTAAAAACGAATTACATACCACTACTTGCCAATACGTTTAAACACAGTACAACACAGCACAGTAATACATACAGAACTTTCATTTTTGTCTGCAAATATTAATTTAAAAATGTTATATTAGACGGAGGTATACTTACAATGAAATCTAAACGTTTTTTGCACAGTTCCTATTTGTACATTTTTTAACTCCAAGCAGTATTATTTCTTTCTCGTTATGTTTACTTACTTACATTGCTTTGACAAGTAGTTAAAACTTCTATTGTTATAAACATGCCGGTAAAACATCATGGTTTTCTTACATTGATGCAAAGATTTCTTTACAACAACATATTAGATACGATTACAGAAAATATTGAAAAACAATTATTGACAAATGTACCTATACTAGTTATAAAAAATAATGACTTTACACGCATTTCAGAGTACGGTTGACTTGAATAGAGTAGTTTTCGATAGAAACTACACAGATGTAGAGGCCTCTTAATTATGTCAAGACATTCTATGTCTATTCATTCTGGTAGCCTAAGACAACTGTCTTAAAACAACTGTTGTATTTTACAAATACAATTTTTAAAGTTTTACTATTTTTTTTTTTATGAAAAACAAATGTTTTTTTGACTTTAACATGTATTATTATTTGTCTTTTTGAACGTTTCAGTTAACTTGCATACCTTATTGTTACATATATTATATCGAACACAGATTTTGTATTAAAACCAATAATAATACTTAAACAAACAGTTTTTTGACCCAAGTATGTCATGTATTCTAGTTAACACATTTTTTATTACTGTGTTCATATTATCTGATGTATTAATAAATAAATTAAATTCCTCTTCATTCATTAATGTGTCACAGTTAAGAAAAATAGTATCGTTAAACATTTTCTATAAAATCAAATTAAATGTAATAACATTATTGACATAATTAAGAGGCCTCTACATCTGTGAGTTTCTGTCGAAAACAACTCTATTCAAGTCAACCGTACTCTGAAATGCGTGAAAAGTCAATAATTTTAATAACTAGTATAGGTACATTTGTCAATAATTGTTTTTCAATATTTTCTGTAATCGTAACACGTAAGAAATGTAAATGTTTACACTAGGACAATTTATTAGAAAAATAGTTATTTGGCACAATGGTTTTCATACATTACAGTACATATACATATACAGAGTTTATTATAGGCCACTCAATATCTCACTTAGTTCAATTAATAATTTAATATTCACACAGACACTCATCTCGGATGACATTACAATATCCTGTAATAAAATTGGGACTAGGACATCCAGGCTATGTTAGGTTAGCGGTCAACACAGGGTCATACGTGGATCATTTGACGTTTCACTAAAATTTCATATTTTTCAAATCATCCAAAATGAATTTAGCTAATATTTATTCAGCAATTACTAAGTACCTTTAATAGGACTAAAAAGTAATTTAAAATAAATAAATTAAAAAAAAAAACTCTTTTAAAAACATGCTTTTCTAAAAAATAGAAAAAAATTAAACCAAAATGTAAAAAATAATTTTACTACAACAACAATTTACCAACGAATATTGTAGAACATTTTATTTAAAATGTCATTTACTTTGAAAACAACCGTTAAACATCTTTAATTGTTTTACTAAAAAGAAAAGTGTGAGCCCTATTCAACAAAGTCTAGATTCATTCAGTTAAGTATTATAAAATGTATGTGTTTCTCACATGTTAAACCTAATTTTAATTACTAAAAAACTTACAGTATAAAAAATTATCTGAAATGTTAACTGATTAACTTATTATAGACTTGGCTGAATGAGGCCCACGCTTTTCTTTTTAGACAACAATTTAATGTTTAACATTATTTAATATTGTAGTTAATTTTCGGTTGTTTTCAAAGTAACTGCTATTTTAAATCAAATGTGCTACAATTGATTGGTAAATTGTTCTTGTAGTAAAATTATTTTTTACATATTAGTTCACCTTTTTACTATTTTTGAGAAGAGCATGTTTTTAAATTGAGAATAATCTACTAAACATTTTGACTGGTCGATAACAAGTTTTGGGCAACTGTTTGTGAAGAACTTATACTTTTAATATTAATAATACGAGTACCCAACATTATTTCTGGTGATATTATTCAGTTAGTGCAAAACACTTGTTTAAAAAATACATGTTTTTTTTATGTTCAATATGTAAACATATTGTTACTACGTCTGGAGGAACAGCTAAAATAAATATCATATAAGTATAATATGGTATACAAAACTAAACAAGTGCTGAAAGCCCTACACTAAAATGCTAAAAAAACAATTCACATAGATTCTAAATACAATAAAATATCACGCCAAATTATTCTATACAACAACTTATTATAATAATAAATTATCACACCAAATTATTCAAATAAAAGTTCTTTGTTTAAAAATGAATTTGAATAATTTTTAAAATTATCATTTAAATAGTCTGTAAGTGATTTTTTTAAGTAATTATATTAAAATATTATTTGTAGTATACATCATTAATATATTCTACATTTAGAAAATATATAAAACCAGTAAATATAAGAAAACAATTTCGTATATTACTTACTTAAATAATTTCAATAGTAGTTATACTGACTGCTTCAACGGTTTGTATACGACTTATCGAATGGCTTATATTTTGTTGACCGAAACAATAAAAATCTAGATGTATTTTGCAATATTGTTTATGCGAATTTGTTAACATAAGCAACATTAGTCATTTTTTGTTATGAATAACATATTTATATTATTCTGAAGCATACTACCAAGTAGGGTATAATATTGTGCTCAATATTATACAGGGTGATTTTTTTTCGGATTAGGTACGAAAATATGTGCGCGCAAAAACATATTTTTCCATGTTTGTGTTATTTTGTTAGGTTTTTTTTACAGTAAAACATGTTTTTTAGCAATAATTCAAATAATTTTTTACGATTTGTGCGAAGAAACCAATGTACAACAGCATGTTTTTCTAAGCTCGTGTTGATCTTATCGATACAGGGTGTCCCGTCAGGTTTTAACAACACCTTCTTGAATTTAGATTGAGAACACTTTAGGCTATGATGCACAAAATGTATTTCATCAAGCAAATGTATGAAGGTCATTGTAACAAATGAACATAGATTAGACTTTAATGTAGTTCGATAACAAAATAATTATACTAGTTAATAATTGTCTACTATGTACAACGCGAGTATGAAGTGCTCACAAAAACAAAACGGATTTAATTCTACAACATTGATTAGTCAAAGCTCCTCCACATAAAGTCAATAACAATATATAATAGCTTATAGGGAAATAACTGAATGTTTGTAAAATGTTAAAATATGTTAAATCAAGACATATTAAATAGAAGTCGCGTTGTTCGTCTTCCAGATCTAACTATTCGAAAAAAAATGAAAGGTTTTTTTGGTCATTTTGTTTTTAAAAAAAAAAACAGTACAGTGAGGTCGGTGCATAGTGGGGACGGAGCATAGTTGGGTCGGGGCATAGTGGTGACGGGGAGGTCACAGGTTTACAGGAATTTTTAAATCTGAAAGTGATAAAATCACTTTCGAAAAAACGCTTCGATGTAAATCGGTAGTTAGTATTTTCAAGCCAGTACAGTCCAAACCAAGCACAGTATAAACCAGCAAAGTTAGAAAGTTTAAAATGAAGGTTCTGTATTTACAAATGAGCATCAAAGCGTTTATTTGAAAGCGATTTTATTCAATTTTGTTACTTTTATTTATAATAATTCTTGTAGACCTGTGACCTCTCCGTTTCCTCATTGCTTTGATTACATTATGCCAATACTCTACTGTACTAGTCCTCTCGGATAAAATCACTTTAAAATTAACGCTTTGATGCACATTTGTAAATACAGAACCTTCATTTAAAACTTTCTAACTTTGCTGGTTTATACTGTGCTTGGTTTGGACTGTACTGGCTTGAAAATACTAACTACCGATTTGCATCGAAGCGTTTTTTCGAAAGTGATTTTATCACTTTCAGATTTAAAAATTCCTGTAAACCTGTGACCTCCCCGTCACTACTATGCCCCGACCCAACTATGCTCCGTCCCCACTATGCACCGACCCCACTGTACTGGTTTTTTTTTTTTTTGCAAAAACTTAGTGGACCAAATAACACGTATACAATGTCTTGTTATATTTTGTTGGAATGGTCGACGATTCATGTTTCAATCGTTTGTACTCCATAGTTTAAATTATAATCGCTTATTCTCAATAAAATTAATATTTATGTATTATATACTTTTATTAAAGCAATCTCACACAAACTATTTATACTTCACAGATGATATTATTTCAAAGCTATATTATACTTCTATTTTACTAGATTGACAATGTACAAAATAAAATGCAACTAAAAAAACCTTTTCATAGATCCTTAAAATGTAAAGGGTGGGATAGTGAAACGGGTTTTACCATTTAAATACATTAGAAAATCGCCTCATAATACTGCCTCATCCTGTATATCAATTTCTTGTTATTTTCTAAAGGAAAATCGATTTTCTTACATTTAAATTAAAATAAATCGTAAACTGGTACTGTGATGGAGAAAACAATAAATTTTACCTACATATATTACTTATTAGTTAAATATTACTAACGTGTATAGCCACTAGCAGTCGGCTGTTGCCTGTTATTTAACAATAACCTTTTATGGAGATTTTAAAAATTGTGTTTTTTTAATAATAGCATAGGAGCAGTATCATGATGTTAAATGTTCACGAGATTTGATCTAGTCATAAAATAAAGTATTATCATTTATGACTTAATTATTATTAAAATTTATCTTAATCTGTATATAGTAATAAAATAATGAAATATTTTATACAAAATTAGAGCTACAAGTTGATAAACTAAAAAATTAAAATTAGCACGAAGCAGATTATCTAATATTAGACAATTTAAACAATCAAGCGTGAATATCTTTAAATGAATAACAGTATAACAATATGCAAAACATTAGTTGTCCTTTAAAAAAATTTTGTAATAAAAAATACATTTTTAGGCGGTATACTGCATAAAAACCAACACTTAATCTGAATCCAAAAAACAACAGTCCTCTTCATTATTTGCAGGTAGTTGGACATTATACACTCATAGTTACACTTCGGTAAGGTTATATAACGCAGGCTATAAAATAACGAGATAACGACAGTGGTTTTCTCGTATCAGAATCATTAAGTGTCTTAATAAGTACACGGATAGGTTTTTTTCCCAATAAATCGAGTTTCTACTATAATCAGTTACACGATTTAGTCGCCTGTGATATCATGTAATAAACACAATATTATGATACCGATCATTGGACCCTAACCTAATCTAACACGGATAGACGTTACCAACTGATAGTTTTTAGTGTCTGTTCGTTTCTCACATCTGGTACACTGGGTTTTTAGTAAAAAAAAAAAAAAAAATTGAATTTGTGTAAACTTTAAGTCAAAAGTGGTACTTGAGCACAAAACCTAATAGTATCATTCTGCATAGATATAAATAAAATTGTTTTAATGATTTGATCAATTTTTTTTAAAGATTTTAGGTGTTTTTGTTAAAATATACGCAATGTGCGAAAACACGGTTTTCCGGCAATTAAAAAAAAACTGTAGTGCCGAATTTTTCACCTGCTTAATATGTTATGGATACATATGAGTTCCAACTACTGGCAAATTTTCAACCCAAAAGTTTTAAAATTACGGCTAAAAACCCCGAAAAACAAAAAAACTTGTACCCCCCTAGGGGGCGGGAAATGGGTATATTTTGAATTTGACAAAACTGACGTGCGCGGGCATACCAAATAAATATTTCTTATAAATTTCAACTCGATCCGACTCTTTTTCTCGATACTATAGCCAGTAAAAGTTCTAACTTAAAAACTCGTACGGTTTTTTTTTTGTTTTTTCAACTTTCGTCTGTGAAGAATTAAACTTTTTCAACTTTTACCCCCACAAAGTACCAACTAGATAAAAATTGCGATTTATAGAGTTGCTATTCGAAAGAATTGGTCCAGTATTAAAGAAGTTACAGTGTATACAGATAAAAAAAAAACACACATCAGAGTAAAACCAATACCTTCTCGCTTTGCATCGAAGCTAAAATAAAATTAAACACCCAGTTGCCGTTAAGTTAAATTTTCAGTAACTTTAAAAATAGTTATCCAAAACGGGTTTCGACCAGTCAACATTTTTAGTACATTATTCTCAATTAAAAAAGTGAAATGAAATAAGAACAATTTTTGTAAGAACAAATTATTGTGAATTCAGGATTTTAAAAATTATCAATTTTAAGGACGAATATTTAAATTGCTAATTTTCACGTGGGGGTGGGAATGGGTTGGGGGATGGGTGTGGGGGTGGAGGAGGGTGGGTATGAGGTTGGAGGCATATGTTGTATTCACAACGTTCAAACCAAAACTGAACTAAAATGAATCTGAGAGGTCATATTTGTATGAATTCTTTTAAACCAGATAATAAACAATAAAATATAAGCCAGAAACTTGAAATGTTTTAATATACTAGCTACTTTAGATACTAGCATGTTACTGCTTGTTAATTATGATAAAGTACATTATCTATAATTCCACCACTACTCGTAATTTATTCGGTACTTCAACGAGACATGAAAATGCTCTTTCGTGGTTGCAGACTCAGCTGAAAAATGTTTCTCGTTCAGTTAACTATTTAATTTCTAATAATTATACCATACCATTAGAACCACTTTATAATCTGCATAGTTGTTTTGTTGGTTGAAATTTCAATAATAACCTAAAAGTAATATATTATCCGATGCTTACAAACTAGTATATGATATTATAATTACATACAACTGATTGGTATAAAAAGTTTAGTACAAAGCGTTTAAATATCAAACAATTAAAAAATAAATAAATATTAACAATAGATTTTTAAGTAAAATCGACTTAATATTACACAAAAATATGTATATATATATATATTTTTTATACTAAAATTATATATATTAACTATAAACACAACTATATGTATATATATATACACATACACACACACACACACACACATACTACGCTTACCGGTAGTCCCTGGTACAAAATCTATTATACAATAATTTTAAAGATTTAATTATTTAATTGTAACCGCTTTATTTCAATATTGTATATTAAATGATTTTAACTACCAGATGTTTAAGCTAATTAACATTAATAAAAACAAAAACAAATTTTGTGTGTAATATTAAGACGACTTTACTTAAAAATCTATTGTTAATATTAATTTATTTTTAATTGTTTGTTATTAAATGCTTTGTTACTTTTTATACCAATCAGAGTTGTATAAAATTAATTAACAAAATTATTTTTTTAAATTGTGCCAGTTTCAATGCGTAGGAGTAGACATTTTTTTATTAAATCTTAAATTGGTGTGCTCTTAGAAGCGTTCTATTGGAAATAGAAACATATATTTTGTGCAAAAATAGAGGCTATATGCAATATTAAAGATGACAAAATTTGTTTTAAATAGTTAACTCTTTACTATGTTTTTATTTTGTTTTTTTTAAATGTTAAGGGTGAAGAAGCAGATTTTTTTAACTTTTACTCTCCCAAAGTAAGAATTCGATAAACTTTGTGCTTTATAGAGTTGCTTCTCGAAGATATTGATCTAGTATTACAAAAGCTACAGTGTACACAGACACAAAAATAGATCACATCCTTGTTAAATCAATAGCCTCTCAAACGGACTGGAAATAGGTGAACAAAAAAAATTAGATGGAAAATAGTTGGCTAGAAAACATGTAACAACACGCAAATATTCTAAATTTTAGTTATAATATAGAATAATATATCAAGCAACAATAATTAATAAGTTAGTTCCATCTGACTTACAAATACAATTATTAAAAAATACATATTATATTCATTACTTATTTATAACATTTAAAAATATATTTTATGTAGGCCTTAAAGAACCATAGAATATAATATCCCAATTGAGTTTTGACGAATATGATTCAATCATAAATATTGTCACTTGTGGTGATTTTCGCCAGCATGCGCGAGTTTGTGTCTAGTGAAGTTGGATTTTTAACAAATGATTTTAAACAAATGGCACATTTGTAGGGCTTTTTTTCCAGTGTGAACAAGTTCGTGAACGGCGAGTTGGTTTTTCCGAGAAAATGACTTTAGGCATACATCACATTTGAAGGACTTTTTTCCAGTGTGGACAAGTTCGTGAACGGCGAGTTGGTCTTTCCGAGAAAATGACTTTAGGCATACAACACATTTGTAGGGCTTTTCACCAGTGTGCACGCGTTCGTGTTTTGTGAGGTGCGTTTTTCGAGAAAATGATTTTAAACAAATGGCACATTTGTAGGGCTTTTCACCAGTGTGCACGCGTTCGTGTTTTGTGAGGCTCGGTTTTCGAGAAAATGATTTTAAACAAATGGCACATTTGTAGGGCTTTTCACCAGTGTGCACAAGTTCGTGTGTTGTGAGGTTCGTTTTTCGAGAAAATGATTTTAAACAAATGGCACATTTGTAGGGCTTTTCACCAGTGTGCACAAGTTCGTGTTTTATGAGGCTCGCTTTTTGAGTAAATGATTTTAAACAAATGGCACATTTGTAGGGCTTTTCTCCAGTGTGGACAAGTTCGTGAACGGCGAGATGGTCTTTCCGAGAAAATGACTTTAGGCATACATCACATTTGAAGGACTTTTCACCAGTGTGCACGCGTTCGTGTTTTGTAGAGGTCGTTTTCGAGAAAATGACTTTAGGCAACATGGCACATTTGAAGGACTTTTCTCCAGTGTGGACAAGTTCGTGAACGGCGAGTTGGTCTTTCCGAGAAAATGACTTTAGGCATACAACACATTGGTAGGGCTTTTCACCAGTGTGCACGCGTTCGTGTTTTGTAAGGTGCGTTTTTTGAGAAAATGATTTTAAACAAATGGCACATTTGTAGGGCTTTTCACCAGTGTGCACGCGTTCGTGTTTTGTGAGGCTCGTTTTTCGAGAAAATGACTTTAGGCATACATCACATTTGTAGGGCTTTTCACCAGTGTGCACGCGTTCGTGTTTTGTAAGGTTCGATTTTTGAGAAAATGATTTTAAGCAAATGGCACATTTGTAGGGCTTTTCACCAGTGTGCACGCGTTCGTGTTTTGTGAGGTCAGATTTTGTAGAAAAAGATTTCAGGCACACATCACATTTGTAATGCTTTTCACTAGTGTGCACGCGTTGGTGTTTTGTTACGATGGATTTTGCAGAAGAACCTTTGATTTTTTTATTCGCTCCATTACCTGTACCATTGACACTACAACAAACCATTGTCAAGTAATAATTAATAACGTTCATTCATCCAGTTTAATAAATATACAAGGTGATTTTACCCCATCCTTTAGTGACTTATGAATTTACGTTAACGAACTTGCGTTACCAGCTGAACTCAAACTCTTTTCAAACATTTTTAACATTAGGGTTTTAACCAATAAAGAAAGTTTGAAAAATTAATCACAGACATATTAAAAATAACTGTCTCATAATAGTCTATTTTATAAATTGCAATTTTTTCATTATTTACCCTTAATTTCGAATATAATGCAATCCTTATAGTTGTAACGACTAGTTTAAAATTATTTAAGCGTTAAGATGCGAATTAGTCAGTATATTCTTAAACAATAAGTGACTAAATTAATAAAAACGATATCGCGCTTTTATCTAAACAACAATAATATTGACAACTATATATTACATCAAATAATAATTTGCTTTACCTGAATTTATTTTTGACAACTTGTTTTCTAATGCTATTCCGGATTTTTGAGTGTTCACTGTGCGTCAGAGTAATGTGTCGTGTCATTTTCTTTTTGGTGAGCGAATGACTTGTTACATAAATCACAGACAAATGTACATATTTCGTCCAAATCGTGATTTGTTGTTGGCGTACCAGAGAGATCATTTTCTTCAACTTCAATTACAGACTCAAAACGATTACTACCCAAAATGTCCACTTCAAATTTCACTGTGGTTTTGCTGCACGTACTGATGTCACTAAAAACAAAAAACAAAATTAATTTTAAAGCTGAAAAAAATAATTTAAAAATATCTGTTAAGAATCATGCAGCTCTTGTAAAAATTTGATTTATCTAAAATGTTCTATGTGCTTCGTATATACAATATGCATATCTGTTAATTAATTAAAGGTCAACCCAAATTTGAAAAGTAACACTTTAAGCTTCAGTTGGATGCTAAAAAGTTAGTGGTTTTTTTTTTAAACAACATTGATTGATTCTTTTTGTAAACAGATAAATACAGATAATATTTAAAATACTTCTACACCTATTTAAAAAAAATTGCAAAACATAATCATATCCAAATATTTATCACATTATTTTTTAAATGTATTTAAAATATTTAATTTAAAAATCACATTATCTATACACATATACTCTTTTAATACATTAACTATTAATATCAATAACAAATGTTCAATACACATATAATTTTTTTTTTTTGTTAAATGAGTCTTTATAAGGTTGCATTTATTATTTGAAATTTGCTAAACAAAATGTATTCAATTGATGTTGTACAATACAATATTACTGTAGAGTGGTGGAGTGGCTGAGAAGATTAATGTGACGTGGTGACTGAGGTAGGCCCGAATATAGGGTCTATTCACGGTGAATCTGTCATATGCTAAATTATACTATAACTGAGATGTATTTAAAAATCTTTTATTATACGCAAACATATTTTAAAGATATAACTACCTATTAAGTTAATTTCATGAATATAACACACATGGTATTACAAAGTCGGATTAAACGTTACAGTTTTGTAAATAGGTATTTAAAGATAATATTTAAAATATTTCTACACCTATTTGAAACATATTACAAACGTCTAATAAATTTAGCATAGAATCAGAATGATATCCAAATCTTAATCATATTATTTTTGAAATGTAATTAAAATATTTAATTTAAAAATCACATTACTTATACGCATCTCCATCGGTTGTTTTCTCAGAGGCTTTGGTAAGCTGTTCTATTGACTGTTTATTTTCATCCTCTATTTTTATCATGGTCCTCTGGAAATAATTGTCCATTTTCAATTCTCGGTTGTTTCCTCACTAAAATAACTATAAAAAATAAATTTAACTTAATAATATTGGAACAAAAACACATGATTTATTAAAAAAAAAAAAACTATAGCACTAGTTTAAAAATAATAAATAGTACTATTCCAAAAAAAAAAAATATATATTTATGTATATATATAATTTAAAAATTCATAACAGAGCAGAGTTATATGCACTAAAAAGGTGGTATGTATGATGCGAAGTACAAATAGCTGCTTAGTAGATTTATTTAGTTTATGCACCCATAGCACTAACACTTTCAATATATGCATTAAATATTTTTTACCAAATTAAAAAAAAATATATTTTTTTAATATATGCCAGTATTTAAATTTGAATAGGTTATATTTATATAATAAAATAAATAAAAACTTAAAGTAAGTCTAATTTGCGTTCATTATAAAGTGTTTAGAATTTCAACAAAACAATATTAAATAGCACCGATTTAAATATTATGTTCTAAAATATTAAAGATAACATTTTCGATACTTAAGAAACGTGGAATGGAACATAGATAAATATTTGTACAATGATAAACGCCAACTGACTTTGCAAATTGTAGCAATTAGTGTTATATTATTTTTATGGTAATATATAAAATTGAGAAATTGACTAGATTAGTAAAATTATATCACAGTATAGATAGTTTATAGAGAAATTATAGAACTATTTTACCAGTATGTCAATAATAAACAAGATTTTTTAAAGTGATCCACTCAATATCCTATAGGGATAAATTAGTAATTTTATTTTTATTTTCCCTAGTGTGATCTCAATGTTTTACAAATTTAATGTTTTTAATTTCTTCCTAAATTATTTATTTTTATATTAACTTCTGAAAAGTGAAGTTTAAATAGAGTTTTACTGCATAATGGAATACTATCGCTTCTGTGCCAGTAGCCCATTCCAAAACGTACCTAACCTAACCTATCCTAAAATAATTGTGTCGATATTTTTTATAAGCGTAATACTTCTATGTTGATTGTAAAAAATTCTGAAGCGGTGCCGCCAAACGGACAATATAAGTTTTTAATTTTATATACAGAATCGGTGATTAGAAACAAGACGGCTTTTAAAACCATTTTTGCCGGGTACCAGCGATGTCGTCCCTACAGCCGTCGATAACGCTTTTAAAATGAACGTATGCGGTAGTACGATATATACTCGTACATTGTAATAAAATAAATAAAACGAAATAATCAACGATATTGTTACTTGGTACTTACTTAAAAACGGCCACGTTGGTCAGAACTCAGATCTGAAGATCCAAAACAGTTGTTCGAGTATATAAGTATAAAATCACTTAGATTATGTAACTTTTTTATTTATGTTTTTTATTCACCAACATGCAACTACGCAGCGAAACGACTTTTCGAGTAAATCACAGACAAATGTGCAAAGACAGACGGATAATATTACTATGCCACGGTCCACGAATCGGCTGGAATTTGGAGAGTGGAATGTGGATGCATAAAACATCTTCTCTAAATCTTGGACAAGTGAACGTGTCGAGTTAGTAAACGCCAAACGGTTGTTTAGTGTTTACCATGGTAAACAATTACACTGTACAGTGTTTGTTTGTTGTTTACCAGCAACGTAGATAACGTTATCAAAAGTGTTGTTATCAACGTTGGCGGTAGCTATTGCCTATTGAGTCTAATATTTTATCGACAAATGTAATATTAAAAAATTATGCATAAAAAGTGAAAACGTGTCAGTGTTCATTTAACGTATTATTCGGAAAACGACCAACTAGAAAAATAAAAACCTTCACGTTTAATTTGGAATTTTAAGAAATCGTTATTATAGTTTTCAAACATTACGGCCAACGCATTTTAAGGTGTCGAGCTTGTGTTTTTTATACTGTACGTTGCTGTAGATTATTTTTTAATTTATCGTACAATTTGTTTTAATGGTTGTAAGAGCTCATGCACAACATTTATCATTTTAAAATAACTCAATTGTGTCGTAACATATAATTACACCTTTAAATGATAAATAACATAATTTCATCAGCAACTCGGTGCTTGGATTAAAACGTAATAATATTTTACGTTGAATGTTTTCTTAATAATTTTTTTACAAAATATCTTTAATTTGTGTACGCTGACTGGCATATTTTAGGTTACTTTTTTGGTTTTAAGTTTTAAAATAATAATAATATAATAGTAGAACTAACTAACATAATTAATTTTAAAGGTTTAATTTTGCATAGATAGTCCACAGACAAAATAACTCGGCAACTCAATCAATAGCATGAATAAATGTAACTAATGTGTAGATAATAATTTGAGTAAAACTTTTGTTGTCAAAAAGTATTCCTGGACTATCTATGTATGTTTGATTTGTGGTTTAAATATAAAAACAGGTTTGAAACAAGATAATTTATATCTTTAACACATTATAATATAAATCCTCTGACATTATTTTTTTTCAAAAACAAAGATCTATAGAATGAAAAATAACATTTGCATCAATGCTAAAATAAAATAAAACAATTTATTAAAATCAATTTAAACTCCACACCGAAGCTAAAATACTTAATATTGAATCTATTAAAAACAATGTGTGTTGTTGCTGTGCTTGATTTATTGTTTCATTATCTGATAAAATGTTGATATTTTTATTATATTATTTTAATCTACTTATTTCAGAGTGGTATGCAGAATGATAAATCTTCTCCCAGTTTGCCGGTGACGAGTACAAAGTCCAAAGAAGATATTCTCACAGAATTGAAAAGTTATACACCTAAAACGGGATTATTGCATCACAAAGAATCTACAAAGTTATTACTTTGTAAACCGAAATTGATGCCGTTGAAATCCATGACATTAGAGAAAATAGAGAAAATGCAATTGGAAGCCGAAAAGAAACTCTCTAATAGATGATTTTGTTTCATTTAAAATGACTGTTGGAATATTTAGCGCTGAAGTTGTGTTCGCTTTTATTTTCACAACGATATTACTGAATCGTTACGGCAATTGGAAAACGCAAAATGTCGTTGTCACGTTATCTGTACTCATCGCTTGGTACTTTTCCCTTCTCATTATATTTGTTCTTCCCATCGATATATCTTTAGTAAGTATTCTATTGTATATTAATTAACATGTATCCAGATTATAAAGTCTTAAAACGACAAAGTCTGTATATAAATATCATAAAATATTTATTTATTTACAGGCTGCATATCGTAAATGTGTCAAAGATCATTTACCACAAAACATAACTAATTCTAGTCAAGATACAGTTACGTGTAAACAACCATGGAGTTACGTGCCACAATCGACATTACCAAACATGTGGAGAGTGGTTTATTGGACTTCACAACTACTAACTTGGTAAAATAAAATAAAAATATTAGTGTTGTACCAAGCTACACGTTGCGATTAACCGAAGAATAAAGTTTATAAGTATTGTGTTTACCACTTAAATTTGAATGCACTTTCTTATCATTTTTATTTTTCGGTTGTTCGTGAATGTTTTTCACCCATTTTTAATATTGACACTGTGCAGACTATAAAAAAAAACTCTTTCTAAAGAGTGCTACAGTTATAAAACTAATGGTTTAATCCAACTTTTGTACATAATACATATTGATCAGTAAAAAAAATTATACTATAATCAATTTTTAAAATAACAAATAAGCTAATTTTTAATTTTTCAATGTTTTCTTATGGGACGAATAGCTTGCGCTGTTGTCCACTGCAGTGCTGAGTGTCTATAAATGTATTTTTTAAAATAAAATGTGCAATTTGTTTTTCAGGTTTATCATGCCAGTTATGCAATATTACGTTAAATCAGGAGAATTTACATTGAAAGACAAACTAAAAAACGCTATTAAAAGCAACACTGTTTATTACAGTACACTAATGACAATAGTTACGGTTTTAATAGTTTACATTGCTCTGAAACCTGGAGTGCACCTAGATTGGTTAGTATTGAATAATTTTAATTATTTTTAACAATGTCTATCTATTAAATTGATTAATTGAAAAAATACCATCAAAGGAAAACCATTTTTTTAAAATTGTATACCTAATAGATTTTATACATTTTAAAATGTATGTGTGGGAACTAATTTTGGCTAAAAAAAAAATCAACTAGTTTACACAAACCCGGATTTTTTTTAATGAATTTAAATTTAATAAAAAAAAAAAAATTATAATTAAAAATAAAATATTTGTTTAAATAATAAAATAAAATACATTTTATTTTATTATTTATTTTAACATTTTATTTGAGAGTAAAAAAAAAATATACTTAAAAATCATATTTGATGCGCTAAATCTTTATGTATTTTTAAATAATTATTTTTCAGTTATATAAAAAAGATGCCAGGTTTGAAAGTACCTAACTAGTTATGTTAACTAACGGTTACTGAACAAAGTAGCTTTAAACTTGTCAACTCGTTAACACAAAACAAAAAATAATTAAGATACTCAAATCAAATATGTATTGATTGTATTTTTTTTTCCAGGCAAAAATTAAAAGCTATTGCATCATCAGCCAGCAATACGTGGGGTTTATTTCTCTTGATATTACTGTTGGGTATTGCTCTAGTTGATATTCCCAGAGAGTTATGGCGATCTAGTCAAATAGAATATACATTGAGAAAAGTATATTTTAAGCTATCTAAACTCAACACGGAAAAAATTGAATCTGAAGGAGCGTTGGAAGATGTCATTGAGGTATATTGTTATTATTTTTTCTATTTTAAATTTATACAATAATATTAAATGCGATAAATAGTTTTCTTATTTTATATTTGGTTGTTTTCACAGTCGATTAAAAACTTGAGTGTCAGTATAAATCCGGAGGATCCTTTGTATGATTGTTTTCAAATCATTTTAAAAAAAGTTCCCGAAGATTATCGCGATTCTTTATCCAACATAAGATCGAATTCAAGGAGGTCTCACACAACGGTTTCGATTGGCGTATTGACTCGTCTTCATAAACAAGTAATTTGAGAACAATTTTATTGCACACATTTAACAAACGAAAACATTTTGTGTGAAAATTAATTAAACATAAATTCTAAAAAAATTGATTAATATAAATTGAGTTTTGTAGTAATTAATATTCTAATGTTTTGATCAAACGATGTACATAACGCCAAACCCAATTTGCTTGGACACCATCGGAAAGCGTTGATCGGCTGTGTAGTGACAATTTGATTTTGAATTAGCTGTAGCCTGCCCGGATTAGTAATTAAATCACCGTCGGGTTCGGTTTTGCATCTCTCTTCGGGGTATAAGTATTTCCACAAGTACACCGTTCCATTTCCACCCGTTGTAGCGAACACCTCTCGTTTCTGAGGTAAATGTCGAACAGTCCATATCGTATGTTTGTGTAAATTGTTTCGCACGTAACCAAACCCTTTGGTGGGATGCTGTATTTTGGTATCGAACACATAAAACGACGACTCTATTGTCGTGGCCACCAACTTGTTCATTTTAATGTCGCTTCTGTCAAACTCCAAACTGCATACTCCGTTCGATACGTTTGTTTCCCAGCGTACGGCCATTGCTCGTAAGTCCAACATTTTTATATCCCCGTTGTCGTATCCCGCACAAACGATTCGTTCTTCAGAATTGTACGCGTTCCCAAACACCACGGTCCAACAATCCCTTTTGCTATCGCCATTGGCCGATTCCATTTTCGCTACTGGCAATTTTTCTCTCGGATCCCAAATTTTTACCGAACCGTCTTTGCCGCCTACAAAACAACGATCGTGATTTCAGTATGGTGCACAATGGTGCACAGGGCCCACAGAAATCTTATTAAAAGTGGCCAAAAATATTATTTCTCAGAATATTTGTTTAATCATATTTGTATATTTCAGTTATATTCACATGGTACATACCTGTAACTAATTCCGGTGCTCCGCATCCTATCCCCAGGCCTCCGACGCCGTCAACGCTGTAGATCAAACCTTGATGAGCTTTTGCCGTGTATACTGATTTGCCGGAATAATCCAGATCGACGATTTCCAAGTTACCCTCGTAATTTCCAATAGCTAGATGTGTTTTATTTAATGCGCTCGCTCGAAATGTCGCACATTCAATGGACGTTTGTTTTTCGTATTCGTGTACGGTCCGTATGTCGTCTTCGTCCAGCGTGTACACATTTAACACTCCTTTCATGTTTGGCTTGCCGCCGACTGCTATGAATTTTGCCGAATTGTGTATCCACTGACATTCTTTCAGTTGATAGTCTACTGCTTTTTCTTTATGGATAATAATCTGCGGTTTACTTAATTTGTCCATTTCCAATCAAAAAGTATTACTTATTTTACCATTAAGATGACTGATATGCGTTTGAGTTAAACAAGAAAAAATACACATAAACACCGGTGGTTGCTAAGGATAATTGTAAACAGATAGTGACATCAATAAACTAACAAGGGCTATACAAACAACGTATATACTTTTATGTCTTATTAATTTGTTATATTAAACAACCGAGAATTGTAAATATATAATATGTGAGCACAAGGGAGATCTATCTAGGTCTCAAATTTGTTAAGGAACCAAATAGATTGAAAATGTCTGATTTTACAAAAAAGCTTTTTATCTATTTATTTGAATTTGATAGTCATTTTTGTAAAAAAAAAAAAAACAATTGTTATTTTTAACAATTACTATTGTTCTTAATAAAACCGAATAAATGTTAGTTTTTTTTATATAGATTATTGCTTGTTAATAAAAATATCATATATTTTTAGCTAATCACCGCTGTACATATGTACCGGCGTACAGACACGCAAGGAAGTCTGACATTGGAAAAAGCGATTTTTTTAGAAGATGTTAATTTTAACATGACATCAAGAGACCGGAGTTTCAAGAAAACATATTGTGAACCATCCAAGTGGAATGACTATGTTGATATATCGAAAATTGGTATGTTTACTGTAGACTGTAGAATATAAAGGGGGTCGGTTAAAATGTTTAACTAGTTTAAATGAAATTAACCACTTGGAGTATCTAGTCCGACCGCGAACAAACTATTTTATGTATCATTTTCAATAATATTGATCAAACTTAATTGTATCCACACTAATACTAAAAATGTAATTTTAAACACATTTTTGCCTTTACAACACTTTTATTATAGATTTTTTTAAATTACTTACAAACTGGCATCGAAGCGTTTATTTAGAAGTGATTTTTATCACATTCAATTATAATAATTCCAGAACACCTGTGACTTGTGCTGACTTCATTTTTTTTTTTTTTTTTTTAGAATGGTATTGGTGGTGTTGTGTACACCCAGCACTTCTCCGTACGTTAGCAGTTTTGACCGGCATATTATCGGTAACAGTAGTTTGGTCCGAAATGACATTTTTCAAAAAACAACCTGTGCTCTCTATTTTTGCTCTCATGGTGAACGCGGCTAAAGAATCAAACGACTACGTAATGATACAGGTAATATTACAAAACTCTTATGTAGGCTATAACACATGTTAGAATTGAGTAAACGCTTAAGTCAATGGTATAGGTTATGTACATCTTGAGAAATCCAATGAAAATATGTTTGATTGTTGTTAAGAACTTAGCTAACACTTTTTGTATATGATTGAAAAGCCAATAATTGTTTAAGACGGTCTCTTTCTACGATAAACATCATGGTCGCCCATAGTCGCCTTTTTAAGTTGGAGCTTTAAGAACTTGAAGTTTTGAAAATGATTTCTTTATTTTTTCTAACAGATTCTATCGACAATCGCCATTGCATACTTGGCGTATTGCACGTATTCAACGATATTCAAAATAAAACTGCTCAACATATACTATCTAGCGCCAAACCATCAAACCACGGAGAGCAGTTTAATATTTTTCGGGCTGTAAGTGGTTTTCCGTTTTTTATATTACCAGCTTTTCCGATGTTAAAAATACATAACATTGTGTTTCAGGTTATTGAGCCGTCTTACATCGCCCATGTGTTTGAACTTTCTGGGATTAATTCACATGGACAGTCATGTGATTAAAAGTAGAATTCTAGAAACCGACTACACCCAAGTAAGTACATTTTTAATTGGTACCATCCAACCGATAAATCCTACATATTATATATTCATATTATTTGTCATAGATAATGGGACACATGGACGTAATAACAATTATCAGCGATGGGTTTAACGTATACTTTCCCACTCTTATTCTGATCGTGTGTCTGGCGACTTACTTCAAAATCGGCTCACGGATATTATCCATGTTGGGATTTCCTCAGTTTTTGGAGGACGATGAACTGGTAACCGATTACATTCAAGAGGGTCGCTTATTGGTCGTACGCGGTGAGTTGCAACTTTTTAGTTATCTTCATCGAACCATTTTGCACATTTGTTGAAAACTATTATTTATTTTTAGAAAAAGAAAGACGGGAACGTAAATTACGAGGCAATGAAATGCGGCGCAAGTACAGAGAACAAAGCCGTTCTACTAGAAGCGTTGAAAATCCTGAAGAAAGTTAGTGTACTTGGCTGTTGTTGTTTTTTTTTTTACATATTATTTTGCTTCTTATGGAAAATGTGTTGTTCACTTTTGTATCACCTTTAGGACTTCCGCCGTCCAGACAAGAAAACATGAAATCCTATTTGTTGGACAACGCCGAACCCGTCGACAGGTCGTATCAGAGTTACGCTACAGGCAGCATCAACGAATCGGAGAGACAATTACCGAATGTCAGTACGAGACCTAGCACCACGTGGGAACCACCGAGGAATATATTTAGTGACTTATAGTTCACTTATTATTATTATTATTATTATTTTTATATTAACATGATTGTGTAAATATATTTTTAAATCCCAAATAATTTAAATCATTCCTTAAATTGTATTCGACGTAAACACTATTATTGAATTCTTATACTATATTAATTATCGTGCACATTTCGGTATATTATTTAAATTATCTCTTTTGAATGTATCAATATTGGTTAAAATATAGAATATTGTGTATTGACACGGTTAGTGTATGTTGTAATTTTAATAAATTTTACATTTTCCATAATTCAAAGTACTAACTCCAATTTAGTCGTTTCTGAGTGCATGAAACTATTACCTAATCGGTGTTAAATATTGTGTTCTAATTAACAATGAGTCATCTAGTCATTTCTCAACATTTGATACACACACTATAATTACATACAATAATAACATTCCTCTTAAACGAAATCAAATGTTACTGTACATACACTTTCTATTGTTTGATCTAAAATAAACTAAGTGAAAGTAATAATGATAATTTTTTCTACGAATTATTGACTGTTATCTATTGTATAAGCTAAATTTGTGACTATGATAATTATTATTAAAAAAACAATTAAATATTTCCTAATTTTTAGTTCAAATGATAAAATGTAGGGTTGCCCCAAACAGCAAAGTATAAACAGATTAAAAATTTACTTTTAAATTAATTGTTGCACGTTAATAAAAAAACCCGTTGCCTCATAAGCAACTTAATGCTTTCTAAGTAAATGTTTAATCTATCAAAGTTCAATTTTTTCTATGAGCTTTAAGTAGACATAGACTTATGAAGATTAATGCTTTAATATTATAATCTTCGGGAAATAATATTAAACAGTGCTTTATTCTAGTAATATGTTAAAGTAATAAAAACATTTTTAGGTTTAGTTCTGATATAAAAGTAATATAGTTAACATTGGAGCGAAATCTATTTAAGTTTGTTATTATAACAAAGGCAAATTTTCTGCACATTATGGAAACGCTGAAATAATTCAAACAATAATAATTTATTAATAAAAACTGTGTTTGTTTATTAAAAATTACAAGGATCACAAATTATAATGGTTTTTAATTAATTTTTAAATAATCATTACAACGAAAATGTTACTGTTTATTTAAAACTACCGATACATATGTTATATATTTGAGGCAGGTACGGATATGTCATAAAGCCATCATTGTTAATAAATTTAAAAAAAATTTCACTGCGCATTAAAATTTAATAGAATTTTAATAATGTCCAAAAAAAAAAAAAATTAAATACTGTGTATTACCGTAATGGCTTATGGCTATATCTGTACCTTACAAAAAAAAATATAAAATATTGTATCGTCAAACGTGAATCTGAAATAAGTTAAATGTTAAAAAAAACAAAAACAAACGAACATTATTTGGATTCGATAAAATAAAAACTTATTTGGTAAATAACATAATATTATTATTATTCTTTCTAATACAATGTTAATTAATGACTTGAATAGAATACATATAACAGTTTTGATTTAAGTAGGAGTAATAAAAAATAAAAATTAGTCACTTTTTAACATTTTTTCTAATGACTGAAAATAGTATAACTTTTTTTTTTTTTTTAATTTAGGAAGTTAAATATAATATATAAATTTTTTATTTTTTGTTAATAAATTAATAGTTATTTTTTCATATATTTATATATTTATATCACACTATTCGTACATAACATTTTATATAATCATGTTATTGCGATTATTATACAATATCTAATTATTTAATTCTAATATATTACACGCGCGACTTAAAAACTAACTGTGGCCAAGTCTTCCGAAGGCTCGACACCCTTTTTCTCTATACTTAATATTGCTTATAACTTTTTTTTTTTATGGGTACATCTTATAATAATTTTTTTTTTTTTTACAAGTAAAATAATAACTCTCGGGCAAGCTTTCGGAAGAGATGACCGTACAACAATTAAAACGTCAATACGAAATTACATACATTATTATTATTATTACTGTTGTTAACGTTTTTACAATGTAAATCAATTATTTACGTTTTAATTGTGTAATTTTGACTAAGGAATGATCGCGTCAAGTCCAGAAAGTAACACAAAGGCCTCTAATCGGGGAACACTCGTTTCGTTAATAATTTTCAAAAAAAAAATAATAATAATAATTATAATACAAAATGTTCGATTGACGAGTGTCGACAGCTAATTAAAGGCCTCGACTTTGTGACTTAGCGATAAATGGCAAATTATCAACAGTCGTATATTATAAAGTAATATAGTATTAATTCCCATAAAAAAAAAAAAAAAAACATATTCTAATAATATTTCTTATTCATATTATTTCTTATTCTTATATTCTTATGTCAGGTAATCCGGAGACGGTTCGGACGTCTGGTCGTGGTTCATGAACATGGGGTTGGGCACTTGGTTGGGGTGAGGTAAAGGTCCGTTCACGTTTGGCGTTCTCCTGTAGGCCATGAGCCAACACGAAACGGCCACGGCCACGGCGACCAACGCCAGAAGGGCCGTGATGATCAGAGCCACAATCAGGCCGATCACCGAAACGCATATGTCGTCTGCCGGTTGGATTATTGGCGCTGCGCATACATACAAAAAAAAAAAAAAAAACACATAAAATATATTGGATGCTTTCTAGCTGGGGGGGGGGGTTTATCCGGGGTCTCCGTTGACCCTTCCATTGGTCAATCTACAAGCCCACAAAGTTAGCCTAATGTATTATTTATTTGAGAAAACAATACTTAACCCTCCTAAACTTGGCAGAAATAAAAACATCATACGAAAATTCCAAACCATGGTTTTTTTTCACTAATAGTTAAGACTTAACCAAGCCTTACCTAACCTAACCTAGCCTAACCAAACCTAACCTGACCTAACCTGACCTAACCTGAAGACCTGTAGAAATCATTTTTGACGTTTTTTTTTTTTTTTAATGAACAGTTTTTCAATTATAGCGTGTATCTTCAAAGATACACCGCCCAATTTGACTAGTTTAATAGTTGTATGTTTAAAGATACACTGCCCAATAGACATATTAAGATAAAAAAGAATAAAACAATTTTAAATAGTACTTTATGGTTTTGTGTAGATAGGTATTAATCTTTAAATTAAGTCCTATGTTTATTTGTATTAATTAGGAAAAAAATGTTTAGGACATTTCTTAAAAAGAAAATAAGTTAAATATTTCCTGCATTTAAAAAATAGGTATTTAATTTACCGTAATAAAATAATAGATACCTATTAGAACGAAACAATTAAAATGTATCTAATAATTTATTATTTTTATAAAATTTTTAAATACTCCACTATTAGGGCATAGTATTTTTTTGGATACGTGAGATTTTATACTTAAATAACTGAATAAGTGATTGACTTAATATTAATAAAATATTTACACATAAATTCTGATAATTCTAACAGCTGAATTAAATATATTTAGGTTTTAAACTATAAATAAAATGTGTTGAAAATCAGTCCAAAAAAATATATCATCGCTAAGTTAAGGGCATTTTCAAAGACCAGCCTCTAATCGTGGACAAAAATATTTTTTTTTTTAATGACATATAAACACTTAAATGGTCACTGTGTGAAATACTTATGACACAATTATGTTACAAGAAAAAAAATGTTTAACAAATCAATAATATGGTTTGTCGAATATTTACAAACTAATCTTGAACATCATATTATTATAGTGTCACTAGTGTGTTTATAAGCATTTTAAAAAAATCATTCTGAGAAAGTATTAGGTTTGCAAGTATGTTTTTGTATTTTTTTGTACCTAAGCCCACGATATTATCCAAAATGCACCCCTCCCTCCCCTTCAAAATCCAGAAACACACACAAAAAATGTATATATTTTTCTTGCTTAATATCTGTCACGCTATAGATAAAATAATTCAAATTAGTCCCAAATATGCATGGAATGTTCTTTAGAAATAGTATTATACATTATACGTTGACAAACCCACCCAAAGAAATGTCAAAAATTATTTTTCCCCAGAAGAAGTGGATTTTTTTTCTCACAATTTTAGGTGCACTTTTAAGGCCTGGAAATTAATCTGACGGTTTATAATATCTAAAGTAAAGTGTAGTAATTGAAGTGATTTTTTCGTGCTAGCCTCGCCATTTTTTATTCTCAGATCCCAACAACATTACATGCTGTAGACATTATTATAGTTATAGCAACGGTACGAACCTTCGGTCGGGTCCATGAGTCTCTCTTCTCGTCTCTCGAAAGTCAATATGGCGTTCGATTCGATGGTTATTTCTTCTCTCAGCTGTCCCCGTTGATTGGGATCGAGCACTTCTTCATCGTCGGACTTGTTTCTGGCGATTTCACGGCGCCTACGCTTGCCGAATGCGTTGTAGCCTCGGCAATTCACCTGCGAACGACAGAGAAAAAACCTATGGTAAAAAAAAAAACCAACTACCGTCCTGTGGAACTAACGTCTTGCGAAACGTTACATAGAATATATATTCTTATGGGCATCGGTGGGGACCGTCTTGGCCGTGAGTCACCGACCTTAGCCGGATACTGTGCCTACCTACGCAGAAGTGGGGACCGTCGACGACAAAGCGCTGAACTCGTTTGCGCCTTCCACTCCTCCGGGCAACTCGCAGATGCAATTATATACTACGATTAAGTATTCTTTGCACACAATATTACTATACGGCTTACGTCACGCGTAACTTGTACACATATTACATTGAGTCACTTTTCGTTTGGAAATCGTCGAAAAAGTCCGGCGAAAAAAGCCATGAACGGTATAAAGGGCGTTTGGAAATGGGCGACTCTTAGAGCCGTCTTTGTTTCAAATTTTGTCCCTTGAACGTTATGTCCAAAATGAATGATGTTTACATTGAAATGAACGTTTTTTTTTTTGTAATATGATAATTGTCCGAATTTATTTTTTAACTGGACGAAGGATTAATTCATCTAACATAAGCTAAAACTTGGTTTTGTGATGAAAAGCCCAGCAAATTTTTTTCACATAGTAATAATAAATTATGATTTTGTTGTTCCACTAGTATTTTTTTTTGCCACAAAAAAAACTAGGAGTACTCGCAAAGAAATGTTCAAGGCAATTTTTTTAACAAATGCCCCAGATCTTAAGAAGCCTACGATTTAATTGGCAATTATTACACAAGGTCGTTTTCATAATTTATGACAAAGCACGTAATATATGAATATTTAGGCTTACAAAATAAGTATAAAAGTGACGATAATTTTAGTTGTTTTTGTGACGCGGTCGATGGATTAGCATTTTTTTTTATTAGACTGGACCTTTTGCCCTCAGACTTTGACACGACTTACCGGTTGGCACTTGCCGAAGCACACCCTTATGTTGCACTGGAACCGTATGTTGTCCGAGCTTGGGAACTTGAACGCGTTGAATCCGGCCAACAGTGACTGGGTGTCGGCGTTGTAGTCCCATTCTCCAAATATGGTGGGATCGGTGGCGCATCCGTTTTCGTCGGTCACTATGTATTCGTTTTCCACGTTGTCCTCGATGGTTTTGGCCACACAACTCCTGGCGAATCCACCGTAGATGCCTTGATGGGGAGGAGCAAAAAAAAAAACCATTTTTAATATCTATATATTTTTTTTAAACACAGCCGACCGGCTAAGTCAGCGGACATACTCGACGGTTGCACGTCCACTTGCAGCATGAGGTTGTCGCCTATCTCGGCCGAGTCGATTTCTTGACCGGTGTGGGTGACAATCTTCATCAGACACGTGGGCGGCGGACCCGTGTTCGCTATCGTTCCGGCCGTGGTCAACATGGAAACGTTGAATCCTAACGTGACGTTCTGCTCGCCTGTCTGGTACACGCACCGGATGTGGTACGCCTGGGCTTTGTAGGTGACCAACTTGGGATGCTTTTGGATGACTAGCACGAAACTAGCTTGTCCCTGTTGTAAAATCGCACAGACCGTGTTTAAATTGCCGGTCAAATTGCAAACACTCCCTACCAGCCAACCTGGCTGAATATACTCACGTTGATGTGGATTAGACCGCAATTTCCAAAGTTGACTTTGAAAATTTCGGTCTTGGGCGACGAGTCTTGGGCCATCGACACCACTCTGCGACACTGTTCGTCCTTGCTGTGACCCTTCACGTACAACACGCCGTTGAATCCTTTTTCCGTAATGTGGATTTCCACTTGAACACCGTCGGACAAGCATGTCACAACCATTTCGGGTCTGGGGAAGTCTGTTCGCAGTTGCGTTACGTTTTCTAAACAAATAAAAAAGGTTGGTCAGTCTTCGACAGTCTTTGTGTTTTTAGTTTGGCAATAATAATATATACTAAAACCTATCAACTCACTCGGTGTGCATTGGCCGTAAATATCCAAACTATAACCGTGGTCGGTCGGGCATATGCAACGACCTCTTTCGTCGATAATCAATCCTCTGTCTAATGCGCACACGCAACGGCCGTTTTCGTCAATTTTGTATCCTAATTCGACAACGCACCGACGACATTCGTCTTCTTGGTTCAAAGCCGTGCCAGGTGGGCAAACACATTCTCCGTTTTCATTCCTAACGTATCCTTTATCGATTGGACATTTGGACACTGGAAAACGTTAAAATATTGTTAATTACACCGACTCAAATGTCAGTCGAACTATTACACCGAATCTCGGTTAAGTGTTTTTCTTAACCTATTAGTAAAAACGAATATAATATACCTTCTTCGCATTGTATTGCAGCATTTCCTTGGGTTCCCGGAAGACATTCGCATATCATTGTTCTGATTGGGACGGTATCGAGTACTTTGCACTTGGAGTTGATGCCACATGGCGATGAAGCATCACATGGATTCACACACAGTTTATTAATACAGCCGGTCTGTGATGGACAATCGGAGTCGCTTTCACATCCACGGTCAACTACAATAATAAATTAAAATATGTTGTAAAAAATGTTAAATCGAAAAGTAGTTGATCATATTATATGTAATCAGTTATTTGTAATTGTATAATTTATAAATAAAAAAAAATTATATTTTACACAGCTCAACTTACTCTTTTGACATCTAGTTCCTCCTTCGCCTATATATCCTGGCGGGCAAGCACAATCCGGTCGATGATTATAGACTGTACATTCTGCAGGTTGGACACAAGGGTTGTTCACGGTACAAGGACTAATACATTTGGCGTTTATACAAGCTTTGTCAGTCGGACAATCGGTATCAGCCCGACATCCAGCTACTACACAAGCAATTTGTGGATTCCCAACGTATCCAGGTGGACATTCGCAAATTGCCTGATGATTGATTCCATAACATTCAGCTGCTGTACCACAGGTACTGCCGTCTGCGGAACACACTGGAACGCAAATTCGGTTGATGCACGTATGCTGGGTTGAGCAATCGGATTCGCTTCGACATCCGGCTGAGAAAAAAAAACAAAATAATTGTATTTTTTATTAGATTTGTCAATTAAAACAATATACTCAATTAAACGGAATTTTTATTTCTTCTTACCTCTTGAACAATCTATCTCCGGATTTCCATCGAAACCGGCTAGACACGAGCAAACAGGTTTATGATCCCACACTCTACATTCCGAATTAGGTCCACAGTTGCAAGGATCGATACACCTTCCGTTTACACAAGCCTTATCGGATGGACACTGAGGATCCGCAGTACAAGCGACCGCTGTTATAGGTGGCATGGTCTTGCACGTTCCACTTCCGCTGCTGACGTACCCACTGGGACATTCGCAAATCATTGTCCTTACCGGCAATGTATTTATTACAACACATTCGGCCGGTCGTTTGCAAGGTTCCAAGGTCGTGCACGGGTTTTGGCACACGTTGTCGAAACACGCTAACAACGATGGACAATCAGCGTCTTCTTTGCATTCGGGTTGTATTTCTTGTCGGCAAGCCACGTATGGATTTCCCAACATTCCCGGCGGGCAACGGCAGAGCGCGAAGTGATTTTGAACTTTGCACTCAGCTTGCGGTGAACAAGGGTGTTCGTAGACACACGGATTGATACATTGTCCGTTGATGCAAGCACGGTCGTTCGGACAGTCGTTATTGCTACGGCAGCCGATCACCAAGCATCGATCGTAAGGGTTTCCTCTATAACCACTTTTGCAACGACATTCTGGTCGGCTAGCTATGGTGAAGCATTCGGCATTAGGTCCACACGGATCTTCGATAATACACGGGTTCACACAATGTCCGTTGATGCAAGCTTTTCCTGAATCGCATTCGGAATTTCTTTTACATCCAACTGCAAAAAGGCACCACCGTTCATTGTATTGTATTGTAATAAGATTATAATTAAATGAAAACTCAAAAAAAAACATACCTGTTCTGCACGCTACGTTTGGATTTCCGTCGTAACCTTCCAAGCACGAACATACTGGACGGTGATTTTGAACGAAGCACTGGGAGTTCGTACCGCAATTGCAAGGATTCCGGCATTGTCTGTTCAGACACGCTTCGTTTGTCGGACAGTCATCGTTTGTCGTGCAACCCGGAGGTGACGATACAACGACTAAAAAAAAAAAACAATATAATATTAATTATGGATAATTTTGTTATACAGGGTGTATCAAAAAGAATGGTGGGGTTTCAAACGGCTGTAGGTTGTGAAGTATTGGACCTACAGCGCTCTGGTAAGACTTAAATGAAAGAAGGAGTTGTCAAATTTCGAATGGCTGCCACTAGATGTCTCTGACACTAGATGTTTCATAGTCGTAACTAAATTACGCTTCGCGAACTCGATCACTTCTCTTGTGAGGACGCCATCTTAACAAACTGAACAATGAAAGCTGGCGACACAAACGGGAACGTGGAGAGACGTCTAGTGGCAGTCATTTGAAACTTGACAACTCCCTCTTTTATTCAAGCCCTACCAGGGCGCTGTAGGTCCAATATTTCACAGCATACAGCCGTTTGAAACCACACCATTATTTTTGATAAATTTTAAATAATATCCAACCTCGCTTGCATTCTCCGCTTTCGTCGAGAACCCATCCTTCCGGACACGTGCAAGTCATTGTTCTTACTGGAACGCTGTCCAGCACTGTACACATGGCGCTATTTGAACAAGGTTTTATTTCTTGGCATGGGTCGACACACGTCTGTCTGATGCACGCAAGACGGCTGGCGCAGTCCACGTCGATCTTACATTCTGGCTCGCCATAAGTAGGCGGCGGTAAACGTTCGCAGTACGTAGCCGGGTCTCCTAGCGGGAAGCTTTCGGGACACCTACAATTGGCAGCGTGGTTTTTGGGCAAACAAATTGCATTGGAAGCGCACGGTGGGCTATGTTGTTCTGTACATGGATTGATACAGTGTTGGTCGAAGCACATTCGATCGGACGGACAGTCGATGTCGTAAGTACATTCGATTCGTTCGCATTTTTCAAACGGATTGCCGACATAACCAGGTGGACATCTACATGCTGCACGGTGGTTGTCGCCATAGCATTGTCCCGTCGGTGCACATGGATCGTTAAGCATGCACGGTGGAACGCAATCTCCATTGTAACATTGTTTGTCGTAGGCACATTGATCGTCTGACGTGCATCCCACTATAAAATTTGAAAATACACGTTAATACATGGGGGGGAAAATGAGTGTACGTCTAAAAACTGAACGACTGCGATTGAGTATGGATATTCTTACAAAAAGTTTGAGATTATTTAAAACTAATTATTACTTTTAACGCAGCCTTGCTGTGGATTTCCATAGTATCCCGGCTTACAAACACAGCTTGGGTAATGGTCGTATACTTTGCAGTCTGCATTTGGTCCACAGTTGCACGGACTAACGCAAAGTCTGTTAATGCATGACTCTTCTGGACTACACTCGGTGTTCGACACACAAGCCACTGCAGATATTGAGGCTATATAAAAAGAAACATTTTATAAAATTACAATTATGACCCGTTTAATTATTTAAAAATAGCTAACAATAATCGATCTTACGTGGAATACAAGCTATACGTGGATCTCCAGTGTAACCATTTGGACATCTGCAGACTGGTTGGTGATTTTGCACATGACAGAATGATCCTTGGCCACAACTGCTGGGCAAAGTGCAAGGACTAGTGCATTTTTGGTTAATACATGTTTGATCTGTTGGACAATCGTCGTTCCTTACGCATTCTGGCGCAGGAGGTAGTACTGGGACTGCTTGTTCTATAATATCAAAGCGTGATTAGTAAGTTACTACTGTACATTTGTATAATATCTAATAACTTCAATACTTAATTAAAATTAATCCACATAACAAATACTCACTAATTGTACACTCTGTATGTGGATTGCCTATGTATCCTGGTGGGCATGAACATGCTGACTGGTGGTTTTGCGAAATACACTGTGCATTTATTCCACAAGGATCAATGCGACATGCTTCAACGCAGCCTTGATTTACACATCTTTCTGAAAGTTGGCATTCTTGATCGCTTCTACATTGAGGCGTGATAGGAACTAGAATAATACACGTTAGTTATAAATAAAATACAGAAGCCGTCAAATTGGTTGTTATGAATATTATTAATTCACGATATTTTGGGTGTAAACCAGTAAATTAAACCAAAAATATGATAATAAATGTCTCTGGCCTGTACACTAAGTTTATTGCAAACTTCAAATTATCGAAACTTGGGAGGAACCTATTCCTTTCAAGTTACATATTTTTAAATAAAATAAAATAAAAAAAGCGTACTTATTGGTTTGCAACGGCCATCGGCAGTAGCAATAGTGTCTGGTCTACATTGGCACATTACGGTTTTGTATGGTACAGTGTCTCGAACGTGACACTCTTGGTCTGGCGAACACAATACTGATATGGTACACGGGTTTTGGCATCTTTGATTTATGCAAGCGTATTTTGACGGGCAGTCGGAATCTATGGTGCACTCGGGCGTTATCGACGGTATTCTTGATTCTAAAAAAGTTAAAAAAAATCATGTCTTGAGTTCAGTCAAACGTCAAAGCGATTGTTGTTTAATTTAATTACCAATGCATTCGATGTAAGGATTTCCTTGGAACCCTATCAGACACGTGCATGTCGGTTGGTGAGCTTGCGCTAAGCAGGTGGCATGTTCCGCACAAGTGTCTTGTTCACACACAGGTCTACATCTTCTGTTCAGCCTGTCACACGCTTCATGGTCTGCACAGTCTTCGTTGTATTGACATACGACTGACACGCACGATACCATTGGCGATCCTTGTGTACCCGGCGGACAAATACAATGGGCTTTATGCCCTTGTACAACACATTCAGCACCGTGACCACAATTTTGTGTGGTGCACGGATTCAGGCAATTGCTATTTATGCAAGCTTTGTCGTACACGCAGTCACTGTCGGTCTTGCAGCCAGCTAAACATTCGAAATAATTGTTGGTATTTTTTTCTTAATTGATTAATTTATTAAGAAGGTAATAAGTTCACTCACGTTTGTAGCACCGGACTTGAGGGTTTCCAGCCCATCCGTTCGGACAGTTACAAATGGCTCGGTGATTTATCGTGGTGCATTCTGCTGTGGAATCGCACGGTCTGGATATTTGACAAGGATCTTGACAATATTGGTTCATGCATATCTTCGAACTTGGGCATTCGGAATCCGTAGTACATTCCGGCGAAGCTAGTGGGACTAAAGAATTGTAGAAAATTGTTTTAATAAAATATAATATGTCCAATTATACAAATTTAATATGTTGGATTTATGTCTAGTAAATTATTTACCTTTGTAACAGCTAATGAATGGATCGCCAGTAAGGCCATCTGGGCATTTACAAACGGCTTTGTGGTTGTTAATCGAACATTGTGCGGTAGGAGCACATGGGTTGGATGCAGCACACGGATTGACACATTGTCTATTCACGCATGAATCGGATGGTGGGCATTCGTCGTTAGATGAACATCCCGTCAATGTAGGAGCAACTGATTTACAAAAAATAAACATTATTTAATTATACATGAAAATATAACTACGATAATGCAATTCAAACTATTTAGAATATACTAAATTATATTATATTACACAAAACAATATTATAGTCAATCGTGTAGTTATTTTTTATTTACAAAAGACAGATAGTATACGGAAGTGAAGGGATTGACTAAACATATTTAAAAAAATACGTAATAGTTAATTCGAGTTAGATGTGTTACTAGGTCCTACTACGATTTAAAATTTAACAGGATAACATTTTTAAAAGGAAATAAATTTTGCAGCAAAAACCTGAAATCATATAACATATTTTAATAAGTTAGTAATATAATGTTAACATTATTATCTAATTAATATAGAAAGAAATTTTTAGAGATCAATAAGTTTCTTGTAGATACAATAAGAACATAATATTATAATGTATAGTATAGGATTTGTCTATTTTACCTTGTTTGCATTGTATGTCAGCGTCTCCGACATAACCAGGAATGCATTGACATGACATAGTTCTGTGAGGTAAAGTGTCAACAACCGTACATTCGGCATACGAACCGCACGGTTTTATTTCAACGCACGGGTTTCGACATACGCCATTGAAACAAGCTAGTTTACTGGCGCAATCGGAATCCATCGTGCATTGTGGTTGAATAGCCATTGGTTCTGAAATAAATAAAATGTATAAGAATCTAATATACTTTCAGGCTCAACCCAATGTTCGAGTAGAGATTACCGAATATAGCAATAATAATATTATTAGTTTATTAAGAATAATACTAGAAAATATTATGTTAAGCTAATTACCTAAGGTGCAAGACACATGAGGATTTCCTATATATCCAGGTGGACATCTGCATGATGCAACGTGATTGGCGACGTTACATAATGCAGTCGAAGCACAATCGCATGGACTTTGACAATGTTGATTTCTACAAGCTAATGTCGAAGGACAATCGGCATCGATTGTGCATTCGGGTCTTCTACATTCGTTGAACGGATCGCCTTCATACGCTGGAGGGCAATAACATCTGGCTCGGTGATACGAGTCTGGGCGACATAAAGCGTTCAGACCACAATGTGTGTAAGCACATGGATCCACACAATCGCCATTGATACACGAATATTCAGGTGGACAATCCGTTTCAGCGCGGCAACCGACTAGGGTAACAACAATTATTATTAGCAATAGTTTTTTTTTGGAAATTTGAGACAACATACTTTCAACACATTGGACTTGTGCATTTCCAGTCATGCCATCTCTACACACGCAGATGGATCGGTGTTTTTGTACAAAACACAAAGCGTTTTTAGCACAAATATTTGATTCTTGGCAAGGATTTTTACAAGCATAATTAATGCAAGTTTTATCGTTTGGACATTCGCTGTCACTCGTGCATTCGGGTTTTGGTTCTATAATTAGCATTTGATATTAGACAATTTGTAAGTCTTTGGCTTAAGCTAAGAAGTGATCAAAACAAAAACAATACCTGGTGGTAGCTGTTGAACTGAACATTGTAGTTTTGGTTCTCCGTAGTATCCTGGTGGACATGAGCACACAGCATTGTGATTGACTACTTGGCATATTGCATTTAATCCGCAAACATCGCGGCAAGGGTCTTGACATTTTTGTGCAAAACATGCTTTGTCTCTAGGACAATCTTGGTTTATAATACATTCTGGGTAGATGCAGGATGCCAAATCTCCAATCACCCTACACTGACCATTGCTACCACAAGGCGATGGATTACACGGATCTTTGGGTAGAGCTGCTAAATAAATTCATCATTGTTTAGATGATATATTAACGCTATTTATTTAAATACATTTTACTAGTGTGGTTAAAACAATATCATACCTGGTTGTTGTTTGCATTCGACAAATGGATCGCCAACCGTAGCTGGTGGACACGAACAAACTGGGCTGTGATTAATTGTTTGACATATTGCTTGGTAGCCACATACGCCAGGACACGGGTCAATACATTTATTATTCACGCAAGCTCTATTGCGAGCACAATCAGGACTTATAACACACTCTGGTCGGCACCCACTAGTTGAAGGTGTTCCTTCGTATCCAGGCAAACATTCACAAATAGCAGCACCGTTCATGACACGGCAACGAGTATTAGGTCCACACGGTGATGGAACACATGGATCCGAAGGCACTGGATCTGCAATATAAATTTATTAGTAAAATGTATTGTGTGGCAGAGAGAGTTTTAAAAACAATAGCGAAAACCATGATTATAAAAAATTAATAATTTACAAATGAGGCGCACTCTGCCTATGACCATTGCGATATTTTTTAAATAAGTTAAGGTTCGTGTTAACAAAAAATTACCTCTGACGGGTATCGGTTGACATATTTGGAATGGATCACCAGTCAAACCTTCGGGACACGAACATATTGGTATATGATTCGAGACGAAACATAAAGCGGATACTCCACAGGTACCAGGACACGGGTCTTGGCATTTATTTTTTATACAAGCTTTGTTCATGGTACAATCGGAGCTGACTAGACATTCAGGGCGGCACGATTCGTATGGATTTCCTTGGTACTCTGGTAAACATTCGCAGATAGCGTATTGATTTTCGACACGACATCTTGCATTAGGGCCACACGGTGACGGGTAACACGGATCAGCGGCTGACGTTGGCGTTGGTTCGACAGCTATTTCCAAAAAAAAATCAGTTAAGTAAATTTTAAGACCTTTCCTTTCGACTACATTCGTGTAGCGAAAAATAACTACAGCATGCAATGATATAATGATACTCGTGCAATATAGACAAAAGCATGCAACCTATAATAAAAGCATGCACTCTTTGGCTACTCTTCTACAAACCTTTACTAAAAAATAAAAGACCTATGTTTGTGAAGACGTTTGAATAATTCAACATTAATTATATAGCTTAAATTACGCTTATTCACTAATATGTACTTAACGACTAACTTATAAATTAATATGTGTCTAATACTATAACGCAAAAAAATAACGTAGATCTGGAGGTTGCTGTCATAAAGAACATGGTTTTTTATAAAAAAATTAGTGGTAAAATAATATAAAATCAGTTGTATCTTACACATAGTTGGCTGAATATAGCAGGATATAAAAGGATTTCCAATATATCCTTGAGGGCAAACACATTGAGGAATATGATTAAGCACGTAGCATTCGGTGTTCAATCCGCATGAACCAACACACGGATCTCTGCATTTCATATTGATGCAAGCCAAGCTTGATTTACATTCACTATTTGATATACATTCTGGACGACACTGAGGAGGAGATCCTTGATAGTTTGGTAAGCATGTACATATGTATGAGCTGGAAGTAACGCGACATTCCGCGTATGGGCCACATGGGCTTGGAACACAAGGATTGATTGGTTCTTGTTGAGGTTTTATAACTGTAAGCATGTATACATATTTATTAAATATGTCCTTGTTAATACTCATATAATGTTGTACATACCTGGATATGTACATCTTGAAAACGGATCTCCTGTCATCTGCGGAGGACAGCTACAAATTGCATTATGGTTTAATACTTGACATTCTGCGTTAATGCCACAAGTTCCTGGGCATGGATCTCTACATCTTTGATTCAAACAAGCAGCATTCATTGGGCAGTCTGAATTAACGGCGCACTCAGGCCGGCAATTAGGCGGGCTTCCGAAGAATGACTGTATGCAAGTACAAACAGCTTGATTGTTTATTTCTCGACACTGGCTGTTAGGTCCACACGGAGACGGAGAACATGGATTCCTGATAACTTGTTCTTGTAGTACTTGGTGACACATAACAAAAGCATTTCCTGTCATTCCAACTGGACAATGACACATTGGCACATGGTTATAGACTTCACATATTGCGTTGTTACCACATGTGCCTATGCATGGATTCACGCATTTGTTTTTAACACAGGCTTTGTCTCTTGTGCAATCTTCGTTAATTACACACTCTGGTCGACAACCCCTGTAAGGGTCTCCTTGATAACCAGGTATACAGAAGCAAACACCATTGTTACAAGTTGCACTAGATCCACAAGGCGATGGGTTACAAGGATCGTTGTATTGAGGCTTTGGCGCTAAAAAAAAAAGATTAGAGATAGATAAAAATCACATAGATTAAGTGAAGCTTGTGAGGGAATCGTAAGTAACTAAATAGCAATTAACTTACTTGGACTAGGTTTAATATAGCAGCTAACAAATGGATCGCCTGTGTAACCAGTTGGACATGAGCATATTGGAACATGATTGATAACATCACACTCGGCTCTTAAACCACATGATCCTGGACAAGGATCTTTGCATTTCTCTCTCATGCAAGCCAAATCACTGGGACATTCAGCATGAATGATACATTCTGGCCTACAATTAGGTGGACTTCCGATATAAGATGAAAGGCATGAACAAGATGGGGTATTTCCGTGGGAAACGCATTGAGAGTAAGGACCACATGGCGATGGAACACAAGGGTTTGTGATGATATCTTGAGGAGGTTGATCTAAAATAAATTCTTACTTAAGTTTTCAATTATTTAAAAATATTTTAAAAAAAATTCTCACGTTGTGGTATTAAAGAACATCGAATCAATGGATCACCCGTATAACCTTGGTTACATTTACAAATTGGATGATGATTAGTAGCTTGACAGAATGCATTTTGCCCACAAGCATTAGGACATGGATCCACACATTTCTGGTTAATACAAGCACGATTGTATGCACATTCAGCGCTAGTGACACATTCAGGTCTACATCCTGGAGGAGCACCAATGTATGAAGGTAAACAAGAACAAATAGCTTGCGAATTTTGTTCTCGACACATGCTATTTGGACCACATGGCGAAGGAACACATGGATAGTTAGGCACAATTTCGGTATCTATAAAAAAATTATAAATAAATTGTTAAAATTAAAAATATAAAATACGATTGTTTGACTTATGTAGCTCTTTTAAAAAATTGTTTACTCACGTTGTGGTGGTATGACACTACAGTATTTGAAAGGATCTCCAGTATAGCCAATCAAACATGTGCACATAGGGATATGATTTATAGTTTGGCATTTAGCGTTACTTCCACAGGTGCCTGGGCATGGATCTTTACATTTGTTGGCCATACACGCTTTGCTGGGCTCGCAGTCAGTATTAACCATACATTCCGGACGACAACCTTCATAAGGATTTCCATAATATTCAGGTAAGCAAACACACGATCCAGCATTATTTTGTTCTTTGCATAAAGCGTTTGGACCACAAGGTGAGGGTATACAAGGGTTAATTATCTCTTGAGGAACTGGTTCAGCTATAAAACACAATTCATTTTTATTAATTTACTAGATAATAAGTAAAGTATTATATTAATATATACCTTGTTGTATTATACATTGTGTAAATGGATCTCCAATGTATCCTTGAGGACAAGTGCATCTAGGTGTATGACTAATTACGCGGCATATTGCATTTGGAGCGCATGTGCCGGGGCACGGATCCTTACATTTCATATTAATACATGCCAAATGGTACGCACATTCGCTGTTACTAACACATTCTGGTCTGCAATTTGGCGGAGAGCCTGTATACTCAGACAAACAAGAACACGACGGAGAATTGCCATGAACCTGGCATTGAGAGTATGGGCCACATGGTGATGGAACACATGGATTTTGTACTGGTTCGGGAGGTACTAAAACAAAAATTTATTAAATTGAGATATTAATGAAAATTCAATTAATTGAGTATTTAGTATTATCTCACATTGTTGTACGTAGCATCTAGAAAATGCGTTTCCTGTAAATCCAGGAGGACATTTGCAATAAGGTCGATGACTAATGGTGTTGCATTGAGCATTTTCTCCACAAGTTCCGGGACAAGGGTCACGACATTTTTGATTTGAACAGGCTCTATCTGGACTGCAATCCGAATCTATTGTACACTCTGGACGACATGATGGTGGAGTACCAATATAGCCACTGAGGCAAGAACACATTGAATAACCGTTCACTACTCTGCATTCGCTGTTCGGACCACAGGGTGATGGTTGGCATGGATTTGTTTCAATTGGTACTACAAAAGCAAATTTTATTGTTATAACAATTTACTTTTGTTTTCTAACAGATAGTCCATATTTGGTTAGGTATTTACTTTGATAAGGTGAGCATTGTGAGAAAGCATTTCCTGTCATTCCTTGAGGACATCTACACATGGGCACGTGGTTGTATACTTCACATAATGCATTTTGTCCACAAGATCCTGGACATGGATCGACACATTTTTGTCTTATACATGCTTTATTTTGAGGGCATTCGTTGTTATGTATGCATTCTGGTCTGCACATGCTATATGGATCTCCGTGGTATTCAGGTATACAAGTGCATATTCCATTATTACATAGTGCATTTGGACCACATGGAGATGGATTACACGGATCAGACGCTTGTTGAATTGGAGCTAAAATATGACCATTATAATTAGAATACATATTAAAATAACGTCAACTTAAATATATATGTACATACGTTGTGGTTTAACATAACAGCTTAAAAATGGATCTCCCGTGTAGCCATCAGGACAAACACACATAGGGGTATGGTTGATTACATGGCACTGAGCATATAAACCACATGCACCTGGACATGGGTCCATACACTTTTCTCTAATACATGCTTTATGACTTGGACATTCGGCATTTATCGTACACTCGGGTCTACAGTTTGGCGGAGAACCCATGTACGTCGGAAGACATAAACATGAAGGAGCACCTCCATTATCCAGACATTGAGAATAAGGCCCACAAGGCGATGGTATGCAAGGATTTTTAGGCGGTGGTGACGGCGATGGCTCTGGTAAACCTAAAAAAAAAAATGAATTTATGAAATCAACGACTTTTTAAAGAAAATATAAATGTAAATAATTACTTTGTATTGGGTAACACAGTGTGAAGGGGTTTCCAGTAAATCCAGAACTGCAAGAGCACAATGGGCTGTGATTTATGACTTTACAGTATGCGTTTTGTCCGCAAACTCCAGGACAAGGATCTTTACATTTCTGCATTATACATGCCATATTCGATGGGCATTCTGAACTTGTTGTACATTCTGGTCGACAGCCTGGAGGTGTTCCTATAAAGGTTGGCAAACATGAACACACAGCTTGATTATTGAGTTCTCTGCACTGGCTATTTGGACCACAAGGTGATGGAGTGCATGGATATACAGGTTCCGCTTGAGTAACTGAAATTAAAAAGTTTATTTTACTGCCATTTTTGATAAATAGTTACTATGTATCATTTGTGTATTTTTTATTTGTTTTTGTTAGTATGTAACTTCTTAATACTTACTCTGGGGCGGAATATAGTTGCATGATTGATAGGGATTTCCGGTATATCCAATGTTACATGTACAAGTTGCTGAGTGATATACTACATGGCAATCAGCATTTAGTCCACATGTTCCGGGACACGGATTCACACATTTATTTTGAACACATGCTTTAGATGGTTCGCAGTCTGTGTTCAAAATACATTCTGGCCTACAGCCTTCGTACGGGTTTCCAAAGTATCCTGGCAAGCAGTTGCAAGAACCAGCATTATTTTGTTCTTTGCATATAGCATTTGGACCACATGGCGATGGTATACAAGGATGGACGTCTTCTTCTCTAACTGGTTCAGCTAAATTTAAGCAAAGAAAATACGTAATTTTTAGATTAAAAATTAAAAACACATTAATTTTTAACTAGTAAATACCTTGTTGAACTATACATTGAACCATTGGATTTCCAATATAACCATGAATACAGTAGCACATTGGAGAATGACTTAGTACTCTACAAATAGCATTTTGTCCACATATTCCAGGACAAGGATCCTTACATTTCATATTAATGCATGCCAAATGGTACGGGCATTCACTGTTACTAACGCATTCTGGTCTACAGTTTGGTGGTGCGCCTGTATATTCAGGCAAACATGAACATGATGGAGAATTGCTTTGTACTTGACATTGAGAGTATGGACCGCAAGGAGACGGAATGCATGGGTTCGTGATTGGTTCATCTTCTATAGCCGCTAAATAAATACATTACACATTAAATGTTATACACATTATCAATATTATTTATTACCAGTTAAACTACTAGTCATGGTAATAAGTTGAGGTACTCACGAATTTGGTTGCACTGGATAAAAGCATTTCCAGTTAACCCAGGAGGACAGCTACAGTGTGGATTATGATTAACAACGTGGCATATCGCATTTATTCCACAAGTTCCTGGACAAGGGTCTCGACACTTTTGATTACTGCATGCTTTACTTGGAACGCAGTCGGAATTAACTATACATTCTGGATGACATGACGGAGGACTACCAATGTACCCTGGGATACAACTACACATAGCTTGTTGGTTGAATTCTTGACACTGGCTATTTGGCCCACACGGTGAAGGATTGCAAGGATGATATTCAACCATTTCGGCTAAAAATTAAATAAATAATAGTCAGACATCCGTAAAACACGCGTTTATCATTTTTTTAAAAAATTACTTTCAAATGGTCGACATTCTATAAATGCATTTCCCTGCATTCCTTGAGGGCATCTGCACATTGGCACATGGTTGTAAACTTCGCAAATAGCATTATCGCCGCACGTTCCAGGGCAAGGATCTTTACACTTATACTTAATGCAAGCTCTATTTCTTGGGCACTCGTCATTTATTACACATTCTGGTCTACATCCAACGTATGGATCCCCTTGGTATTCAGATAAACACGTACAGATGCCGTTATTACACATAGCGTTTGAGCCACATGGTGATGGGTTGCATGGATCTATGCTAGGTAGCTCAGGTACTGTAAATTATGCATAAAAATAAATAAATTGTTTGTGAAAACAATTTAAAATATTTATTTTGACACTTACCGTCTTGTGGTTTTGGCGTACAATAACTAAATGGATCACCCATGTAGCCGTTTGGACAATAACAATTTGGTGTATGATTTATCACTGTGCAAAGTGCTTCTAAGCCACAAGAGCCAGGACATGGGTCCCTACATTTTTCATTTATACAAGCTTTATTACTAGGGCATTCAGCACTTAATACACATTCAGGTCTACAACTCGGTGGACTTCCCGTGTATTGCGGTAAACAAGAACACGAAGGGAAGCCGCCGTTGTCGCGACAGATTGAATTTGGTCCACAAGGATTCGGGAAACATGGATTTGAATATTCCACAGGTGCTTGTTGTACAGGTGGTTCTGAGAAAAAAAAGAAGATTTTTAAATAATGAGATTAATTTTAAAATAAAATATATATATTTTTAAGTAATATATTACCTTTATATATAAAAAAAAATGACTTACTTGGTACTGCGTAACATTGTGAAAATGGATTTCCAGTGAAGCCTGAGTTACAAGTACAGATAGGACTATGGTTAATAGTTTTGCAATTTGCGTTATGTCCACACATTCCAGGACATGGGTCTTTACATTGTTGATTAATGCAAGCTTTGTCGTGAGGACATTCAGTACTGATTACACACTCCGGTCGACAACTAGGAGGACTTCCCACATAGTTTTGGATACATGAACATATTGCCTGATCGTTTAACTCTTTGCATTGGCTATTTGGTCCACACGGAGAGGGATTACATGGGTTTATCACCTCAGGTGGAGAATCTGAAATGCAATACAATACGAAATAAAAATATTTTGAAATTATGAAAGCACTAGTGCATAATTTCAATTTATTCAATACTTACATTGAGGTGGTATGATTGAACAGTATCTAAATGGATCTCCAGTATAACCAAACGCACAAGTACACATAGGTACGTGGTTAATTGTTTGACATTCAGCATTCTGTCCACAAGTTCCAGGGCACGGATTTTCACACTTATTTCTTCTACATACTTCGTTTTGTGGACAGTCTGTATTCACAACACACTCTGGTCTACATCCTTCATACGGATCGCCAAAGTATTCTGGTAAGCATTGGCATGCTCCAGCGTTGTTTTGTTCTTTGCAAATAGCATTCGAACCACATGGTGATGGATTGCATGGTGTCGATACTTCCTGAGGAATAGGTTCGGCCTGCTGGACATTACACTGCACAATTGGATTTCCAGTATAGCCAGGTAAACAATAACATCTTGGAGCGTGACTTGTGACTCTACACTCAGCGTTATATCCACAAGACCCAGGACATGGATCTTGACATTTCATATTCATACATGCTAACTGATAAGGACATTCACTGTTCGTTAAGCATTCGGGTCTACAATTAGGAGGGGTTCCAATAAATTGTGATAAACAAGAACAGGATGGATGGCCTCCAATGTCTTGACATTGAGCATTATTTCCACACGGTGAGGGATAGCATGGATTTTCGACAATCTCTTCAACAGGAGCAGCCACTAGAAAGAGAAAAATAATGATAATATAAACACTATAATACACTTAAACTATAACAACTTACGTATTGGATGGCAATGAATGAAGGCATTCCCAGTTAATCCAGGAGGACAATTACATATCGGGCTGTGATTAATAACTTGGCATTTAGCTCCAACCCCACATGTTCCAGGGCAAGGATCTTTGCATTTTTGATTGCTACAAGCCTCGTTTTGATCACAATCTGAATTAGTTGTGCATTCAGGTCTACATAAAGGAGGGGTTCCCGCATAATTGGAAATGCATGAGCAAACAGCGTGTCCATTCATTTCTCTACACTGGCTGTATGGCCCACAAGGTGATGGAGAACATGGTTGAGTATTTTGTATTTGATCTACAAGTATAAAATTACAAATTAGTACATATATTTAATATAATTGCGTGCTACTATTACCTTCAGCAGGTTTACATAATACAAAGGCGTTTCCTGACATTTTATCAGGACATTTGCACATAGGAATATGGTTATACACGTCACATAATGCGTTTTGTCCACAAACACCTGGGCATGGATCTCTACATTTTCGATTAATACAAGCCTTATCCTGAGAACAGTCATTGTTCAACACACACTCAGGTCTGCATCCTACATAAGGATCTCCTTGATATTCCGGCATACAAGTACAAACACCATTATTACACTGTGCATTTGGTCCACACGGAGATGGGTTGCAGGGATCACTATGCTCAATTGGCGTTTCTAAAATATTAAAATATTTTATTGAAATAAACAATGCTAGTTTGTGTTGTAAATATCAATAGTAAGATAATATACTCACGTTCTTGAGGCTTAGGATAACAACTTGTAAACGGATCACCAATCATACCATAAGGACATACACACATAGGAGTATGATTTATTACATTGCATTCAGCGTTGTATCCACATGATCCAGGACAGGGATCTTTGCAATGTTCGTTCATGCACGCCTCATTTGACGGGCATTCAGAGTTAATAACGCATTCAGGTCTACAGTTGGGTGGGCTGCCTGTATATTGTGAAAGACAGCTGCAAGATGGTACGCTGCCGTGTCCAACACATTGAGAGAATGGGCCACATGGCGAAGGAATACACGGGTTGATATTTTCTTCTGGTGAATATTGAGGAACTGATGGTGGAGCTTCGCAAATGAAATGATAGGGGTCAACGTTATTAATTATACTATTATACAAACAAAAATAATTAAATATACTCACGAGGAATTGGATGACAGTGGGTAAATGGATCTCCAGTGTATTTTAGGCGACACGTACAAATGGGACTGTGATTGATTACTTTACAATCAGCGTTTTGACCGCAAACACCAGGGCATGGATCAGAACATTTTTGATTGATACATGCCAAATGGTATGGACACTCCGAGTTGATTAAACACTCTGGTCGACAACCAGGCGGGCTTCCTGTATAATTTGGTAGACAAGAACACACAGCTTGTTGGTTTACATCGCGACATTGACTGTTCGGTCCACAGGGCGATGGTGTACATGGATAAACTGGCTGTATTTCAGTTTCTAAAAAAATAAATTTTCTTTAAGTAAAACGAACAATTTTTTTTTATAATTTGTAGAAGTATTTATTTAAGCTATTACGTTGAGGGGGTATGATATGACAATAACGGAATGGGTCTCCGGTGTATCCGTTGTAACAGGTACACATCGGTGAATGGTTAACTACTTGACATTCAGCATTTTGACCACAGGTTCCTGGACATGGATCTCTACATTTATTCATCATGCAGGCTTTATTGGAAACACAATCGGAATTAACTGTGCATTCTGGTCTGCAGCTTTCATAAGGATTTCCTAAGTATTCTGGCAAGCATGAACAAGATCCTGCACCATTCTGTTCTTTACAAACTGCGTTTGTACCACACGGCGATGGTACACATGGATTAATGTACTCTTGAGGTACAGGGTCTTCTAAATTAATAAATAAAGTTATAATTAATAAAAAATAAAAATCTTATAAATCGTTGAATTTACCTTGTTTGACTGTACATAAAGTAAATGGGTTTCCAATATAGCCTTCTTGGCAATGACAAGTCGGCGAATGACTAATGACTTGGCATAAAGCGTTAACGCCGCAAGAACCTGGGCAAGGGTCGCGACATTTCATGTTTATACAAGCCAATGTATAGGCGCAGTCACTATTGGTAACGCATTCAGGTCTGCAGTTGGGAGGTGAGCCAGTAAATTCTGGGTTGCAAGAACAGGATGGAGAATCATTGTTGACTTGACATTGAGCGTTGGGTCCACATGGTGATGGTATGCATGGATTTCCAACTGGCTCTGGTATATCAGCAGCTAAAACATTTAAGTATAATTTTAACGATACGGAGTGTTTCTATTTGACAGTTTAACTTGATTAGATGATATTGTAAATAAATTAAATTCATAAAATATTGACATTATACAGTGTACTTACGTATTTGGTAGCAATTACTAAATGCATTTCCAGTGTATCCTGGTTGACAGCTGCATATTGGATTATGATTGATTACTTGACACAAAGCATTAATACCACAAGTTCCAGGACATGGGTCTATGCATTTTTGATTTGAGCAAGACTGATGAAGTCTACAGTCAGAGCTAGTAATACATTCTGGTCGACAAGACGGAGGAACTCCTGTATAACCTAACACGCAAGAACAAACTGCTTGTGCATTTACTTCTCTACATTGACTGTATGGTCCACATGGAGATGGATTGCAAGGTTGGTATATTTCTGGTGCTACATATAAAGAAAATAATGTAAATGTAAGAAATAATGAGCCTATAATAATTGTTTTAAGCTACAAACCATTTTGTAAAGGACTACACGAGACGAAGGCATTGCCTTCCATTCCTTCTGGACAACGACACATGGGTATATGATTATAAACATCACATATAGCATTTTGGCCACATGTCCCAGGACAAGGATTTGTGCATTTATTGCGCATACAGGCCTTATCTCTAGCACAATCATTATTTAATACACATTCGGGTCTACAACCAGTATAAGGATCACCAAAGTGTTCATTTATACAAGAACATTGCCCATTGGAACATATTGCATTTGGCCCACAAGGAGATGGATTACACGGATCCGAGTAAACTGGAGGTTGTGGAGCTAAAATACCAATAGTTGTTAATTAGCTGTTGAAAACAAATACTATTTTCACAAATCAATATATACCTTGAACAGGTCGGATGTCACACTTTGTAAATGGATTTCCTTCGTAGCCATCAGGACAAACGCATATCGGCATATGGTTAATTACACTACATTGAGCTCCCCAACCACAAGAACCTGGGCACGGGTCCTGACATTTTTCTCGAATACAAGCTTCATTACTTGGACATTCAGCGTTCATTATGCATTCTGGCCTACAATTTGGTGGGTTACCAATGTACTGTGGCAAGCATGAGCACGAAGGCGTTTCTCCGTGTTCTCTGCATTCCGAATAGGGACCACATGGTGACGGAATACATGGATTACTATACACAGGTTCATCTTGAGGTCGAGAAGGCGGAGGTGTTGGTATTAAGTAGCAACTCGTAAATGGATCACCAGCGTAACCGCTCACACATGTACATATGGGATTATGATTTATTACTTTGCAATTTGTGTTTTGACCGCAGCGATCAGTACATGGATTAATGCACTTTTGGTTGATACAAGCAAGATGTATAGGGCATTCAGAATTAATTAAACATTCAGGTCGACAGCCAGGCGGGCTTCCTATGTAGTTTGGTAGACAAGAACACACAGCTTGTTGGTTTACATCGCGACATTGACTGTTCGGTCCACAAGGTGATGGCGTACAAGGATAAACTGGCTGTATTTCAGTTTCTAAAAAAATAAATTTTCTTTAAGTAAAACGAAAAAACAAAATTGTATAATTTGTAGGAGTATTAATTTAAGCTATTACGTTGAGGAGGTATGCTATGGCAGTAGCGGAATGGGTCTCCAGTGTATCCGTTATAACAGGTACACATAGGTGAATGGTTAACTACTTGACATTCTGCATTTTGGCCACACGTTCCCGGACACGGATCTCGGCATTTATTATTCATGCATGCTTTATTTGATTGGCAATCTGAGTTAATGATGCATTCGGGTCTACATTCTTCATACGGATTTCCAAAGTATTCAGGTAAGCAAACACATGATCCAGCTCCATTTTGTTCTTTGCATATAGCATTCGATCCACAAGGCGATGGCACACATGGATTTACGTATTCTTCGTGAATGGGTTCAGCTAAGATAAAGGAAAAAATATTTATGAAATTCAAGTTAATTAATCTATTGCTGTTTAAATTTACCTTGTTGTGGTGTACATTGTGAAAACGGATCTCCTACATAACCGACTGGGCATGAACAGCGAGCTGTATGACTTACTACTTGACATTCAGCACTTGGCGCACAAGCTCCTATACAAGGATTCTTACATTTCATATTAATGCAAGACAAATGTATTGGACATTCGCTATTCGTGACGCATTCAGGTCTACAGTTAGGTGGTGTTCCTGTGTAATCCGATAAACATGTACACGAAGGTGAACCATGGTTGTCTCTGCATTGTGAGTTTGGTCCACAAGGTGAAGGAATACATGGATTACCAACCGGTTGAGGTGTGTCCGCAGCTATAATTTAACAACGTTTTTTAAATAAGTGAAAACAAATTATGATTGTAATCATAATAAAGATGAATTATAATTTCCTTACGTCTTTGATAACATCTGACGAAAGGATTTCCTATTAGGCCAGGAGAGCAGCTGCAAATCGGACTGTGATTTATTACTTGGCATGTTGCTCCCACTCCGCACACTCCAACACAAGGATCAATACATTTCTGATTTGAACACGCTTTATTTAAATTGCAGTCTGAGTTGATCGTGCATTCTGGTCGACATGATGGCGGAACGCCTTGATAACCCATTATACATGAACAAATAGCTTGTCTATTATATTCTCTACATTGACTATTGGGTCCGCATGGTGATGGACTACACGGATGAATATCGACTGGCACTAATAAAACATATTTATATGTTTAATATGACTTTTAAATTAAAATTATTGTATTATAATTTATAATACCATTTTGTACTGGAGAGCATAATATAAAAGCATTTCCTTCCATCGATTCGGGGCACCGACACATTGGTATGTGATTGTACACTTCACAAATAGCATTTGTACCACATGTACCTGGACAAGGGTCCTTGCATTTATTTTTAAAGCATGCTTTGTCTCTAGGACAATCATTATTAATAACACATTCTGGTCTGCAGCTAGAGTAGGGGTCCCCATGATATTCATTAATACACGAGCACTGACCATTATTACAGACAGCATTTTGACCACACGGTGATGGATGACAAGGATCCACATCAATAGTTTCTGGAACTAAATTGTTAATCGTTTAAAAATAAAAAAATAAAAACATTACTTGTGCCGTTTACTTACTGTTTTGAATTGGTTTAATAGTACATGAAGTAAATGGATCTCCCGTGTATCCTTCACGGCATATACAGTTTGGTGTATGATTTATAACGTTACAATATGCGTCAACCCCACATGAGCCAGGGCATGGATCTTGACACGTTTCTCTTATACATGCTAAACTATTTGAACAGTCGTTGTTTATCACACACTCTGGTCTGCAATTCGGTGGGCTTCCAAAGTATTGTGCACGACACGAACAAGATGGAACACCACCGTGATCCCTACACTCCGAGTATGGGCCACAAGGTGATGGTACACAAGGATTGGTGTAAATAGGTTCATCTTGAGGTGGTGGTAAAGAAGGTGGAGGTCTTGGATAGCAACGAGAAAATGGGTCTCCTTCAAATCCAGATTTACATGTGCAAATAGCGCTGTGTTTTATGGCTTTGCAGTTTGCGTTTAAACCACAAGGACCAGGGCATGGATCAACGCATTTTTGATTAATACATGTGTATCTGTCACTACATTCGGAACTGATAATGCATTCTGGTCTACAACCAGGAGGACTTCCTTGATACATTGGCAGGCATGAGCAAATGGCTTGTGAGTTTACTTCTTTACATTGGCTATTCGGCCCACACGGTGATGGTGAACATGGATTGATTGCTTCTGATTGAACTACTGTATTAACAAAAATAGTATGCATTAAAATGTGGAATTAAAATATGGACTAGGGTCAGGTGGAGTATTTTACTATTTTTTTACAATATCTCAACTTGGCCCTACTTCTAGATATTAAAATAATGATACATACTCTGAGGTGGAATAATTGTACAGTATTTGAATGGGTCTCCTGTATATCCGTTATAACAGGTACACATTGGCAAATGGTTAACAACTTGACATTCTGCATTTTGCCCACAAGATCCAGGACAAGGGTTTTGACATTTATTTCTAATACATGCTTTGTTTGATGGGCAATCTGTGTTACGTGTACATTCATACCGACAACCATCATACGGATTTCCCATGTATCCGGAAAGACAGCTACAAGAACCAGCACCGTTTTGTTCTTTGCAAACAGCATTTATACCGCACGGCGAAGGTTCACAAGGAGATAAATATTCAATAGGGACGGGTTCAGCTGTAAAATATTTTTAATTAATTTTTTTTTACATGGAAGAACTAGGGGTGTTATTACAAAAAAAGTACTCGTGAGGCCTTAATGGTTAGTATTAAATCAACAACACGTTACCTTGTTGAATACTGCAAAGTACGAATGGATCACCAACATAACCAGGCAAACAAGAGCATCTAGGTGCATGACTAACGACTTGGCAGACGGCATTTTGGCCACATGAACCAGGACAGGGATCTTTACATTTCATATTGATACATGCTTTATTGTACGAGCATTCGCTATTAGAAATGCATTCTGGTTTGCAGTTTGGAGGCGAGCCAATAAATTCTGGTAGACACGAACACGAAGGTGTATCTCCTTTTACTTGACATTGAGAGTTAGGTCCACATGGAGATGGAACACATGGGTTGCCAACAGGCTCAGGTAATGCCTCTGTTCAATTAATTTAATAATTAGTCGAATTTCAAAAACTAAAAATAGATGTACTGCAAAATAACTTACGTATTGTATGGCAACGTGTAAACGGATCACCTGTCATGCCAGGTGGACAACTACATATTGGGCTATGATTTATAATTTGACATTTAGCGCCTACACCACACGTTCCTACACATGGGTTTATGCACTTCTGGTTTGAACAGGATTCAGTTAAATAACAATCCGCATTTATTGTGCACTCTGGCCTGCATGATGGTGGGCTGCCAACATATCCAGTAATACACGAACATACCGCTTGATTATTCACTTCTCTACATTGGCTGTTTGGCCCACAAGGAGATGGTCTACATGGCTGAGTTGTGACTTGTTCTAAATAAAAACGAATTTAGGCGTGATTTTCATACTTAAAATTAGCTTAATTAAAAAAACTAAAAAATACCTTGTAATACTGGTTGACATTGTGTAAATGCATCGCCAGCCATATTTTGAGGGCATCGACACATTGGGATGTGATTATAAACCTCACAAATGGCATTGTAACCACAAGTTCCAGGACAGGGATTAATACATTTATTTCTGATACACGCTTTGTCTCTCGAGCAATCATCATTAAGAATACATTCCGGTCTGCATCCAGTATACGGGTCTCCTTGATACTCAGGTATACACGTACAAATGCCATTGTTACAAAGAGCATTTGAGCCACACGGTGAAGGATTACACGGATCTAATTGTACATCGGAAACTACCGGAATTTGCGGTTTTGGATAGCAACTTACAAATGGATCGCCGGTAAATCCATCAGGGCATTGGCAAATTGGAACATGATTTTGTACATAGCATGTTGACCCGCTGCCGCAAGAACCTGGACAAGGGTCTCGGCATTTTTCTTTCATACATGCATGATTGCTTGTACATTCTGCGTTGATAGTACATTCTGGTCTACAATTTGGCGGGCTTCCAGTGTATTGTGGCAAACAACTACACGAAGGATATCCTCCATAGTCCCTGCACTCTGAGTAAGGACCGCAAGGGGAAGGAACACATTGATTTATAGGTATTAGTTCATCTTGTGGTGGCGGTGACTGTATTGGTGGGATTAAGTAACACCGAGAGAACGGATCTCCAGTATATCCTTGACGGCACGTACATATTGGCCGATGCATAATTGTCTTGCAATCAGTATTTTGGCCACACTGTCCTGGGCAAGGGTCTGTGCAGTGCTGATTTATACAGGCAAGGTTGTATGAACAATCTTGACTTATAAGGCATTCAGGACGGCAGTTTGGTGGACTCCCAATGTAATTTTGTATACATGAACAGACAGCTTGATTATTATTTTCTCGACATACACTGTTAGGTCCACAAGGAGAAGGTGAACACGGATTTATTGGTTCAGCTTGAATTTCTAAATACATTTTAAAAAATTGTATTAATATTGCAATACCTACATAATTTGGATGTTATTAGCTTTCTTACGTTGAGTAGGGATAATATTGCAATATCTAAATGGATCGCCTGTGTACCCATAATTGCATGTACACGTAGGTGAGTGATTGATAACATGACATACAGCATTTGGCGCACAAGTGCCTGGACAGGGATCCAAACACTTATTTCCAATACATGCTTTACTGGAAGAACAATCGGTGTTAATTGTGCATTCAGGACGGCACATTTCATAGGGATTCCCAAAGTATTCAGGTAGACAACTACATGAACCAGCACCATTTTGTTCTTTACATATTGCATTGGCTCCACACGGAGATGGGAAACAAGGATTTAATGTTTCTTCCACTGGTTCCGCTAAAATTCATTGAGAGTTATAATATAGTAATTATTAATAATGTTAAATTTAGAAAAACGTGAATTACCATTAAATTGTAACTATCATATTTCACCTGTCTTTCCGTCTCACCCCAACCCTACTTACTCAGAACCCTATACAATAGACCAACCCCCTCTCCCCAGTTAATATTATCCCATACAATATAATTAGAGTTAAATAATTATTTACCTTGCTGTATAACACATTGCGTAAAAGGATCTCCAATATAGCCTGGATAGCATTCACATCGAGGACTATGACTAATTACAGTGCATTGAGCATTTAGAGAACAAGCTCCAGGGCAAGGGTCTATGCATTTCATATTTTTGCATGCTAAATGGTACGGACATTCGCCATTACTAATGCACTCCGGTTTACATTGAGGTGGTGATCCCACGAAGTTAGGCAAGCAAGAACACGATGGCGTCTGTCCTCTAACTTGACATTGGGAATTAGGGCCGCATGGTGATGGCACACATGGGTTTTCTAAAGGTAGTGGCTCATCTTGTGCTATAAACAAAGTTTTGTTTACGTAAATTATGATATTTTTATGCTAATAAGAAAATATAAAATAAGTTTAATTATAAGCTTACGAATTGGTCGACACGATGTAAACGGATTTCCGGTCATTCCAGGAGAACAGCTACATATAGGCTTATGGTTGTAAACACGACATATAGCTCCAATTCCACAAACACCTCGACATGGGTCTTGGCATTTTTGATTGCTACAAGCTTCATTTAAATTACAATCAGAATTAATTGTACATTCTGGACGACAAGATGGAGGTACACCCAGATATCCTGTTATACACGAGCAAACTGCTTGGCCATTATATTCTCTACATTGACTGTTAGGTCCACAAGGGGACGGGTAACACGGGTTGACGTTTTGAATTGGCGTAATATCTGGGTAATTAATTCATATATTTGAATGAACATATTTTACAAATATATTTATGTTATAATTATTTTATACAAGTGTTAAGTATTTACCTTGTTGCACAATGCAATTAATAAAAGCATTGCCTTGCATTCCGTCGGGACATTTGCACATTGGTATATGGTTATATACTTCACAAATAGCATTTATACCACAAGTTCCTGGACATGGGTTTTTACATTTATTTTGAATACACGCTTTATCACGTGGACAATCGTTATTCAAAACACACTCGGGTCTGCAGCCAGAGTATGGATCTCCTTGGAACTCTGATATACATTTGCATATGCCATCATAGCATTCAGCATTTGGACCACACGGAGAAGGATTACACGGATCAGAATATTCAGGTTGAATAGCTATTGAAACAAAAATGATTGAAATAATATTGGCTTTTTATAGTTTTTCAATCGGTAAGTGTATTAATGAAAAACATTTGGGACAACTTACCAGGCGGTGGTTTAGGTCTGCAACTTTCAAATGGATTTCCTTCATAATTTTCAGGGCACAAACAAATCGGAGTGTGATTGATGACATTACATAAGGCATTTATTCCGCAAGAACCTGGACATGGGTCTTGACATTTCTGCTTCATACATGCTTTATCTTGCGAACACTCTGCGTTAATTGTACATTCTGGACGACAATTTGGTGGATTACCCGTGTATTCAGGCAGACAAGAACACGAAGGTTGTCCATTTTGTTGTTTACATTGAGAGTAAGGTCCACAAGGGGACGGTATACATGGGTTGACATTTATTGGTTCGTATTGTGGTGGTGGAGGTGGAGGAGGCGTTTTATAGCACCGAACAAACGGGTCTCCCACGTAACCATTTATACACGTGCACACTGGGCTGTGATTAATAACTTTACAATTTGTATTTTGACCACAAGGTTCAGGGCACGGATTTGTACATTTTTGATTGATGCAGGCCAAACTTGTAGAACACTCAGAGTTGGTTACGCATTCTGGTCGGCACCCAGGAGGACTGCCCACATATAACGGAAGACAAGAGCAGACGGCTTGGTTGTTAACGACGCGACATTGGCTGTTCGGACCACACGGAGAAGGTGTACATGGATTTGTTGGTTCGATGTCAATTTCTGCAACAAGAAAGAATAGTTTAAATATAAATGACGTTTAAGTAACGGTTGTAAGGAAAATCGTGTCTCTTCGTTATTAACTTACGTTGCGGTGGAATCAAATTACAGTATCTAAATGGATCGCCAGTATAGCCATTTAAGCATGAACACATTGGTAAATGATTGACCACTTGACATTCTGCATTTTGACCGCATGTTCCAGGACATGGATTTTTACATTTGTAATTAGAACATGCCTTGTTTGAAGCGCAGTCAGTATTTACTATGCACTCAGGTCTACATCCTTCATAAGGATTGCCATAGTATTCAGGCAAGCACGTACATGCACCTGCTCCATTTTGTTCTGTGCATACAGCGTTAATGCCACAAGGTGATGGCTGACACGGATGTAAATATTCTTGAGGAACTGGATCAGCTAATGTACATATAAAATATTTTTGAATAATAAGGTATAAAGCATTAAGTTTAAATTAAATTTACCTTGATGTAAAGTACATTGTGAGAATGCATCGCCCTCATAGCCGTATGGACATTTACATATTGGCGAATGGCTTATGACATTACATTCTGCATTTGGAGCACATGATCCTGGGCAAGGATCTTTACATTTTCTGTTTATGCACGCTAAGTTGTACGAGCATTCACTATTAGAAATGCATTCTGGTCTGCAGTTTGGTGGGGAACCAATAAACTCAGACAGACAAGAGCATGATGGTGACTCTCCGTGTACTTGGCATTGAGCATTCGGTCCACAAGGAGAAGGAACACAAGGATTGCCTACAGCTTGCGGTGTATCAGCAGCTATAAAGTTTTAGTTCAAGTTAGGTATTTCTGTACTCTTTCTTTTAAATAAATACATACGTTTGTTATAGCATCTGGTAAATGGATCTCCAAGTTGACCTGGCGGGCAACTACAAATGGGATTGTGATTTATTACTTGACAGTTTGCTCCAACGCCACATATACTTGGGCATGGACGTCTGCACTTTTGATTTGAACAAGCTTCATTAAGATTGCAGTCAGAATTTATAGTACATTCTGGCCTGCATAAAGGAGGTGCGCCTATATATCCTGATATACATGAACAAACAGCTACTCCATTTATTTGTTTGCACTGACTGTTTGGACCACACGGTGATGGTAAACATGGATTGGTTACTTCAATTGGAGCCGCTAATTATAGAAAAATTAAATGTACAGATTAGAGTAGGAATAGTGAATTAAAAAAAAATGTTTTTTTCCTTTTAATTAGTTTTGATGATTACCTAGCATTGGTTGACAATGAATAAACGCATTTCCATTCATCCCTTGAGGACAAGTACACATAGGAATATGATTGTATACGTTACAAATTGCATTGGAACCGCACGTGCCTCGACATGGATCTTTACATTTATTGTTAATACAAGCTTTTTGAGATGGACAATCTGTGTTTAGGACACATTCTGGACGGCAACCAGAATATGGATCACCTTGGTATTCTGGTAAGCAAGTACACGCTCCGCTATTGCATTGTGCATTTGGCCCACACGGTGATGGATTGCATGGATCTGTGTATTGAGGTTCAGGAGCTATAAATAATTATAAAATTATAACTTGTTCACGTTTCACTACAATACTAGTTTTTAATAAAATAAATTTGAATTAATTACATGGTGTAGGCTTAATATAGCAGCTAGTAAATGGATCTCCTGTGTATCCATCAATGCAAGAACATGTAGGATTATGGTTATACACGTTACATTGTGCATTCACGCCACATGAACCAGGACATGGATCTTGACACTTTTGATTCATACAAGCTTTGTTTTTTGAACATTCTTCGTTTATTGTACATTCTGGTCTACAATTTGGTGGAGTGCCTATATAGTTATTTTGACAGGAACACGAAGGATACCCATTAGTATCTCTACATTGAGAATATGGCCCACACGGAGAGGGTACACATTGATTAATTGGTTCGCTTTGTACAGGCGGTGGCGGTAAATCTAAAAAAAATGTTTCAATGATTTAACTGTGTTTATATAATAATCAGATAAAAACATTTATCGTGTTGTACTTACATTGTACTGCATAGCAACTCGAGAACGGATCTCCGGTAAATCCTGCTTTACAGGTACATATAGGACTGTGGTTAATAACTTTGCATTTCGAGTTTGATCCACACGTGCCAAGACAAGGGTCTACACATTTGAAATTTCTGCATGCCTGTTCTTTGCTACACTCTGAGTTTACAACGCATTCGGGTCTACAGCCAGGCGGACTTCCTACGTATGATGGTTTGCACGAGCACACAGCCTGATTATTGATTTCCCTACATTGGCTGTTTGGTCCACAAGGAGACGGTATACACGGATTGATTGGTTCTGATTGTATTTCTAGACATAAAATAGTATGTATATCGGTTAACGGTGTGGTTTTATTTATTTTACAAAAGCGTATGAGTTAATTGATCAAATTGCACTTACGTTGAGGTGGTGGTATCGGTGTACAATATTTATATGGATCGCCGGTGAATCCGGTAACACAAACACAAGATGGCAAATGGTTAGTTACATAGCATTCTGCGTTTTGACCACACGTTCCAGAGCATGGATTTTGACATTTGTTTTTTACACATGACTTTTGAGGTACGCAATCCGAGTTTATTACACATTCGGGCCTACATCCTTCATATGGATTTCCGTAATAGTCTTGCAAACAGTTACACGACCCAGCGCCATTATATTCTTTGCATTCGGCATTCATACCACACGGTGAAGGTATGCATGGATTCAAAGGTTCTTGGTATACCGGGGTCGCTAAAATATTAATGTTAAAAAAAAATTTATATTAACAATAGTACATTGAAATTAGATGACGTTTAAATTGTCGTACTTACCATCGAATTAAAATTTGTTATACAATTATTTAGTAAGCTCTTACTCTTCTTTAACATCTGTTACATGATTAGTGGTAGCTATTCAAAAATTGAGCAGATATGATCAACATCATTTTGGAAAGGGAAACCTACTAGGTCTCAAAAAGTATTATGCTGCTATTGCGTGACTTATATCTATTATTTTATTTTAAATTCATGTTGCTATCTTACCTCTAAAAATACCGTAAATCAACTCTGAGCGGTTGGTACCTCTATATTAAAACGGACTAGAAATAACTTACCATCTTCAAACTTTTAAGGAACTATTTAAATAACTTACAGTCTCTTAATTTAGTTGTCAGCAAACAATTACTCTAATAATAATAAATTAGTGTATAAATAACTTATAATAAACTTATACTAATATAACTAATATAATAAAATTAAATACTATAGGAACATACATTTTTTATAGGATTCTTAAAATTGTAATTCAAAACGTCTTCAGAGATCTTTTATGTAACAGTACGTTACTATTGCTATTATATTTAAATATACTTATTTACATACATTTTATAACTGAGATAAACCATATAGTTATTAAATTATTGTACCTTCTTACGCTATAAATAAAATTAATTTGAATTTAATAATTGTATTACTATATGTATTAGATAGATAATAATATTATGTAAGTAAGTATATTTAATGGCATAGATTAAACATATTATAGATAGTCAATTCCCATATGTATTAATATATAATGCTTCATTTTTCTTTTATTTCATAGTAGCATTGCCATTATAAAATCCAAAAATGAAACCCTTCTCTTGACCAAATAGTGTTGTCAATTGATAAAATTATGTCTCCTATCTATAATAAATACATTTAATCTATGCTTATAAAAACAAACAGCAACTTCATATCGTGCAAACCAAAATACTATTAACTAAATATCACTATGTATAAAAACAAAATATATCAAAACGAAAAAAATTAAAGCTAAAAAAACGTATTTACAATAAACAACAATATTTGGTCAAACTTTACCAGCTACATGCTCACACGATGCAATATGAGTACCTTAAATCTTAATTCTTTTTTTTTTTTACATTAAAACATGCAACAGGTAAATGGTTTTGAACAAATCACATGGTTTTCGGTCGATTAAAAATCAATGACAGCATGCCACAAATTAAGAAAAATCATTGATGCTTATGATTTATTTTCTTTGCATTTATACTAATTATTATTTTGTTTGATGATGTATTGTATCCTGGTGATCTACTTTAGTTAAATTGAATTTATTATATGACTCATAAAATATGATTGAATGAATTAATTAAACACTAATCTGCTCAACCGTTGATCAAAGTAAAAAATTAATCATGGTAGTTTTATTTATGATATTATTATACTTAAATAAGGCTCATTATTGTGTAATAAGTCGGTGCGTTATAGGAAAAAAAATGCGTGTCGGTAATAATTGAAATCGAATGTTACAGAACGGATATTATGTATTATTAATTAATTATTTTTAATAGTTATGAGCGTTGTATAAGTTATGATTTATTATTATTATATTTATTTGTAATTACTGTCGTTTGTTTAGACCAAATACCAAGAAATACATCAACGATACAATTATTTTTTTAAACAAATCAATAAACAATTAAATAAAGCCAGGCATTCCGTATAATCTACGCTACATATAATATATGCCACATATGAATATAATAGCTGGCATTATTTTATAGTTTCAAAAACTAAAAAGCATAGCCAAACAAAATCGTGCAAAGCATAATGTTTATCATGCAAAAAAGATAAAATCTTACCTGGAACTGGTTGACAATACGTGAAGGGATCTCCTGTATATCCGTTGTTACAAGAACATATAGGAGTATGGTTAATGACGGAACACGCGGCGTTTGTGCCACACGAACCAGGACAAGGATCGGTACATTTTTGATTAATACAAGATAAATGACTAGGACATTCTGGGTTAATTGTGCATTCTGGTCTGCACGAAGGTGGTGCTCCAACGTAATTGGCCAAACAAGAGCACGACGGAACACCTCCTCGGTCTCTGCACTGAGAGTTCGGTCCACACGGTGATGGGACGCACACGTTTATTGGATCGGCCGGTAACGGTTTCACTTCTAAATGAATAATCAAAAATTAATCGTTTAGTTTATTTACGAAGAATAATATAGCTAACTTATGCCAGTTCGGTCGCCTGATCGCATGGCATTTCTGCCATGTGTACTGGGAGTTAATGGTATGGGTCACCGCTAAAAATTTCAATGATAACGCGTCGAAACTCACCTTGGACGGGATAGCAGTTCCTGAACGGATCTCCATTATGATTCGGAGGGCACGTACATATAGGACTGTGGTTAACGACTTTACAGTTTGCCAACTGTCCACAAGTTCCAGGACAAGGGTCTCGGCATTTGCTCATGAGGCACGCCTGAGTCAAAGGACACTCTGCACTAACGACACATTCGGGTCGGCATGCAGGTGGAGTTCCTATCATTGAACTTTGACAAGAACACACTGCATGACCTTGGACCACATGGCATACGCTGTTCGGTCCACATGGCGAAGGATTGCACGGATCTCTGGACGGCTCGTCTAATTGAAATTACAACGGAGCATATTAACAAAAACTGTCAAGATGAACTAAATTTGTTAGTTTCATCACAAACCTTGAACTTTAACCGGCCTGCATATTACAAATGCATCGCCGGCAGTTCCAGCAGGGCAACTACACGTCGGTATATGATTAACGACGTCACACAGCGCGCCTTGTCCGCATGTTCCCGGACATGGGTCTTGACATCTTTGGTTTAAACATGCTTTATTTCTGGGACAATCTGAATTCATTGTGCACTCTGGACGACAACCAGTGTACGGATCGCCGAAATAGTTTGGCAAACATTTGCAACCTCCATTATTGCAGATAGCATTAGATCCACAAGGTGATGGATTACATGGATCTGCAGCTGCTGTTGGATAGGTTTGTTCTAAACAATAAACCAATGTATCAGAATAAGAGAACTTATTGGATTTTTAAGTATAGTATAAGTCAGGTAGATTAGAAATTTACTCAGTGTACACTGTCATCAGACGTCAGTATAGAATATGTTATACACAAAATTAAATATTATATAAAAAAATAAATCAACTTACCAACTATTAATATGCATTGACTAAATGGATCTCCGGTGTATCCCGATATACAAGTGCAAGTAGGTATATGATTTTGTACTCTGCAATCTGTATTTAATCCACAAGAACCATAACATGGGTCTCGGCATTTATCAGATATACAAGATAATGTGGAAGGACAATCAGAGTTGACAACACATTCTGGTCGACAATTTGGTGGAGAACCAATAAAGTTAATCCGGCACGAACATGACGGTTGATTTCCAACCGGCCTACATTCAGAATTAGGTCCGCAGGGAGATGGAACACAGGGATTTGTTGGTATGGGTGGTTCATCCAACGGTTTCACTATGAGTAAAACAATTTATAATTTATTTTGATTCTTTGAATATAAACTATAATATTGATAATAACATAAAAAAATAATTTTTCATACTTGGTTGAGGATAGCATCTTGTAAACGGATCGCCAATCAGGCCAGGTGCACAGGTACATATTGGATTATGATTTATAACTTCACACCTTGCATTTAGTCCGCAAGTACCCGGACACGGATCGGTACATTTGTACTTATGGCAAGCTCTGTTAGACGGGCATTCATTGTTTACTACACACTCTGGTCTGCAGTTGGGTGGAGTTCCTTGGTATTCTTTTTGACAAGAGCATACAGCTTGTTGATTTACTGCCTTGCACTGGCTGTTTGGACCACACGGAGATGGATTACATGGTTCATACACTGTTGCTTGTGTCGCTAATTATTTGAAATAAATAATGTTATGTTGAAAAATATATTACGATTAAAACTCATATTAAATTTAATTAATTACGTGGTGGTTCAGGCTGGCAAGAGGTGAACGGATTACCGACGTAGCCAGGAATACAATTGCACGATGGCACATGACTAATAACAGTGCAAACTGCATATACTCCACAAACTCCAGGACAGGGGTCAACACATTTATTTCCAGTACACGCTTTGTTTTGAGGGCAGTCCGAGCTATGAACGCATTCTGGTCGACAACCTTCGTATGGATTTCCGAAATAATCTTGTATACAAGAACACGATCCAGCGCCATTTTGTTGCTTACAAACGGCATTTGGACCACACGGAGATGGTTCACATGGATTTAGGTCTTCTACAAAAATTAATTAATAAAATTAATTAGATTAACTTTTTTATGATGTCTTTATTTTATTAAATTAAGCGTTTTTACCTTGTTTTATTATACATTGTACAAATGGATTTCCAGTGTATCCAGGCGGGCATAAACATGACACTGCATGATTGACAACTTGACATTGAGCTTCACTGCCACAAGATCCTGGACATGGATCGCGACATTTATTGTTGATACAAGCAAGATTTGATGGACAATCTGGATTGATTATACACTCCGGTCGACAATTAGGCGGTGCGCCTATGTATGCTGGTAAGCACGAACACGAAGGGTTCTTACCGGACTGCACACATTTTGAATTCGGACCACATGGCGATGGAACGCACGGGTCTCTGGGTGGGTCAGATTGTGGAGGAATTTGAGGTTCTATCGCAGATTATCATAAATATTAGTATACGATTTTTGTGTTTCGGAAGTTACAAAAATAATATATTTTACTTGGTATTGTATAACAGCTTTGGAACGGATCTCCGGTTTGCCCTTCTCTACAACTGCAAATCGGGCTATGGTTTATGACTTCACATCTAGCGTTATTGCCGCAAGCCCCTATGCACGGGTTAATACATTTTGTATTAACACACGCTTTATCAGGGCTACATTCAGAGCTGACTGTACACTCCGGACGACACGACGGAGGTGATCCAATATAATTTTGGAGACATGAGCATACTGCGTGATCGTTGGTGTTTCTACATTGGCTATAAGGTCCACAAGGTGACGGGTTACACGGATCCGACGATACGGGAACGTCTATACACGGAGACACGGGTAATTAATAGTTAATTTTCACATGTATTCATTATTAAATATCAATATTTTACCATCCGGGATAGGTCGGCATATCGTAAACGGATCTCCCGAATATTTTGGAGGGCACGAACAAATTGGAATATGATTGACCACATCGCAATTGGCCCCTTGACCACATGTACCGACACAAGGGTCGCGACACTTATTTCGCATGCAAGCTTTATCTCTACTACACTCTGTATTTAATACACATTCTGGACGGCAATTTTCGTACGGGTTTCCAGTGTATTCAGGTAAACATTCACAATTTCCGTTTCCTTTGCAGACCGCATTGGGACCACAAGGCGATGGATTGCACGGGTCGAATGCCAATGGTCGTTCAGTAGTGATTTGTATTGGCGAGCAGAGACTGAATGGATCCCCGGTATGGCCAGTGTTACAAGTGCAAATAGGTACATGGTTTAATACATGACAGTTGGCGTTTAATCCACAGGAACCCAGGCACGGATCTCGACATTTTTGATTTATACACGCTAGTTGACTTGGGCACTCCGCGCTTATGACACATTCCGGCCGACACTGAGGAGGAGACCCAATGAAATCCGGTAAACATGAGCACGCGGGGTTTCCATTTTGAATTTGGCACTGTGAGTTAGGACCGCATGGCGAGGGATGACAAGATGGTGGACGTTCTGTTATAGGAGGATCTTGTGGTACCGCTGCAAAACATGAAATGTAACAAAACATGAATAACAGATGAGGTGCGAGTAATTAATTATTTAATACTTACGTATTAAAGAACACTGTGAAAACGGATCCCCAGAATAGCCAGCAGGGCAAGCACAAATTGGATTGTGGTTTCTCACTGTACACAGCGCTTGTATTCCACATGTATTCGGACACGGATCTAAACACTTTTGATTTATACAGGCTTTGTCCAAAGGACATTCTGAACTAACAACGCATTCCGGTCTACAATCCGGAGGACTGCCCATGTAATTTGGTAGACATGAACAGACTGCCTGATCGTTGACTTTACGGCATTGACTATTTGGCCCACACGGCGATGGATGGCAGGGATCAACTGGTTCTCTTTGGGTTGCTAAAATAATAATCATACAGTTTATTATTTATAAAAGCTAGCATTCTACAAAATGTTGTGTAATATTATATTATGTTTTTCAATTTGCCGTTATTTTATGTCTATTCATGGTATATTTTCAAACCAATTTACTAAATTTGATATTAAATTAGAAAATTTGGTTAATTTTCACTATAACCATTTTAGTTAGTTTTTTTTTTTTATATGTGTATAGGTAATGCCACTTACGGACGACGGGTATTGGTCGACACGAATAAAATGGATCTCCTGTGTACGATGGAGGGCATGAGCATATCGGAATATGTTTAACTACTGTACATATTGCTTCAGAACCACATGTTCCTGGACAAGGGTCAATACATTTATAACCAATGCACGCTAAAGCCAAATTACAGTCGTCATTATTTTCGCATTCTCGTCGACATCCAGTGTAGGGATCTCCTTGGAAGCCTTTAGAACAAGTGCAAGCAGCAACCCCATTTCGGTTTATGCACTCCGCGTTTGTACCACAAGGTGATGGATAGCACGGGTCAATGGGCTCTGGTGATCTTTCAGTTGCTAAATAATTGAATAAAAAAAATGTGTGGTCTAGAATGATGATGATTATAAGAAGAAAGTGTTTAATTTACTAATATCGATGTTAAATTATTATTCTATTGTCCTGAGATAATTTATTATTTAGGTAAAATAGTACAAATAAGTAATATAGTAGGTAATCAGTTTTCTTACAAGTAGGTAACAGTTGACAATATGTAAGAGCATCGCCAGTGTACCCAGGTAAACAAGTACAAACTGGGTTATGGTTGATAACTCTACAGTGGGCATATTGCCCACAAGATCCAGGGCATGGATCCGAACATTTTTCATTGATACACGCCAAATTACTCGAACATTCCGCGCTTATTACACATTCGGGTCTACAATTTGGTGGCCGACCAATATAGTTTTGCAAACAAGAACATGCAGCCGTATTGCTCACCACTCTACATTGAGAGTGTGGTCCGCAAGGTGATGGAGAACAAGGGTCTCTAGGTGGCGAAGGAGTGGTTGTGGCTACAGTAAGCAAAAAAAACCATGCAATAGAGATACAAAGAGTAGGTTGAAAAAACACAAAAACACATTTTGGCATGCAATAGAATAAAGAAATGCAATAGATTTTCAAGTAAAGAGTACCAAACAATATCTATACAATTCTTACGTTGTATTTTATGACAAGAAGCAAAAGGATCGCCTGTAAATCCAGGCGAACAGCTACAAATGGGATTATGGTTTACAACTTGGCACCTTGTATTTAAACCACAAGTGCCAATGCAGGGATCAACACATTTCTGATTAACACATGCTTTGTTTTGGCTACATTCTGAGCTAACAACACATTCAGGACGACACGATGGAGGTGTACCAATGTATCCATTTAAACATGAACACACTGCGTGACCATTTAATTCTCTGCACTGGCTATTTGGTCCACACGGTGATGGAGCGCATGGATCTATTGGTGTCGCTTCAGCTATATTTGAAAATTATTCATTAGTTATTGTGCTAAAATGTCCTTTAATAGTAGGTAATAAAACCATTTAAGTAATTGTACTAACTTATAGGTATGATTTGACATTGCGTTAATGGATCTCCAGTGTACCCGGTAAAGCATGTGCATGATGGTGCATGGTTTAATACTCGGCACTCTGCATTTAGGCCACAAGTACCAGGACAAGGGTCTTTACATTTATTGTTTGTACATGCTTTAGTGCGGTCACAATCAGCATTTGTTACACATTCGGGTCTGCATCCGGTGTATGGATCACCAAAATATTCAGGTAGGCAAACACAAGAACCTGCGCCGTTCTTTTCTCTGCAAATAGCATTGGCTCCACAAGGTGATGGATTACAAGGATCTCTTGGTCCTTCAGTTGGGGCTACTATTAAGACAACGAAAAATATATTAAAAAAACATCTCTAAATGCATGTTAGCTTTAAGAAATATTTACTTTGTTGTACTATTGAACAGCCAGCAAAAGGATCTCCCGTGTAACCAATTTCACATGTACATTGAGGTCTATGATTACGAGTTTCACAAGTTGCATGAACTCCACATGATCCAGGACAAGGATCTTTACAACGTTCATTCAAACAAGCAAGATTTCCTGGACACTCTGCGTTTATAGAACATTCTGGACGACAATTTGGAGGTCTTCCTATGTAATTTTGTAGACAAGAACACGCTGGCGTGGAACCGACTTCTCGACAAATAGAATTCGGCCCGCATGGTGATGGCACACATGGGTTTTCGTCACTGAGTGGTGGTTGAGTTGGACGTGCTATCCAAAACATAACAAAACAAATTATTTAATGAATAAGAATGTGTAAAAGAATATAGTAGGGCAGGAGAAGGTAACTAGATTACATGGTGATTTAACATTTAAATTGACGGATTTTTTTTAAATGATTTATTTTTATGTAACGTATAATAAGGGTGTATACGTTTTTATTGTTCTAATTATAAATTTAAAAATTATAATACAAATTATGAACACTTACGTTCTTCTCTACAATGTACAAACGGATCTCCAATCAATCCACTCGGACAGCTGCATATTGGATTATGATTAATTACTTGACATCTTGCTCCTATACCACATATTCCAATACAGGGATCTGCACACTTTTGATTAATACAAGCTCTGTTTTGTGGACATTCAGAACTAACAACACATTCAGGGCGGCAACCAGGAGGAGTACCAACATAGTTTGTTTGACATGAACATACTGCGTGACTATTTAGTGCTTTACAATTACTATAAGGACCACACGGCGATGGCTCACAAGGATTTTGTGGTATTGGGTCCACTAAAAATAAATAATAATTAATGAAAAATATTCATAAATTGATGAGATAAAATAGTGAAAATAATTCTTACTTGGAGGAGGAATGTGACAAGCAGTAATCGGGTTACCAGTGTAACCTGGTAAACAGGTGCACGATGGCGCATGATTGATAACACTGCATTCTGCGTTTAGACCACAGGTTCCCGGGCAAGGATCTCTGCATTTATTATTTACGCAAGCTTTTTGCCTGTCACAATCTGAATTAGTTACGCACTCTGGTCTGCATCCTGTGTAAGGGTCTCCGAAATATTCAGGCAAACAAATGCAAGATCCTGCGCCATTGCGTTCCTTACATATGGCATTGGCACCACAGGGAGATGGATTACATGGCATAATTGGTCCTTCAGTTGGTACGACTGAAATAGTTTTAAAAAATGTACATTACATCTACTGAATAACTATAAAAAGTATTTAAAAAAAAATATTTACTTTGTTGAACTATTGAACACCCAGCAAAAGGATCTCCAGTATAACCGGGTTCGCAACTACACTGTGGACTATGGTTTATTGTTACACATGTTGCATAATTTCCACAAGATCCCGGGCAAGGATCTTTACAGCGTTCGTTTTGACAAGCTAGATTTCCAGGGCATTCCGAATTTATAGTACATTCTGGTCGACAATTTGGTGGTCGTCCTATGTATTTGTCCAGACATGAACAAGCTGGAGTATTGCCTATTTCACGGCATACAGAATTTGGTCCACAGGGAGATGGAACACAAGGATTTGAAGGTGTATCAGCTATCGGAGGAGCTAAAAATGTATAAACGTATAAATAACAATATACAACACAATATTAATTTAAAGCGATAAAAATGTTACATACTTTCTTTTATGCATCTTACAAATGGATCTCCATTAAATCCTGGAGGGCAACTACATATTGGGTTATGATTGACTACTTGGCATCTAGCATTAAATCCACAAGTTCCTGGACAAGGATCAACACACTTTTGTTTTGCACATGCTTTGTCTTGTGGACATTCTGAACTGACCATACATTCAGGTCGACATGCGGGAGGTGTCCCTATATAGTTAGATTGACACGAGCAAACTGCGTGGTCATTTACTGGTCTACATTGACTGTAAGGTCCACACGGTGATGGCACACATGGATTTGATGGTGGTTCAGGATCGCCTAAAAGTGTATAATATTGTAAATAAATTTAGAAACTGTTTAAAATAACTGCAAAATTTTGTACAAATAATAAAAAAACTAAAAAAGTTTATTTGACGAAAAAGAAAGTATAATTGTGACTTAGATAAAGCAATTGAGTTAACACTTACGTATAGGTTGAACATAACATGACAAAGTTGGATCTCCGGTATATCCCTCAGGACAAGAACATGATGGTGAATGGTTTATTACTCTGCATTCCGCATCTCGACCACAAACACCAGGGCAAGGGTCACGACACTTGTTGTTCATACAAGCTTTGCTTCTGTCACAATCAGAGTTCGTCACACATTCTGGTCTACATCCTGTGTAAGGATCACCAAAGTACTCTGGTAGACATGTACACGAGCCAGCCCCGTTACGTTCTTTACACTGTGCATTTGCTCCGCATGGGGATGGATTACAAGGCATTTTTGGTCCTTCAGTCGGTATAACTAAATTGTTAAAATTATTATTGATTAGTTAGTTCGACTAACACATAGAACATAACTACATACTTTGGGGAATTAGAGAGCATCCAGCAAACGGATCACCAGTATATCCCGGTTGACAAGTACATTGAGGGACGTGTTTCACAGTGTTACATGTTGCATATATTCCACAAGACCCTGGACACGGATCTCTACATCTTTCATTTTGGCAAGCAAGATTTCCTGGGCATTCTGCATTGATAGTACACTCTGGACGACAGTTGGGAGGTCTTCCGGTGTAATTTGGCAAACACGAACAAGCTGGTGTACCGCTGTGATCGCGACACACCGAATTTGGACCACAAGGAGATGGCACACATGGATTAGTCGGAATTGAAGGCTCGTATTGTGGTTCTAATTTAAAAAAATATATATTTAATTTTCAATAAACATTAGCATTATTTTATAAAATCAAAATTATTTTATACTAACTATCTTGTAAACATCGAACGAATGGGTCACCAGTAAATCCTTCTGAACAACTACATATTGGATTATGGTTTACAACCTGGCATCTTGCATTTAGACCACAAGTTCCTGGGCATGGATCGACACATTTCTGGTTCACACATGCTTTATCTTGAGCACACTCAGAGCTAACCATACACTCAGGGCGGCACGCTGGCGGTGTACCAATATAATTGTTTTGGCAAGAGCAAACTGCATGGTTGTTTACCACCCTGCATTGACTATATGGGCCACAAGGTGAAGGTATGCAAGGATTTTTAGGCGGTAGATCTGGTGGGCCTAGATGTAGGTAAAGCAAAAAGAAAACATGCAACGTACAATAGAGACAGATAAGAAAGAATAACTAGTTTAAAACACCAAGCACACACGATATATAAGCAAACATGTATTTGTAGATATAGAAGAACCTTACTGGCAATTGGAAGAAGTTGACAAGCAGACAACGCATTGCCAGTATATCCTGGAAGACAAGAACACGAAGGGGCGTGATTGATAACTCTGCACTCGGCATACAAGCCACACATCCCTGGGCATGGGTCACGACATTTATTGTTTACACAAGCTTTGTCTCTTGGACATTCGCTGTTAAGCACACATTCGGGTCTACATCCTGTATAAGGATCGCCTTTATATTCAGGGATGCATGAACAAGAGCCAGCATTGTGTCTTTCTTTACATATAGCGTTTGCACCACAGGGTGACGGGTTACACGGATCACGGGGCACATCTGCTGGCGGTGGAGCTAAAACGGGAAAAACTATATTGCAGTCTACTATCATAGTATGTTATGGAGTAGTTGTTCAACTCAGACTAAGTTATAATCATTTTATTTTACTTATTTCAAAATTGTCTTACGTGTAATCGGCGTAGGCGTGCATGCAATAAATGGATCACCTGTATACCCATCACTACATTTACATACAGGATTATGTGATACGACTTTACAATGTGCGTTGATACCACAGGAGCCAGGACAAGGATCTATACATCTTTCGTTTACGCAAGCTAAATTTCCATAGCATTCAGAATTTATTGTACATTCTGGTCTACAACATGGTGGACGCCCTATGTAATTTGGCAAGCATGAGCATACAGGAGTAGAATCTCGAGGGTGGCATACGGAATTAGGACCACAAGGTGAAGGGACACAAGGATTTTGTGGCAGTCTATCTTGTTCCGGTGGCAAAGGCTCTAAAAACATTTTCCCCATGCAAAATTAAAATTAAACTACAATTCAAGCAACTGAAAGCAACTTATGTATTCTTACTTTCAATTATAGCACAACGAACAAATGGGTCACCGTAATGACCGGGATAACAACTACACACTGGGCTATGATTGATTACCCGACATTGGGCATTATAACCACATGTGCCAGGACATGGATCAGAACATATCTGATTTATACATGATTTATCTTGTGGACATTCCGAACTAGTTATGCATTCTGGATGACAATTTGGAGGGTTTCCAAAGTACCCAGGCAAACACGAGCACACAGCATGACCATTTACAGCGCGACATTGACTATACTGACCACAAGGTGATCTCATGCAAGGATGTTTTGTAATAACCAAATCTACTTGGCATGCTAGTGGTAATATAATAAAATACAATTTAAATAATAGTTCACTAAAAAGCGGAAGCGGTTTACAATTCTTACTTGGATCTAATTCAACTCTATGGCAAGAAAACAAAGCATTTCCAGTGTAGCCCTGCAAACAGTAGCATGTGGGCGCATGATGGCTGACTTTACATTCAGCATTAAGACCACAAGCACCAATACAAGGGTCTATACATTTGTTGTTTATGCATGCTTTGTTCCAAGCACAATCAAGGTTGTTTACACATTCTGGCCGACATCCCAGGTAAGGATCGCCAAAATATTCTGGTATACATGAACAAGAGCCTGCACCGTTTAATTCTTTACACACTGCGTTTGCTCCACACGGAGAAGGGTAACAAGGATTTACAGGCGTATAGTCTATAGCTGAAATAGAAGTATAAACAAACTAAGTTCGTGCAATGTTCAAAAAATACTTTGTATAAGTGATCACCAAAACCATTCAAGCGTAAACATGCAATTCAAATCGTATAACGGTATTAATAGCCTGCCAAACAAATAGTCTTACGCTGTATAAAACATATGTTAAATGGGTCGCCGGTATATCCAGCCGGACACACACAAAATGGTGTGTGATTGACCGCTGTACATATTGCTTGAGGAGCGCAACTACCAGGACATGGGTTAATACAGCGGTTGTTAACACACACCATCGAACCAATGCACTCAGCATTTAAAGAGCATTCTGGTCGACAGTTAGGTGGCAATCCAGTGTAGCCAACTTGACATGCGCACACTGGTTGTTGGTCGAATGAACGACAAACTGAATACAGACCGCACGGGTTCGTATCACATGGATTTATATTAGTATCCGGGCGTTCTTCTAAATAATTTAATTAATCGATCATGCATCCGTTAGAGTTAATCGTACAACAATTAGCTATTAAATGTTTCTTACTTTCTACTTTAATGCACCGTGTCATTGGGTCGCCAGTAAAACCAAGTTTGCAAGCACATATTGCTTTGTGGTTAATAACTCTACAATGAGCATTAGGAGCGCACATGTTGGGACAAGGGTCTACACATCTTTGGTTAATGCATGCTTTATTGGGTACGCATTCCGAACTTATTACGCAGTCTGGTCTACAATTAGGAGGAGTCCCGATGTAGCCATACTGACATACACACAAGATACGATTTCTCACTACCGAGCAGTTGCTGTACGGACCACAAATATTGGACCCACAGAGTGTTGGTTTAGGAAAAGGTACAGAAGCTATAAGAAAATAATTTATTAAAGCAGTTATATATTTATATGTTGAAAATATATATGATTTCTCATTTTACGATTTTCAGTTGGATAATTTTTTTTATTTAAAAGACGATATAATGAGCTGTTAGTTTTGTATAATTAAAGTATAAACAAAGCGTGTTGAGAAAACAGATATATTTTTTTAAAAAAATGTAGCGTTAGTGACAGATAAAAATGGAAGATAGCATGCTTACGGTTAATAGTTTTTTGGCAAATTGTTAGAGGGTTGCCATTCGTGCCATTAGGACAGAAGCAGGTCGGCCTATGGTTAACAACTTGACAACGAGCGCGTATGCCACATGCGGTTTTGCATGGGTCGATACATTTTGAGTTAACGCATGCTAATGTTCTTGGACATTCTGCATTTAAAACGCATTGCGGGCGACAACCGATAATTGGATCACCTCGGTGATTTTTCTTGCAAACACAAGTTCCATTACTAGCGTTTCCCTTACATATTGCATTAGGTCCACAAGGGAAATGAGCACACGTTAAATGCGGTTTTCCTTTGGGCTTAGCTGATAATAAAACAAACTTTGTTTGTAATAGTCGAAATGTTACGTTAGTTTTCTAGTTGTTTTAATGTGTTGTTACTTGTACTATTGGGTAATTAAAAAGCTATTAATTACCAATAACCATAATAATATATTGTTTTATAATTTAGTAGTAGTTTAGTTACTGATTTTATCTTTGTAAAATATTCAATACTATGTATTAATAAAATGGATAGCAAAACTTTGAGATCTTGATTAAACATACCTGCGACTGCACTGCACCCATTAAATGGATCACCTTGATAACCTGGCTCGCAAGAACACACTGGCTGATGGTTAACAACTGTACACCTTGCATTAAATCCACAAGAACCTGTACAAGGATCTTTACATTTGCTCTGCAAACATGCTAATCGTGTTGGACAATCGGAATGAATTAAACATTCAGGACGACAATTTGGTGGTGCTCCGAGCATTCCCGGCAAGCAAGAACAAACAGGTCTGTGATCGTATTCTTTGCATTCTGAGTTTGCTCCACACGGAGAAGGTAAACAAGGATGGTAATTATCTACTGAAGGTGTTTTGGGTTCTGCAATCACGTTTGAATAACATCAAATGTAAAAAAAGAAATAAGAGGTCAAGTAATATAAAACATAATTATTAAATCCTCTAGCAGTTTCGGCATTGTGATGTACTTATATATTTACCTTCTTGAACACATCGTACAAATGGATCTCCTACAAAGTCTGTAGGACAACTGCAAATCGGATTATGATTAATAACGTTACACCTCGCGTGTAACCCACAAGTTCCTGGACATGGGTCGGCACATTTTTGTGCTATACATGCTTTGTCTCCAGGACATTCAGCACTGACTACGCATTCAGGTCGACAGGAAGGAGGCGTACCAATAAATCCTTGAAGACATGAACACACTGCATTATATCCCTGAGTTCGACATTGGCTGTTTGGGCCACATGGGGATGGGTCACATGGGTTTTGAGGAGTCGGTGCTAAATTATGTTTGAACGATTAATAAGGCGTTTCAAAATTACGTTATTTTTTTTATAATAGTAGCTCACGTTTAACTGGTTCAATTCTACAAGATTGAAACGGATCTCCAACATGACCAGGAAGACACGAGCATACAGGCACGTGGGATACTACGTGGCATTGGGCATTAATGCCACACACACCAGGACATGGGTCTCTACAATGGCTAGCCAGACAGGCCAAGTTGGATAAACAATCACTGTTCATAAGACATTCCGGCCTACATCCTCCGGAATAAGGATTGCCAATGTAAGGTGGAATGCATACACATTTAGCTATACCATTTCCTTCGTTCAAACATTGAGTATTTTCTCCACAAGGCGATGGATTACACGGATCTCGCGGAACTTCAGGCAATGCAGCTGAAATTGATATTTAATAAAGTTGATATTTAATAATTTCTAAGTTCTTTAAGTACTTAATGATATATTTTTTAAAATTTTCATAGTTTTATAGTTTTTAATTTTATTTTTTAAAATGTCACTAACTCGGAGGAATTCTTGTACAGCTAATAAAAGCATCTCCTTCATAGCCAGGTTCACAAGTACAGAACGGAGTATGGTTCACGACGTCACATTTAGCATATAATCCGCATGATTTTGTGCACGGATTTTGACACTTCTCTTGAATACAAGCTTTATTGTACGGACATTCTTGATTCATTATACATTCTGGACGACAATATGGCGGACTTCCTATATAGTTAGGGGCGCAAGAACACACAGGGTGCCCTTTGCGAATTTCACAAAGTGAATTAGGACCACACGGAGTAGGTTCACATGGATTTCCAGGTATTTTTGGTGTTTCCACTCCTGAAAAATAATGAATATTGTAAAAAAGTTTTACAAAAAATATCGCAAAATGAATAATATATTTTTACACACCTAATGGTAAATGGCAGCTAACGAATGGGTCGCCAATCTGACCTGCTGGACAACTGCATATGGGATTATGACAGATAGTGTAACAATTGGCTCCCACGCCACATGTTCCCGGACAAGGATCAACACATTTTTGATTTAAACAAGCTTGTGTTTGTGGACATTCAGCGCTGACCACGCATTCAGGCTTACAAACCGGTGGAGATCCACGATATCCAGGTAAACATGAACATGTAGCATATCCTTTCTCGGAAATATGACACCGGCTGTTAGAACCGCATGGAGACGGATCACAAGGGTTATCAACTGGGCCCATCAATGGAGGGTAACCTGGAAATGTTTCAAACATTTAAATTAACGTATATTGTATTCATTGTTCAGTTAACAATGTTTACAATTGTTATTAAATCAATTTACAGTAGTTAATAGCGATTTTAAATACAACGTACTAGGTCTAGACTGATAACAGCTGACGAAAGGATCTCCTGAGTAATCTTGTTGACAATAACACACGGGGAAATGGTTAACAACTTGACATAGGGCATTGACTCCGCACACTCCGAGACAGGGATTAACACATTTGTTGTTGATACAAGCCAGCGTCTGTCCACAGTCGGTATTTAACACACACTCTGGTCGACACGCTAAGTAAGGGTTTCCGAAATATTGTTGGCGACAAACACAAATGGTCATTCCGTTTGATTTTTTACACACAGCATTTGCACCGCATTGTACACGATCGCAAGTAAGCGGCTTTGCAACTTCGTCTTTAAAATATATCAAATTATTAGTGTGATAATGTTGTAACAAACAAAATGCATTGATTTAGGCCTTACTTTGTTTTGGGGTGGAACAATGCTCATATGGATTTCCCACTAGACCTGGCGAACAAGAGCAAATCGGTTGGTGGTGCACAACAGTGCACTCTGCTTGGATACCACACGATCCGGGGCAAGGATCAATACACTTTTGTCCCACACAAGCTAAATTGAATGGACATTCTGAATTATACAAACACTGCGGATGACATTGTGGATTCCACTGGTGTTCGGGCGAAGAGCACGGATCGCACATTGCTATTTGGCCACCGTATACATTGCACGATGCATATGGGTCACACGGTGACGGTGCGCACGGGAGTGTCATATTTTTGTAAGGCTCGTCGTTAGCTAAATTCGTAAAATACAAATTACAAACAAAGTATAACTATTTGTTACATATAATGCTGCATCGTTAAACTAGAACTTACGTTTTGGAACACACTGTAAGAATGGATCGCCGACAAAACCATCTCGACATGAACATAAAGGCGTGTGGTCTTTGCACTGGCATACTGCACCGAGGCCGCAAATGTTTCCAAAAGCACACGGATCTCGACAACGATAATCGATACATGCTTGATGACTTTTGCAATCGGTATTCAAAACACATTCCGGTTTACACGCCGTTTTAGGATCTCCGACGTAATTGGGTAAACACGAACAAACGGCTTTGCGATTTTGTATTTTGCATTCAGAATTCAAACCACAAGGGTTCGGCAAACAAGGATTTCCGGTTGGCATTGGATCTGAGCCTATGGACAAAATGTATTAAAACAAAAAAATTATTCACGTTTTAGTGATATAGACATTTTATTTTTAACACATTACTTATAGGATAGCAGCGTAAAAATGGATTTCCCGTCAAACCGTGACTGCAAGTGCACACTGGGTGGTGCTGCTCGACTCGACAAGAAGCTCCTACTCCACAAGATCCTGGACACGGATCATTGCACCTATAGCCTAAGCATGACTTGTCGAGTGGACAGTCCTTGTCGTAAGTACACTCTGGCCCTCTGCAACCAGTAATTGGATCTCCTCCCATTCCATCGGGACAATAACATAACGGTTGGCCTTTTACATAAAGTATTACATTATTTATAATAATTTTGCTACGAGTAACCAAATAAAAAATAATTACCTTCGGTTGAAACTTTACAATATGCGTATTTTCCACATGGATTAGGTTCACATGGGCTGTTAGGTATTAAACTGCAGCTTTCGTAAGGGTTTCCAGAGTATCCATTTTTACAGAAACATTGTTCATTACTACCAGTAACATAACAATCGGCGTTGATACCGCAGGGTCCAGGTTGACATAATGTTTTCGCCGATTCTTAACACAAATTGTAAGACATATAAATTATAGTAGAGCATTAATAAAAACTTAACTACACTGGAACTTACCACCACAGCTTTTGTATGGATTTCCAATTAACGGCTCAGGGCAGAAACACGATGGTTGCCTATTTGGATCACAGATAGCTCCTTGGCCACAAGGGTTTGGTTCGCAAGGATTCTTTTTCTCGACACAGCCGCGTATCGTATTCGGGCTTTCTATGTAACCCGGAAGACAGGTACATTTTGCAAACCCATTGTTCAGTAATGTACATTGTGTGTTTGGCCCGCAAGGTGAAGGTGTGCAAGGATTAGAAGGCAGGTGGCATGGCGTTATTGGCGGATCTCCTTCGTACTCAGAAAGACAATAGCATACAGCAGAACCGTCTACTACTCTACAGCCAGAGTACGGGCCACACGGGTTGGGCACACATTCATCGCCTTCGGGTACTACAAGTAGAAAATAACACTTTAGAAACCGATCCATTTAGTTGTTACCTGAATTTTCAACTTACTGCAACTTTTGAACGGGTTTCCCGTCATTCCTTTTGGGCAGTAACATATTGGGTTTCCGTTGTCGACCTCGCAAAGAGCATGCATTCCACATGGGTTGGGATTGCACGGATTTTGAGGCGCTAAAAAAAATTATTACTGGTTACAGTTGAAATTGTGTTTAACGATTACGGATCAGTGTTTTCAACACTTATTACTCAAACGAGCAGTATATACAACGGTTATAATCAGTCTGTGATAATTGGTAAATTACCTTGACATCCTGTCAATGGATTTCCGTTGTAACCCGGTAGACACTTGCAAGACGCTTTGTGATACAAAACGTCGCAGACGGCGTTTGGACCACACCGACATGGATTCGAGCATTTTCCGTTGATGCACGCTTCGTTAGTCACGCACTCTTCGTCCGATCGACATCCGGTAACTAAATTCAATTAAAAGATAAAAACCATGTTTCGAAAACTGTAATATCAGTGAAATACGTTCAAACAATACCTGATGCACAGTTTATGTAAGGGTTTCCTTGATGGCCTGGCAAACACCTACATTCTGATCCGTGGTTGACCGCAGTGCATTCGGCGTTTTCGCCACACGAGTCTTCGGCACACGGACTTATACAAACTCGGTTCAATCGGTCACATAGTTTGTCCGGCGGGCAATCTTCGTTGTACTGACATACGGGTTTAAAGGACCGAACTTGGGGAAGGAAATACAATAGACTCGTGTTAAAATTACAGTATAGTAAAAATATGCTATAACTGTTTGCGAGCTCAAATAATACTGACCAGGCAAACAACCGACAAATCCGTTCCCTTGAAAACCTTCTATGCAGCTACAATCCACTCCTTGGGCAGTGTTTATGCACGCTGCATTTTGAGCGCACGGGTTGTGCACGTTGCATGGATTTTGGCAAATTTGCTGGATGCAAACTTCACCTTGTGTACATTCGTTATTCGAAATACAGGTAACTAGATTTAGGTAAAAAAAAAAATAAAGAAGATAAAAAGAAGAACTGCAAACCTTTAAATCGTAAATTATAGATATAGTCCCCAAGATCTAGGTATTCATTTCTGGGCTTTAACTATACATAATATGTACATCAACAGTATATTATATATAATATTTACAATACTCGTTAAATATAAATTATCTTTTATGTATATTATTTACAATAGATATTATAATACCTAATATAAATACCCATACCTACTTATTACACTTTTAAATACTCAACGAGGACACTTGATGACGTGTGTTTGTGTGTGTTTTTAGTGATATTAATTTTTATTAAAGTCATTCAATCGTTTAATAAATTTTGTATTAAAATAAATTAGTGATGTGTTAAGGCTTACATAATTTCGGTTGGTAACATTTGATTGCTGGGTTTCCTTCATATCCCGGTGGACACGAACAGACGGGCCTGTGCTTTACCACACGGCATTTAGCATTTGATGCACATACCGTGGAAAAACTACACAGGTCCTCACACTGACCCATATAGCAGGCTTCCGAATCCAGACATTCCGTATCGGATTCGCATACTTGAGGTTTTTTTGCCGTGCCCGGTGCTGTGTATTATTTTTGTACATTAGAGTTATTTACACAAGCAAGTTAATAATAATTAACACAAATTTGTTAAGCTTATATTAATTTCTATTAACAAAATCATACATACATTGTTATAATATTATATCTGATATTACATAACCTGCCTTACCTATATCGAATTAGTGTTAGAATATTATGTTCAACCGATCGGGGGAGTAATTAAAAAAAAAAAAACTCTATTGTCTAAATTAATAGAAAATTCAATTTAATTCGTTAAAAACATTTGCGAATAATTATTATGGCCAAACGTACATCACATTGTGGCTATTTCACCAAGTCATGCTTCGATTAATATCACTTCTGTGAAAGTAACCCGATCCTAGAAACTTATAGTTTTAGAAACGTAAATCCGTTCCACTCATCGAAATAATTAATTATTCTAACACATAGACCTAATGCAAACGCCAAAGCACTGACTGATGTGGAAATTGTCTTGTCCCTAACCTACCTATTTGTTCAAATTCGTGACAAACAAATCATGAAATTCCACATACATACACGGACTAGTTGACATGCTTAACACATTTGGCTAAACGTTTTAAAGCAATATTTTTTTAGTATTACATAAAATTGTACCTTTGAGACATTGCAACGTGATGATCCCGGGCGGACAGTTATTAACGCGGCTTTCACCTGCGGGCAAACACTTGGCTGCCAAACACTTGTGGCCGGCATCACAATCGGTATCGTTCGAACACCATTTTCTGGTCGCTGTGGTTTTTAGTTGTGTATTATTGTCAGTGTTGTATGTGTCTAGTCGGTTTTCGATTTTCGGTTTTAGAGTCGCGTCTTCAAAGTCAACAATTTTAGACGTTATGGTGTATTCAGTCGTGGTCAGTACACTGCTCAAGTTGATATTTTCTTGTTGAGTGTTTTTTAATGTGATCAGTTGGTCTTTAGATACATTATTGACATTAGGTGAATCGGTTTTATGTTCATCCGTGCTTATTTTTGATTGTATACCGTCATCACGAGATAAGGTAGTACCGATTTCATTATGAACAGTTGTTCCGACTGATAATAGATCCAAAGGTGAAAAGGTAGTAGACGTGTCGACGGTAGGTAAATCTGATTTATACTCATCAGTACTAGATTCGGTCGTACCCATTTCATTTTTACTAGTGGTTTCAAATGAAAAACGACCCATAGGCGAAAAGGTAGTAGATATGTCGATATTTGGCGAATCTGGTTTATATTCATCAGTCCTAGATTCGGTCGTACCTAATTCATTTTTACTAGTGGTTTCAAATGAAAAACGACCCATAGGTAAAAAGGTAGTAGATATGTCAATATTAGGAGAATCTGATTTATTTTCATCAGTGCTAGATTCAGTCGTACCAATTTCATTTTTACTCGTAGTTTCTACTGATAAGGAAACCCACGGTGACGATGTAGTAGTCACGTCAATATTAGGTAAATCTGATTTATATTCATCAGTGCTTGTTTTCGTATCAACAGTACTAGATTCAGTCGTACCCATTTCATTTGTACCAGTAGTTTCAAATGAAAAGCGGCCCATAGGTGAAAAGGTAGTAGACGTGTCGGCGGTAGGTAAGTCTGATTTATTTTCATCAGTGCTAGATTCAGTCGTACCAATTTCATTTTTACTCGTAGTTTCTACTGATAAGGAAACCCATGGTGACGATGTAGTAGTCACGTCAATATTAGGTAAATCTGATTTATATTCATCAAGTGCTTGTTTTTGTATCAACAGTACTAGATTCAGTCGTACCCATTTCATTTGTACCAGTAGTTTCAAATGAAAAGCGGCTCATAGGTGAAAAGGTAGTAGACGTGTCGGCGGTAGGTAAGTCTGATTTATTTTCATCAGTGCTTGTTTTTGTTTGTGACTCATCAGTGCTAGATTCAGTCGTACCAATTTCATTTTTACTCGTGGTTTCTACTGATAAGGAAACCGATGGTGACGATGTAGTACTCACGTCAATATTAGGTGAATCTGATTTATATTCATCAGTGCTTGTTTTTGTTTGTGTATCATCAGTGCTAGATTCGGTCGTACCTAATTCATTTGTACTAGTGGTTTCAAATGAAAAACGACCCATAGGTGAAAAGGTAGTAGACGGTAGGTAGTCGATATTTTCATCAGTACTTGTTTTATTTTGACTCATCAGTGCTAGATTCAGTCGTACCGATTTCATTTTTACCAGTAGTTTCAAATGATAAGCGGCTCATAGGTGAAAAGGTAGTAGACATGTCGATATTAGGTGAATCTGATTTATTTTCATCAGTGCTTGTTTTTGTTTGTGACTCATCAGTGCTAGATTCAGTCGTACCGATTTCATTTTTACTAGTGGTTCCAAATGAAGAGCGGCTCATAGGTGAAAAGGTAGTAGACATGTCGATATTTGGTGAATCTGATTTATTTTCATCAGTGCTTGTTTTTGTTTGTGACTCATCAGTGCTAGATTCAGTCGTACCGATTTCATTTTTACTAGTAGTTCCAAATGAAAAACGGCTCATAGGTGAAAAGGTAGTAGACATGTCGATATTTGGTGAATCTGATTTATTTTCATCAGAGCTTGTTCTTGTTTGTGACTCATCAGTGCTAGATTCAGTCGTACCAATTTCATTTTTACCAGTTGTTGCTACTGATAAGGAAACCGACGGTGACGATGATGTACTCACGTCAATATTAGGTGAGTCTGGTTTATATTCATCAGTGCTTGTTTTTGTTTGTGTATCATCAGTGCTAGACTCGGTCGTACCCAATTCATTTTTACTAGTGGTTTCAAATGAAAAACGACCCATAGGTGAAAAGGTAGTAGATATGTCGATATTAGGAGAATCGGATTTATTTTCATCAGTGCTAGATTCAGTCGTACCAATTTCATTTTTACTTGTAGTTTCTACTGATAAGGTAACCCACGGTGACGATGTAGTAGTTACGTCAATATTAGGTAAATCTAATTTATATTCATCAGTGCTTGTTTTTGTATCAACAGTACTCGACTCGGTCGTACCCATTTCATTTGTACTAGTGGTTTCAAATGAAAATCGACCCATAGGTGAAAATGTAGTAGATATTTCGACGGTAGGTAAGTCTGATTTATTTTCATCAGTGCTTGTTCTTGTTTGTGTATCATCAGCGTTAGATTCGGTCGTACCCATTTCATTTTTACCAGTGGTTTCGACTGAGAATCGAACTGAAGGTAAAAGAGTGGTAGACCTGTCGTTGTCAATGCTTATAGTACTAACAGTAGAATCTCGAGTAGAGCTTAAAATATTTCTATTATTTTCAGTAACAGAACTGTCATTTTCCGTTGGAAAATCATTTAAATTCATATCGTCTCCTTTCGTTTCTTTTGCTTCTACTGTATAAGTTGTCGTTTCGAATAATTTATTATTTTGACCAACAGTCGTGTGTTCGTTGTGTGGTATATCGGTTAATGTGTTGGAAATAGTTGAAGCCTCGTTCATATCAGTAGTAATTGGATTGTCAGTACTACTGCGAGAAGATGTGTCGACCGTTTCGTAATCTAATGTTGTTGAAAGTTCGTTTTGTAAAGTAGAAGTTTCGTCGTTATTAGATTTTCCATTGAATGCCGTTTGTGTTTCGTCCCTCAAGCTGGTGACAAGTACTTCGATGGACGTTGTAACGAAATTCATTAAGGTAGTTATATCGTTAACCGATGCCATTGTTGTAAAATCGACTTCATTTTTTTGTGATGTTTCCAAACTAGATTCGGTCGGTTGGATAGTGCCGCCTCGTTGCTCTAAGTCCGAGCTTTTCGTGTTGATCCAATTAGCAACTGTAACAGCTCCGGTCGGTGTTGTATTTTCTTTGTCATCTATCATACTTACACCAGAAGTCATCGTCGTTGTCTCTGTGACTTGATCGATATAGTCAGGTTTATTTTGACTAGTATTTTTCAGTGTAAAATCTAATCCTGTAGTTACCTCATTAGCTATTGTACTGGTCGCGTCCTCAACGATTGTATCATCTCTATCAACGCTGGGAGTCGTTGTTATAATAATTATGCTTTCGTTTTTCCCACGAGTCCGTGCGGTCGTTGTTAAGTCATATTCTGCGATGCTAGTAACACCAGTGGTTTGGTCGTATACAACCGTATTAGCAGCAGATTGAGAACTAGTCGTAGTTTTTTCTTCCGTGTAATTTATACTATCCATTTCTGTAGTTCCCACGTCTGTTGTTGTTGTTGTCCTCAGGTCTGCAACGGTAGTTGTGTACACACGGTCTGAGCCAAACAACGATTCCCATTGATTTTTAATTTTTCCCGAAACATTACTTTCGTTTAATCTAACGGTATCGCTAGCAACGGTCGGATCGGCTTGTTGGCTTGTGGATTTTAATATCGTCGACACCAAATTATCGAATTTAGATGAATTAAACGCATCGTTAGCTAGTGTGCTCGCTATTTCGTTTGGTTCCGTCACGGTTGTTTGATCTGAACGAATCAACTGCTTAGTGTTTTCTTCGTCCGGCTCGCTTGTGGTCCAACTAAGTGTTGTAACTGTTACTTCATTATTGTTTTCGGTTATTTCCATTTTCGCGCTTGTTGTCGTTTCCGCGGTATTGTCACTTCGGATCGTCGTAGTTAAGACGGGAATATTATTCGTGTTCGAAGATTCATCTAAATTATGATCGTCTCCGTTAACTACTCTAACTTGGGCTGTAAATGTAGTCGTTTCGATTGATTGAGGAAAATCCGTGTGTTGGCTATCAACGCTACTAAGTGAGGACGTTTCAACCGTTTCAAGATTTTGAGTTGTTTCTGTATCAATATGTTGGTCGCTTTGTAAAGTAGTCGTTTCGAAATCGTTCAACGTACTCGAGGACACTGTTGGAATCGAATAGACGCCTTTATTATTGTAATTAGATTTAAAAGTAGTTGTTTCAGGGGCGTAAGGCGACGTGCTAACATCTAAAGGAAACTGGCTGACTGCGTTGGAAGTTATAAGCGTTGTGCCGTCATCTGACATCGTGGTGACTTTAGGCGTATTCAAATTTAGCAAATGATCGGTTGTTGTTTCATGATCAGACCCCGTCGTGGTTTCTTTTGTCGATAATGTAACGACTGTGGCGGCTTCGGAATCTGTGGTTCTGTCCGAACTTGTTGGAAAATCGTTTTTATCTGTAATCAAATCGACCCCCGTCCTTATGCGGAGCGTCGTTGTTTCTGACTCTCTATCGTTTAGTATTGTATTCATGTTGTACTCATTTACCGCAGTGGTAGGCTCGGACAACTGAGGAGTAGAATTTTCGGAAGTCTTGTCACGGTTATCTAGAGTATAAGGAATAGTGCTCGTTTGATAATAATCATTTGGTGTAGTCACGCCATCGATAATAATTGTTTCGGTGGTCGATTGATTTTCCTCGTTCCTCGTGGGCACTGGGCTAGTATTAATTTTTTCTGGCATTTCCGTCAAACCCTTTTCCGAATCGGTTAACAACCAATTGTCACCGTCGGTCGGTCTCGTGGTTAGTTGACTATCGGAATCTTGGGTTTTAAGTATTCTAACATCGACGGTCGAAGAATCTACCATTGAGCTATAGCCTTCCGTCGATAGGAATTGATTGGGTTTATCGGTTATGTCGGTTTCGGTCATTCCGGCATCCCTATCGGTAGATATGTTAATTTGTTCTGTCGTTTGGGTTAGTATATCGTTATATATTATCGTAGTAGTGAGCTGCGGTAACGTGTCTACAAGTGTTTGTACAAAAAGCGGGAACACAAATTAAAAAAAAAAAAAAGTTAGTTAGTGTTAAAAGATAACATGTTCACTTTATATAGTGAAAGCTTTTTTACATACAAAATACTGTTGCCTTAAAAAAAACAAAAAAATAATAATAATAATATTTGACTAGACGAAACAATTGACAAGGCTAACAGTATTTTTTTGTGAAACTACATAAACGTCTGTTTTCTCCATTACGGTTTAGAGGCGCTTGTGTAGTTCTCATTAAAAAAAAAAATTATCATATTATTTCATTCAGACTTGTGGAGTTTTCTCCGATATTAATAAAGCTCCAACACCAGATCATGCGTAACGCGTTTTTAGTATTATCATAACAAATTAAAATGTTTATGTGAGTGTGTGTGTATTTGTGGATGGAAGTATTTTAGTGTAAAATATTTTCACTAAAAATCGGTGTTTGGTCTATTTACATCGATACATCAATTGCATTCAACTTAATAAAATATCACTTTAAACAATATATTTTGTCCAACGCATTGTACTGTCGAGTTGGGCACAAATTGTAGTACAGCCAAATACTGTATTCGTATTGTTCTGGTGTACTAATTTGATGATATTTCAAAAATCGAATTCTCTTGTCACGAATGAGAACTGATCTACAGAACAGCACTAAATTAAATATCACTACAATGGTACTAACTAAACGACCTGTGATTGGTTTGTGTGTGTGTGTGTGAGATGACAAATATATATTATAATATATTTTTAAAGACTTATCCTAAAAGATTTAAAAGAATAACAATAATCCATGCAACCTTTAAGTGTGGTAACAATTTTTTTGTTTATTTGGGGCTTCCAAATAATAATGCTCTACAAAATAATTTCAAATAAGCAAACGGCTACAACGACTACATTACTACTTACACTACAATACTCAAACTAGGTGTATGCGTATAAACTTCAATACTCATGCGATATAGTCCTTTGTATATGTTCGTATTTCATTTGAGTAGTACACTAATAATTATATGATAATCCCCATGCTGCAGTCTGTGCTTTTGCGTCACATTTCCCCCAAAATTCCCACAAGTCTAACGGTCATCGGTATTCTCGAGACGTTTACAATGAACAACGGCGTGGACTTAATGTTTTACAAATTGTATACAAACAAACGTTTATTTCGAGACTTTTCGCTTTCGTTAAACTATAATGAGAGTAGAGATGTGCTGCTATTATACACGCATTGGCATAGCGTCATAATATTATTTACAAAAGAATTTATGAATTTATTTACATAAAACAGTATAATAATATATCGGTGAGGAAATACGAAAGATTTGTACAAAGATAAAAACACATAAGCAGATAAAAGTGAAAGTAAAGAAGCAAGTATCGCCATTGGTGTTTCGATGCTTGATTCTTCGTCGGGTGTCTTCGGGGGGAGAGGTGGTGGCAAGAAAGTTAGGAGGAGTGAGGAAATTTTACAAAAAATAATAAAACAGCAACACATCTATTGTCTTAAAAAATTCCCATGATATTTCAATAGACACATACCTTTAGCGCAGGCTCCGGTCACCGGATCGCACGGTACACCGGTCGGACAGTGTTCGCACCCCGGTATCGGCAACGGTTCTTGGCCTGTTAACCGTGAACGGGTTTTTTTTTAGTACAATTCACATATTTAATCGCAACAAACCTAGTCGTGTGTACTTACTCGCTAATATACAGTTGCATCCGTCGCACACTTGGCCGTTTTGACAGTGTGAGTTCTTCTGGCACTGGCAAACTGTTAAACGAACAATATTATTACTACAATAACTTGTCGCAGAAACTTTTGTCGTTTTATCGACAACTTAGGGAGTGTTTAGCATTTGTAACAGTTATGGTTTGTAGAGTGTCCGAGCGCGTTGAGCCATTTTCAGGCCTAATGAGATGAGAAAAAAAAATACTAAACGTTCGAAGAAACCCCAAATAAGGCGCGATTGCACCTGACCGATAAACAAAAATCAAGAACCAAGAAGTCACGTCGTGTTTATAAAGCGTTACACCCCGAGAGATAGTAAAAAAATTATTGTGAAATCACTGCGTGCCAACGTTCTACTAACCAAACACCGTGATCGCACTTTTTTGACTATATCCAGTGCATTAGTATTATTCCGACGACAGAGATATTAATGCGATTACGCGGTCATTATCGTTAAGGAAAAAATATTTGTAACACAAGTGCGACGGCCTTGAGTGCATTGTGGTACCGTGTAAAAGTAACAGTTATGTCATTCGGTTGGAAAGGCTAAGCCTTAGATATGACAATCTAGATCGTTCGATTACCCCGTTCAAGTTGAGTGTACAGCAACGCAAACAAGTCAAGATTGAAATTTTACCAAAAAATTAAGGGGGGGGGGTTGTACGTTTTAAACAATGGCTGAAGCTTCTTACTAAAAGTGAACGTTTTTGTAACACAAACAACAACATAGTTTTGCAAGGCCTCGAAAACTGATAAAAATTAACACGGGGAAGATGCTTATCGCAAGAAAACGCGTCGGCCATCTTCTTAAGGCCACACAACTATAATGTCAAAACCATACACTATTATTTTTAGTTATGTAGGTATAGGTATAACACATAATACTAAATAGGTCTTTACAAAATGGTCGTCACTTTTTTGTTTACATTGAAAGTGACCCTTGTGCTGTTATCTATTCTATGCTTATCACACAAAAACGCGGCGGCCATCTTTTCAAATTATTTATCAGTAGAGTATTATATTGAAATGATTTATTAGGATTTTAGCAGGTTTGCAGAACATGGCCGTCACGTTTTTTGTTTACATTGAAACCGTTCTTTCTGATTAAATTTATTCTGTGGTTCTGCCACCCGTAAAATGACGAGTGTTGTTATTCAAAGTAATAACCGTTGAAAGGTTTAATTTTTATCGATTTTTTTCTTATAGTTTTAACCAAACCTAACCAAACCTAACCAAACCTAACCAAACTAACCTAACCTAACCAAACCAAACCTAACCAACCTAACCAAACCTAACCAAACCTAACCTAACCTAACCAAACCAAACCTAATCTAACAGAGTTGTAACGTTAAATGAAAAACAAATTTTACTAGAGTGTGTTAATATTGCACTCGTCCCGTTGCATTATTGCGGTTCACCCTGATAAAAACCCATGTAACTTACGTTTTAAACAAACTGGCTGGTGATCTTGTACTTGACAATCCTGTTGCGAATTACACGGATTATCGTATTGACACGGATTTTGGCACTGATTCGCTATGCACGCTTGCTGCGACGGACATTCATAATGCGCGGAGCATCCTACCACTGTAATCGGCAATCATAATAAAAAATATATTAAAAAAAATAAAAAAATAGACACGCACGAAAAAAAAAAATTACTCGAACGATTTTATCGCAACGAACAATATTATTGTCAACAAGTAAAATATTATATCATATATATTATTATTAGATATATTTAAAAAGCTTTCGTTGGGTGTTGCGCCCATGAGTTTAAAAAAATACATTTTAAACTCATGTTCGCAAACCCTTTTGGCACTAAATTTTTTATCACCGACACCAAAAAAAAAAAACCAAGCAAAGTAATAACAACATAATATTATAGTTTTTAAAAAACACCAATCACCATTTCGTCGCGCCGATACTCTTGAACTCGACAGTATCACCGCATAATAATAGTAATAAAACAAAATATGCTTAAGTAATACCATGACATGACAATGTCAAACACATTTTTACCACATTCGACACTTTTTAACCGGTATCGTGATCGCGGCGGTAAAACAACTATAAGGACGATAAAACATAATAATAATAATGGTATTAAGAGAGTCAAGAAGCAACAGTGTACGCTAGAAGAATAGCCGCCTCTGCCGTTCGTTCCCGGCACAACACTGAGCGCAGGTGACATGCATAATATTCCTCCGGAGCGCTGAAAGAAAACACACAAAATGTATATATATAAAGGTATAGGTATGTATTAGATTATATTGCACTGACCAATCGTAATGGTAACGGTCTTTGGTGGAGATGTGGCGATAAACAAACAACAGCAGTGGAAAGAGTATAAAAACAAAAGGGAACGCGGTGGGAGAGACATCGATTAAAACCCCCCCCAGACCGTAGTAGGGGAATCCCCGGGAGACTTACACAAATGTAAATAGCCGGCGCGGATAAGACTACACCGCGGCGGCGGCGGTACACCTACTTTACTTTCACACAGCCTAAACCAACCGTGGCATGCTCATAATTGTATGCCATTCATTTCATTTCATTTCATTTTTTTTCCCGAATATGTTTATACTCATTTTACTTTACATGTTATTCCGCGGTGAAAGTCGCATACACGATTGCCGACAATCGGACCGGACAAACGTCGGCTGTACTTTTAAATGTATTTATTTTTTTCTCGAGAAGGACGTCCGAAAGCATTACGCAATCGCCCGTGAACGTAATATTAACAATAATTATTAATATTGTATTTCGTGCTTTTTTTAAAAAGCGGCTATTGGGTTTTTTTTTCTAGGTCGGTGTAAACGTCTCCGTCCGAATAAAAAAGTGTAAACCGTAAATTTGTCTCATGCATACAATTTGATGGCTATTAATGGACGCAACATAATATGAACAATATGACAGTCGACGAAGCGTAACATGCACGTTCATCGTCGACAATAGCGTTTATGATTGTAATGAAAATATTGTATCGATTCGTATGACCGAAACGCACCGGGGCCGCATCGCAAAAGCAACGCGACCCCAATGCGCTTCGCATGCGTCACAGAACGCAACCGGTGCACCGCGTGCGTCCCACATGCGCAGGCGGTGAAGCGCCACGAAAACGACATCGGTTCGTGGCAAAGCCAGGCAGCGACCACCGTACCCGACCCGAAGGGGATGGCGCGCAAAACGTCCGCGCGCAACAATCGCGTTGACAAAACGTTTTGCGCGCCACACGCGATACCGTCGTTGGCCTTTTCGCACAACGACCGGCCCGCGGTGGCGGCGCTAACGCACGCACGCATCAGCACATCATCCAAAACTTAGAAATCTATATTTTTTTTTTGTACATTTACCTTTCGGACAGCCCGACATTGAATCGGCGCCGTGGCCGGCCGGACATTGCTTGCACACGGCCTTATGTGCTTGTACCGTGCAGGTCGCGTTTGCCGGACACGTGAAATTTGCGCACGGGTCGACGCACGCAAAGTTAACGCAGCCCATGTGCTCCGGGCAGCCGGCGTCCCGGAGACACATGGACGCGGTGGGTGCGCAATTGTCGGCGCACACACACACGGGCCGCCGGTCGAGGACGAGACACTTCTTGTCGGCGGCGCAAGGCCCATTGTCCTCGCACGGGTTCCGGCACCGGCCGTGGGCCGTGCACCGCAAGTGCGGGCCGCAATCGTCGTCGGCGCGGCACTCCCGTTTGGCCGGCGCGCACGACAACTCGCCCATTTCGTTGACGGCGAAACCGTGCGCGCACACGCAACGGGCCCGGTGGTTGCGGGCCACGCACGTCTTGCCGGGCCCGTCGCACGCCACCCGCTCGCAGGGATCCCGGCACAGGCCGGACGCGCACGTCAGGGACGCCGGGCATTCCGCGTCCGACGAGCACGCCGCCGACGCGGTCGCCGCCGTGGTGGCCACGGCCATCGCGTCGTTTCCGGCCCGCACACAACCCCCCGGTTCCGGCAAACAGGCAACAGTAGGCTCGCCCCAGTGACATTCCGGGCACGAGCACTGGGCCCTGTGCAATACCGGCCGGCACAGCGCGTTCAAGCCGCAAGCGTCTCTCACGTTACACACGTCGACGCAACGTCCGTCGATGCACGTCTTTTCGTTTGTACACTGACCGTCGTCGGCGCATTCGACAGCTGGCGAAACGCGTCATAGAAAAAAATAACAGTATAATATAATGTCAGAACACAATAGTAGGTAAAGCATATGTACACGTGTATACGACGGACGTGTTGGCTGGACACGATTGCTATATTTGAAAAAAAAAACAAATTCACTTGAGAATTATAACTCTTAATTACTCCATAATTATTATTGTCAATTGAGAGCTCGCTTTATTTATTCGATGAAAAAAATTCGTGAGGTTTTCCAGTTGGAGCTGGAAATTTACAAGCCCATTAGTATTTGTTTAGGCTTTGTTAAATAAATCCAGTTAACGAGTGAATAAATAGAGTAATGAGTAAAGGAATCGAGTAAATAAGTAAATGAATATAGTTATAAGTAAACGAATCGGGTAAATAAATCGAATAAACTATTCAAGTAAAAATTATAGTAAATAAAGAAATCGAAAAAATTTGTATATAAATGGTGTAAACAAATAATTAAAAAAATTGAGAAAACTAAAGTAATTTAGCGTGACCCTAAAAATCTTAATCGTTTTCTCAAATGGCCGATAAAAAAATTATAGTAAGTAAAATATCGAGTCAACAAGTAAATAAATATGGTAAATGAGTAAACAAATCGTGTAAACAAGTAAATGTATATAGTTATAAGTAAATAAAGTAAGAAAACGAGTAAATAAATAGACTAATAAGTAAATAAATCGGGTAAATAAGTAAACAAATCGATTAAACTATTTAAGTAAAAGTTATACTAGTTATATATAAGTAGTAAGTTATACTTACTATAGTAAAGATATCGAGATAATTAGTACATAAGTCGTGTAAAAGAATAATGAATAACTGAGAAAACTAAAAAACATTAGCGTGACCCTAAAAATCTTAACCTTTTTCTCAAATGACTAAATCCTAACAACGTTATCATATTGATAAATCGAATAAACGAGTAAAATATCGAATCAAGAAGTAAATAAATATAGTAAATGAGTAAATCATCAGCATATAAACGTTAAAATACATAATTTAATGGATTAGTTGTCGAGCAGATAGAATCTTGGACAGTCTCCTAAGCGAACTGGACCCTGAGCTAGGGAAATTGGGTCTTAGCCAAAAAGAGGGGTGGAATGTCAATAGAACATATTAATCTTATGGCGGAAAAGAAAGCCCATTTACTCGTGTATCCAGCCAACATTTTTGTTATCGTATACGTTTCAAGGGAAAGAACTGTGAAAGAATATATTCTCACAACATGCCATATTTTAAGTACGCCCAAGCAGCAAACCGTTTCAACAAACCAAACGTGACTTTCAATTACAATATGTAATAATACGTTTTAAGCAAATCACACTTCGTGCACGATAAAAAGACGACAATAATTATATTGTTTAGGTTAAACGTGTGAGTATAGTACGCTTTCACAGTTCCCTCCAATCTGAACATCGATTATATATATATTTATAAACATAAGTATATGTGTTGATATAAATATATATATAGGTTGATAGATATATTTACACATCAATTTTAGAATAGGTACATTAACGCTAGAAAAAACATATTTTTTAATTTTTAGGAGAGATTTGGTGATTATATTTTTAGAGAAAAAAAAAAGACGTGTTTATAGGAATTTCGAGCGGTTTCGATGATTGAAATTGGAAATTTCCAGATTGAGGGAAACTGTTCATACTTTCACGGTTAACACAAGTATAGGTACAGCAAAACAGGTAAACAATTAAGAATTCAAAATCAACTACACAAACCAAAGGTGTTGGCGGCAAAATTTAAAACGCTACACGTATAAAATATGTAAATATTTACAAAAGCCGTATCTAAAAAGTTCATGCATTTTGATCTATCTACAAAATAGGTACAGTCGATCCGCGGCCGTGTATATAATATGTACACTATAAAACATATTATTTTCTTCTGAAAATTAACGCTAAAATTGACTTTTGCGTCGATCGATACACACTGATAGCAGTGTAGCCTAAATAACGTTTAAAAATTTTTTAAAAAAAAAAGATTAACTTTTCGAGCACTTACCTTTAGCGCACTCTTTCTGCGGGTTACCCGTCGTGCCCGGCGGACACTGACAGACATACTGTTTGGCTTTCAACAAACAACTAGCGCCTTTTCCACAGCCGTTGGTACGGCAATCGGATGGTAATTTTTTCGAATCGCCTGAAACACAATCAAAAATGGATCAATCGTCCTCTTCGTCGTCACTTCAAAGGTCAAAATCCAAAGAGGGTCCAAATAAACTCAATTCCAGGGGAGGGAGGATTTCCATGAAAACTGTGACTACCTGGTTGATATGAATTGACAAGGGAGTGTTGTGAGTGAAAGCCACAAGCCAGTATTACCTCACCCCCACGTTTTCACTGATAATAGACTGCTTCCCAGACAAAGTCAACGTCATGGTTGATTTCAGAGGGAACGCAGTGAGGTTAGGTTACTGGGTACTTCGTTGGTACCAATGCTGGGACAGGTCTAATTGATCGAATGGTATTTTGATCTTTAAAAATCGCCCTTTAACAGACAATGCTGTCATACCTACCCAGGGATATGAGGAAATGGCTATACATTGATTTGTTTTATCTTTGCGATTGAAGAATATCAATGAAATGGACAATTTTTTACGCAAAAAATGATGACAACGATTTGCGTTTAAGCTTGTATACTTACATTGTACGTAAGGGTTTCCCACGGGGAATTCCGTCGAGCAATAGCACTTGGCTTCTTGGTCGTTGACCGGCTGACAGAGTGCGTTTTTACCGCACACGACGTTCCTACAAGGGTCGGACCTCTGTTGGGCTGTGTCGCACACGCACCGTTTACTCGGATCGCCGGTACAGCCGGCAGGACATAGACACTCAAAGCCTCCGGGAATGTCTTTGCAACGGCTGTTCTGGCCGCACGGATTGGAAGCGCATTTATCAGCAGTTCCTTAAAAAACAGATAAGTTAAAAGATTATGCACAAGTTGTCACAATAATTTCGCACTAGCCAGTTTTTATTCTATGCACAAAACAAAAGTTACGTTTCAAAAAAACTTTCATTTTTAACGAGGCGTCACCGTTGACAATTACTCGTGTATTATATGTGCGGTATTCGCAATTTTTTTTTATAAACAAACAAAAACAGTCATTATGCTAATGAAGTACTTTTTGCGGGACTTTCACACGATATTTACCAGGTTTACATTCTAGCTGAGCGTTTCCGTAGTATCCAAGCGGGCAAGTACAATACGCCAATTTATTTAGCACTCTACACTGAGCGTTTGAACCGCAAGCTCCTGGTTCCAGACAAGGATTCCTGCACACTTGATCCGGTCCACATTTTTTGTTCGTTTCACAGTCTTCGTCTCTGGCGCATGAATATCTCGAGCATTCTATGTTGGGTTCGCCTTGGTATCCGTCGGGGCACATGCACACGGCTCTGTGGTCGATAACGCGACATTCAGAATTTTTCCCACAGTGCACATCCGGCGCATCGCATGGGTTTTTGCAGTTGCCGTTTTGGCAAGAACGTTCTGTCGTGCAATCCGCGTTCGATCGGCATCCGACGATACACAAACCGTTCGAGCATATGTGACCCTGAGTTGAAAACATAAATAAAAAATTCAGAATTTTAATACCAGAATTATTTGGCTATATAGTGGAGGGGAACGTCAGGTTTTTTGTGTGACAGAAGGATGTCTATGAAATTGAAAGGTAAATTTTAAAGGACGGTAGTGAGGCCAGCAATGTTATATGTGTCGGAATGTTGGGCAGTAGACAAGAAAACTGAACAGAGGATGAAATGGATGAGTGGAGTGACCAGGGAGCATAGAATAAGAAATGAACACATAAGGGGGCGTCTAGGAGTTGTATAAATTGTGGGGGAAATGAGAGAAAATAAGGAGAGGCAGTGAGAGTTGTGATGAAGATGAATTTAGAGGGAAAAAGAGGAAGGGGTGATCGAAGAAAAGATGGATAGGCGGAATAGAGAGTGATATGAGGATAGCTGGGGTAAGATCGAGCTCTATGGATGTGTAGGACTAGGTAAGGCGATGATGAAAAAGAAGAGTAGTAAAATTATTACCGATTGGCAATTGGCACTGGTGCTACATTTAGCCGTACACCTGTCCTTGTGACAAATTTCTCCACACGAGCAGTCTCTGTTGGCGGAACAACGTTTAATGCAGTATCCAGATTCTAGATCACAAGGGCAGGTCCCATCACATTTCAAAGAGGGCTTGGAACATCCGATCAATGGGTTTCCGTAGAAACCGTTCGAGCAACTACACTGGACTCCGTGGTTGATGACTTGACACTCGGCACAAGGGCCACACGTTGTTGAATTGTCGCAAGGAGCTGGGAAACGCATCGGGGATATTTATAAATAATCGTATCAAATATTTTATCTATACAAATATTTAAACGTTTATATATACCTCTACATTGTCTGTCTATACAAGCTTGGTTGTCGGGACAAGACGTGTCACTGCGACATCCTCCAATGCACAGACGGTTTTCGCATATCTGATTTGGACTGCATTTAGTGTCTGAATTGCACACAGCTTTGCAAATTCCGTTGTGGCATCGTTCGTCGGATAAACACTCCGAATCTCTGAAATTATCATTGATTGCAATACCGTTACTAAACGAATACAATACAACCAATGGAAATCTATAGACAGTGTACAATACGTACGTGTGACACACTGCTTGGCATGTAGAAGAATAACAAGCTTGCCCGGAGCTACAGTCACCGTTTCCTTTACAACTAATTAACGGATATCTGCAAGCAACCTGAGGGTCGCCTTCCAGTAATAACGGGCAGCTACATTGTTTTTGATGGTTTGCCACCGAACACAACGCGTTCACTCCACAGGCAGTAAGTGACTCGCATATATCTGACCAATGACAATTTAATCGTTATTAACTAAAATATTGAATTTAATTCGACTAAAAATTATTTACCTTTGCATTTGTTATTAATGCAAGATTTATCCGCCGGGCAGTCGGTGTCGCTTCTACAGCCAACGTTGCACGCTAACCCGTTGCAGATTTCTCCACTTCTACAATCGTCATCTTTTCGACACAGCGGTTTACATATAGATACCGAAATATCGCATTTTTCATTGCCGTGACAGTTGGCATCCGAAGAGCAGACCGGCTGACAGGAATCGTCTTTGCACGCATAACCTGGTGGACATTCGCGGTTTTGGTTGCAAGGTTCCGCCGGTGTCCTGATACAAGCTATTTTCGCCGTCGGGTTAGGAACAAATCCGGTTCGACAAGAGCACATGGCTCTTTGGTTAGCCACGGTACAAATGGCATTGGGTCCACAAGGCATGGCCAAACACGGATTTGTGCACACGTTGTCTCTGCACGACTCCACTGATGCGCAATCATCGTTGGACTTGCATCCGAACAGACACATGTTGTTCAGACAAATATGGCCCAAAAAACAGTCATTGTCCACTCGACATGTTACTAAAGAAAACGAAAGTGTTATTAAGGCTTAGTGGAATGATTAGGTATATAATTATTTTTGGTTTACAAACTTACAAGCACAATGATTTTTAAAACATTTTTCGTTCAGAGCGCAATGACTGTCTGCTTGGCAATCGGGTTGACATACAGATTGATGACATGTACTGTTCGGGTAGCAGTTTTCGTTGGTTTCGCATGCGACAGGAACTGTAAATAACAGGCAAATAGTATCTCGCATAGTTTTAACGATAGTGCATTTCAATAACATACTTCGGACACATTCTATTTCACTGCTGCCGGTAAATCCCGCAGGACACGAACAATGTTTGACATGGTTATGAACTTTACAGAAAGAGTTTAATCCACACGCTCCTTCCCGTTCACAAGGATTGTTACACTGTCCTTGCAAACATTGTTCGGAGAGACCGCACTCGGCATCGGATTGACAAGACGCTATAACGAAATTATTAAAAATATAAGTAAAAAAAAAAAAATCAACAGGTTTATTTTCAAAACTTACATTTACAAGCACCGTTGTAGCAATACGTATTGCTAGGGCATTGTTGATTTGACGTACAAGCCACTGCTCGCGGTCTACATCCAACGCTCAAGTCATTGGGGTCGCCTTGATAACCCGGATGGCAAACACAAGACCCGTAATGTGTGGACGTTCCACATTCAGCGTTAGGGCCGCATTTTACTTTTTCGCAATTGTCTTGACATTTTGGAATGCCGTTGGTTTGAACGCAATGCGCGGCCGGAGGACAGTCCTCGTCTATCTGGCATTCCACCGGTGAACGGCAACCGTCTTTATACGGATCTCCGACCGTTCCCAGGGGACATAAGCATTTGAAAGAACCTCTGGAATTGTCACATCTCGCCCCTGGCCCACAAGGCGACGCTTCGCATAGGTCTAACACGTCGCAACCAAAGTACGGATCTCCAGTAAAGCCCGGTTGACAGTAGCATACCTAAACAAACGTTAGACGATTTACACATAAGACATTGTTCCTCCGTCATACTACAGGGTGTATCAAAAAGAATGGTGGGGTTTCAAATGGCTGTAGGTTGTGAAGTATTGGACTTCCAGCACTCTGGTAGGATTTAAATGAAAGAAGGAGTTGTCAAATTTCCAATGACTGGCACTAGATGTTTTATAGTCACGATTGAATTACGTTTCACAAACTCGATCACTTCTCTTGTGGGGACGTCATCTTAACAAACGGAACAATGAAGGCTGGCGACACAAACAGGATCGTCTAGTGGCAGTCATTCAAAACTTGACAACTCCCTCTTTCATTCAAGCCCTATCAAAGCGCTGTAGGTTTAACACTCCACAACCTACATTCGTTTAAAACCCCACCATTATTGAATTATTATTATTCATACCTGTTTGTGGTTTTCGGCCGAGCATAAGGCATTTGGTCCACAGGGATTGTTGGCTAGACACGATATCTTACACATGTGATCCTCGCATATCTTATCGGTCGTACAATCTGTGTTTTCGTAGCATTCGATCTTGTGGCACCCGACAGTTGGATTACCGTGGAAACCGGGTTGACAGTTACAAACGGGTCGATGGTCGACTGCCGTGCATTCAGCGTGTCTTCCACAAATCACTTCTTCGCAAACGTTAATGCACTGTGTCTGTAAATCGACAGCGCGTTCAGCCAATAAGTTATTGATTGACCAATAACAGTGCTATAAGTCTGTCTACTAACCTGGCCAATTGTATTGGTTCTACACATATTAGTACCGTCGCAGTCGTCGTTCGACAAACACCTAAGTTCTTGAGCGCAAATGTTGTTTTGACAGTATTGAAATTCGGGACAACTGCCATTGCCCTGACAAGTCGGTTGGCATATCCCACCGATACAAAGCTCGTTGCCGACACAATCTCGGGCCAAATTACATTCAACTGTAAACAAAACCGATTTTATGTAAAAAAAAACATAAGTCCGTTTAAGGTCGTTACATTAATTGCTAATCCTTACGTGTGCATATGCCGTTGTTACACTTGGTAGTCGTTGGACATTGACCGTTTGACGCACAGTACAATATCGGTGTACACCCTAAGTGTGGATCGCCAGTATAACCAGCTTTACAGCTGCAACTTGCTGCGTCGTTTTGTGTACTGCACTCGGCATTGTCACCGCAAACTTTTGAAACCGAACAGGGGTTCACACATTTTGAACTCACACAGGCTTTGCCTATTGCGCAGTCGTTATTGTTGATACATTCAACGTTTGTACATTCGACCTAAAATCAATTCAAATATGAATTATTTAAAATTTTTTTATTATATATCGTATATGAATACAAACCTTTGGGTCTCCGTGACTTTTTGAGGGACATTGACATTGGATTTCATGATTTTTGACCGAACATACTGCATTACGGCCACACATTTTACTGTCTTCGCAAGGATTTGTACAATTATTCAGATTGCAAACCGCACTTTCCGGACAATCTCTGTTTTCGGTACAACTATTCGGGCTATGGCAACCTTCGGCATGAGGATTGCCCAACAAGCCGTCTGGGCAAATGCACGTAAACGAGCCAGGAGTATTTCGACACATTGCAGTTTTGTGACATGGACTCTGTTTGCATTCATCGACATCTTGGCATTTTCCGTCTTTTATCGAATAACCATTGTAGCAAGTACACATTCCTTTATGTTGATGAGCTTTGCAACTTCCGTGGCCACAATTAATTGAATCGCACGGACCTAAAATTAAAGTAAAAAAAAAATTTGAATATTATTTTAGTGTTGACTATTTTAAATTCAAAACGTAGTTCTGTTAAAAAATAACTTACTTGTGCACTTATAATTGTTAGCCTGGCAGAGCTTATCACTAGGGCAATCCTCGTTAGAAAGACATTCTACTTTGAAGCATCCAACATTTTTATCGAATGCATCACCTAAATATCCGGACGGACAAGTGCACGCCGGGACATGATCGATCATTTGACATAATGCATTATTTCCACATGCGTCTTTACACAAATCAGTACACTTGCTCCTGACGCACGCTAAACTCGTAGCGCAGTCATTATGCTTTTTGCATTCATTTGGTCTATTACAACCCGGTTCAGTGTAAGGATCTCCTACTTTGCCATCAGAGCAAGTACATTGGAAAGATCCTGGTGTATTCAGACATTTTGCACTCGGATGACACGGATTTTGAATACATTCATCAACATCTTTACAGCCAGTCGGTGAGCTCTCATAGCCACTACCGCATCTAATATTAAAACCAATATTATTAACTGTTGTGGTTTACAAGCAAAAGCAAATAATAACATTCGATCAATAAATTACCTGCACTTGTTACCAATACATATCTGACTGGAATCACAATCAGAATCAGAAATACATCCCAATCTGCATAATCCTTCAACGCAGACTTCTCCAGTTAAACAATTGCTGGCCGTAAAACAGACTTTTTCGCATTTATTATTCGAACATCTTTCTCCTTCTGCGCAATCTAACCCGCTCATGCATACGACTTTACATATATTTCCATCGCAATCTTGCCCTAACCCGCATTGTGCATTATTATGACAAATAGTGGTTGATCTTATACAAGATTCTTCGGGGACCGGATTCGGCTGGAATCCTTTGTGGCAAATGCACATGACGTTATGATCTACAGTGGTGCATTTTGAATTTAGCCCGCACACACCGTCACGTTTACAAGGATCTACATTGGAAAAAAGAAAAAATGTCAAACGGCCGAATAAAATTTCAAATCATTAAAATAAAATTACTTTGGCATTTCGCATGGATACATGACTCGTTGCCAGAGCAATCTTTATTGCTACGACATCCAATCGTGCATACACTATTTACACATGCTTGAGATGGCATACATTGAGAATGTCCCGCGCATGGAATTTCACACTTGTTTTGTACACACCTCTCCCCAGCTGAACAATCATCAACATTTCGACAAACGACTAAAAACATACGATTAAGTTATGATACTTCATAGAAACTATGTTATACAATGTTTTAGTTTTACCTTTGCATTCTCCATTAGAGCATACGCCACCTTGGCATTCCAAATCGTTGAAACATTTAATAACCGATCTAACACATCCAATTGTGGGTTCCCCGTGAATTGGTTCGAAGTTCTCGGGGCATGAGCACACGGGTTTTCTGTCGATAATGTTACAAATGGTATTTATTCCACATGACTTTTCACAAGGGTTAACGCATCGACCAAAATTGCATACGCTCAACAACGGACAATCAATATTTCCATTAGGACATAATCCTTCTTTTCTACATCCTTCCGCGTAGGCATCGCCGATATAACCAGGTGGACATTTACACAAATAACCTGATGACGGATTGGATTCACAAATAGCAGTCGGGTGGCATGATGTTTCGTCGCATACTTCAATGGCTTTACAAGATATCTCGGCCAATGGATTTGGGTTAAAGCCAGGCGGGCATTGGCACATTGATTTGTGCCCGTCGGCGAGACATACAGCATTAGCTCCACAAGTGTCCTTATTGCATACGTCCATACAAGTATGCGATTGTCTGTCACAAAGTTTTGTCTGAGGACAGTCATCGTTGTAAACACATGACACTTCTTTACACCCATTTGCGTCATAAGGATCACCGGTGAATGTACCAGGAGGACACTGGCATTGTGCTACATGATTATTAGCAACACATATAGCATGTAGACCACACACTGTATGGTCGCAAACTGGTTTACAAGATTTTAATTTACTTATCGGGTCTGCTAAACAAGTTTCGGTGGGCAAACATTCGCCATCTTGTTGGCAACTGCTTCGTTTTAATGATTGACAACCATTTCTATCATTTGGATTTCCTGTAAATCCAGGCATACAGTGACAATTGCCTTCGTGGTTAACAGCTACACATATCGAGTTGAATGGGCAAGTTATTTCTGAGCAAACTGCAAAACATTTTAATACTCCCAATGCATCTGGTTTGCACGATTCATTGTCTTTACAGTCTACGTCCTCAGAACAATCTGGTAACGATGGCTTTTCACATTTTGATATTATCGGGTTCCATACGAATTCTTGGCGACAAGAACACACAGGAAATCCATTATCTTTCAATAAACAAATTTCTTCTGATCCGCATGCTACTTGACTACATGCACTGACACAAGAAGAAGTTCCTTCTAGTGTAGTGGAACACACATAACCAGGTTTGGCACAATCTTTATCTACAGTGCATTCTCCTTTAACTGCAACTCTTTCCAATTTACAGCCCAAATATAAGTCCCCGGGATTTCCAAAATAGCCTTCACTGCAGATGCACGAGGATCGGTGACCCTTTGTTACACAAACTGCGTTGGGTCCGCATTGTAGCTTGCTACATCCATCAACACACTTTCTAGATTCTTTGTTTAATTGGATACATATTTCATTATCCCGACATTCAGCATCGTTTGTACATTGACCTTGTGCTTCACAGCCAGTTTTTATATCGTATGGATCACCATTTACTCCAGGAGGGCATACGCATTTGCCATTGACACATCCGGCTCTCAAGCCACATTGGATATTCTCACATTGATTTTTGCATTTACCATTTTTGCAGGAATAACTATAAAATAAAAATGAAATACAAAATATTGACCGTGTGACTAATATTAATAAGACGATTTTTTTTACCCAGAAGGACACGGTGTGTTTTTCGAACATTGGCAAGTCGAAGGATCTTGACAAACTTGGGAAATTTTAGGAGAGCATTCCAAAAACGGATTTCCGACATAGCCATCAACACAACGACAATCGTAACTTCCAACAGTGTTTATGCATATGGCATTGTTTCCACATGCAGAAATTAAGCATTCATCAACATCTGAAATTAAAAAAAGGCGTAAAGAACTTTTCAAACTCAAAAACGAATATCAAATTTTGCATTAATTATTATTTTTTTTTTATAAAAAACATAATGTATTAGTACTTACCTATACATTGAACATATGGGTTTCCTCTAAACCCTGGCGGACAAGAACAATCTAGAGAATTAAATTTGTCTTTGCACACTGCGCCTGTACCACATGCTATGTTGGTACAAGACTTTCGAGACTGGGAATCACATTCTTCATAAGGATTGCCTATACTTCCAGGGTTGCAAACACATTTGTTTTCACCGAAAATATCATATTCACAATGTGCGTTGATGCCACACCCGGGGAAACACGAAGGCATAGTTATTGCTGGAATCAAAACATATTTAATTAATCCTTATTATTCATATACTAATAGAGTTATAAAATTTGTTGTTTTTGTACTTACGAGGCATACAAAGATAGTCTGGGTCTCCAATAAAAAGTGCATTACAAGCGCACTTGTTTGTTTGAGGATTGCAGCTGGCTCCGATACCACAAAAATGTTCTTGGCACTTTTCTTTACAGCGGCCAGCAACACAAACGTTCGGTGGAGCGCAAGGGTTGGAACTTGAACAGATGTCGGGTTTACAAGATCCACCCGCAAACGGATTTCCTATAGAGCCTTCCATACATTTGCAAGTCGGACCTTGTGATGTTAATATACACTGTGCGCCCTGTCCGCAAATAAATCCTTCGCATGCTGTAAGAAGTAACCTTGTTTCAATATTGTTTTGGATTGTACAAATGAAATTTCACTAATTTGTTTACTTACGTGATACACAACTACCGGTAATGGATTCTACGTAGCCGGCACTACATCTACACCAAGCAGCATGATTTTCCGCCTCACAATATGAATTTTTGTTACAAGATAAGGCCGTACACGGATCAGTGCAAGCACCATTGATACAAGTCAGTCGATTATCACAGTCGTTATTTGTCACACATTCACTTTCTGAAGCTTCTTTTCCTAGGCCTGAAAGACAAGTTTGGGTTTAATAATATTATAAGTGCAATAATATTATTTTGTGTTCTAGTTGAATGCTAGAGTACTCACAGCCTTGATTGTAGGGATCACCATTAGTTCCTAATGGGCAAATGCATTTGTAGCGTCCTTTTTCGTTGATGCATTGCGATCCTAAAGCACAAGGATTGTCTTTGCATTCATCGACATCCTCACAGCCGAGTAAAGGATCTCCCTTGAAACCGGGTTGACATAAACATTTTGGAGGATCGCTAGGCGTGCATTGAGCGTTGACACCGCATGGAAATCGATCACAAGGACCTAATTGATATATTGTGACATTAGGAAACATGATAAAATGTAAATAAAGTAGTGTTTCTTTATTACTTTTGCACAAATTGTTGTCGAGCACATCAGTATAAAATGGTATCGGACAAACACAAATTCCTGGTTGAATACAATTTTCATTGGTTAAGCAGTCAGAATCTTTTATACATTTCTTTTGGCTACGCGAGCAACCACGGTACGCATCTCCTGTATACCCTTGAGGACATGAACATTCGTAGGAGCCTCGTGTGTTAATACACTCAGAACCATAACCGCAAGTATGTATTTTTTCTTCACACTCGTCGACATCTAATGAAATTATTTTTTTTTTATTAAATCTTTACTATTTAAGTACGTTTAACAATTAAACGCTTACCATAACAGGATCCGTCTTCCCTGGGCCGATAACCTTTCGGACAAGCACAATAACTAACACCTCCCGCAATTGAAACGCATTCAGCGCCCGTTGGACATTTGCCTTTGTCGCAACCAGCTAAAGTGCACTCTCCATTTACAATTTGATACGGTGGTCTGCATTGGCATTCTAATGAAGTACATTCTAAGAAAAAAAACAAATTTTATTGCATGGAGATAGCCGAAATAAATATATATATTTTTTTTAATAGTTACCTTCACAGTTAGAAAAGGGATTCCCGTTAAATCCAGGTGGACACTGGCATTCATAACTGCCGGGAAGATTCTTACAAACCGCATTTATTCCACACGCTGGTTTGTCTCTTAGTTCGGTGCATTCGTTGGCATCTCTGCATTTGCCCGTTTTCTGATCTCGTATGTAACCTCTTTGGCAAATACAGACACTTTCTCCCAAAAATTCATCCTTTACACAAATTTCTGATCCGGGACAAGGCGATTTCGCACTGCATTGCGATGATTTTTTAGTTTGACTACAACCTTCTCTGTACGGATCTCCGTTAGTTCCACCGGGACATTGACACGAAAAAGATCCCGGTTCGTTATTACACACTGCTCCTGTCCCACAAGGGTTGCCTTTACACTCGTCTATATCGAAACATCCGGAGTTTGAATTTCCAGTGTATCCGGCTGAACATACACACTGAGCGTTCTCTTTGAGTAACATGCACTCTGCATTGGGGCCGCACAACATGTCTTCGCAAGGGTCTAAAATGAAAACATTATTTAAATTTGAAAAAAATGTTTGTATGATTTGCAGAGAAAACTTACGTCTACATTCGTCACCAACGTTTGGCGCTGGACAATAACAACGACTTTTACCGTTGCAAACCGAATTTCCCGGGCAATCGTTATCGATGGTACAGTTAATGGATTTAACACATTTGGTAAATGGATCCGGGTCTGGCACATAACCGCCAGGACATTGGCAACTGAACGAACCCGGTTTGTTGATACATAGAGCGTTTATGCCGCAACTCTTTTCGTCCGAGCATTCATTTATGTCTAAAAATTCAGTACAGTAATCGTTTGTAAGTGTTATTGACAATAAAGGCATAAACCGATCGGTTATTTGAATAATTACCGTGGCATTTCTTAAAGGCGTTACCGGTAAAACCGGGTTTACATTGGCAGCCAAAACCACCGGGTGTGTTTGTGCAAAGAGTATTAGCGCCGCATCGTCCAAACGGTTCATTTGTATTATCGCATTCATCGATGTCTGTGATTTAAAACAAATGATTGTATTGTATTGAACAATAATGACAGTAAGTATATAAACAACGGAAACCTACCAACACATCCCAAGGATAAGTCATTCGGGTTGTAAGTCCATCCGTCTTCGCATATACAATACGCTTCTTGGCCGGTTGGCTTACAAAAAGCGTGCGCACCGCATTTAACGTCTTCGCAAGGAGCTAAAATTTTAATCCGAAAACACAAAAATAAATTATTCGCATTATGTACAATCGTTGGTACTTTTTGGATAGCATACCTTTGCATTGAATTCTCGGCGGAGCTCCCACATAACCCGACTGACATTGACAGTGAAAACCTCCAGGAACGTTCAGGCACATCGAGTAAGGCCCGCATGGTTGGGCGAGACATTCGTCTACATCGACACACACCGATCCTTTGGCTTCGAATCCGTTTTTACAAAAGCACTGGCCTTCGATACACTCGGCGTTGGTGGTGCAATCGAAGTTGGACTTGCACAAAATCGTTACATCGACCTACGAAAAAACGTATATAATACCGTGTTAAATATAGTTTTCATCGAATAGGATAGTGTTTACCTGTTCACAGGCCACTTTTGGGTCGGGTTTTCCAGAAAATCCTTGAGGGCAAAGACAGTTGAATCCAGGACTAGTATTTTCACAAACCGCGTGAAGACCACACGGTTTGTTGAGTATTTCACATTCGTCGATGTCTAATGTAAAAAAAATTACATGGTTGGCAGTATTACTTTAAAAGAACTAAAGAAAATAGTAATAGCGAAAAATTACCGTGACATCCTTTAATGGGATCGCCCGTGTAGTCTTCTTTGCAAGAACACACATAGCTGCCAATGGTATCGGTGCAAACGCTGTTGTTGCCGCACGGGCTATACTCGCATTCGTTTATATCTACCGCAAAATGGATAAATTAGCGTTGGAATAAACCAAACGGTGTGTAAAGAAGGAAAAACGCAATAGATGTACACAACAAACTACAAAGTGAGTGAAGAAAAACGTCCAAAACGATAATGATAATTCGGTACATACCAAAAGTTTGATGCAATGGCGTCACACACAACAGATCAAGAAAGAATTGGTTTACCTTTATCGAAACACAAACGTGTCGTGTACATGCTCCGCTAAGTACTGGTGTAAAAATGCTAAAATATATCGAGGCAAAATAATAATAGAAAAAAATTAAATCGACCTTCCCTGCTCAAAGGAAAGACATTGGATCATGAATATGTCTGACACAATACCTCTCTCCCGTCTCTGCTCCCCTCGCTGCGGTATACCTCAGCCAGAAGACATATTCATGACAATAAAAAAATTTAAAAAACGGTTTGCTGAAAACAAAATAAACGCAAGATTTTTACAGTTCGATACAATAAAAACGATTGTAAAAGACAAGAGTATTGGCCCGACAAAGGTTAATAAAAAGCAACACGGAAATACGGCACAAGCGTTGGCAGCTGAGTGTTAAGTGCGTTATGAGGGTGAATACTTGTAAGCGTGTAAGACACTAACTTTGACAATACTCATTGGCAGAACCGGTAAACCCTGGGGGGCACAAGCAAGTGTACGACCCCGGGGTGTTTATACATTTGGCGTTGACCCCGCACGGGTTGGTCTGGCCGCACTCGTTGACGTCGGCGCAACCTTCCTGTGGATTTCCAAAATATCCTGCGTTGCATTCGCACGTGAAGTTGCCCATAACGTTCAAGCACTTTGCATTCGGTCCGCAAGGCGAGGATTCGCATTCGTCTAAGTCTGTGTTTGTGTCAAAATGTTAAGTCCAAGCGGGATTTGGCCAAATGGCAACAACAATATTATGTACATACAAGTTTTTTTTATTTAACGGTGTAAACATTTGCTGATAAATTTTAAAAAAATCTTCAATAAAAATACATAGTATAATATGCGTGAAATAAAAAAACACAGTTTTCACATTGGTATACGGACGTGGCAATATTACAAATGAGAATTATATATAAAAAAAAAAAAAAAAAATTAAACCGTATACTTCTGTTGAAAACTTGATTGACTAATGACAGTTAAAAATGAAATGTGTCTTGTGTCCGACACGCGGTTTCGATTAGACGATCAGCAAATGTTACGTTTTTTTTGTTTCTTATTAAACATGTTAATGAACCGCCGACAAGATTTTCTACGGGTTGTTTTTTTGTTATGTTATATTATTATTTGTATTGTTATTGTACAGCAACCCTGTCAGGCCGTGTGCGATCGTCTCGTACCTTTGCATGAGTGTAAGGGGTCGCCGACGAACCCTGGTGGGCACGAGCACCGGAAACTGCCCTCGCTGTTGTGACATTGGGCGTCTTTGCCGCAAGGCGATCTAGCGCACTCGTCCACGTCGTAACATCCAGGACCGTAAGCGTCGCCAGAATACCCCTCGGGACATTCGCAATGATGACCTCCCGGGAAGTTCGTGCACAGAGAACCGGGCCCGCATGCGTTCGGCAAGCTGCACTCGTTAACGTCCACGCACTGTGAATATTTGTACAAAAAAAAAAACAAAATTAAAAATTAACAAAATTCCAAACCTAACCAAACCTAACCAAACCTAACCAAACCTCACCAAACCTAACCTAATAACCTAACCTAATCTAACCTAACCTTACCTTAATTGTGTGTTACTCAATTGCAAATGTAATTATTCAAAACTGGTTGTCGACCAGTCAAATTTTCCAACAATTTACTATTTCAATATCTTAAGTTCGTAGGGGTTTAACAACACATATGGGATGGTATTGTTTAAAAATATATATCAAATTTGTTCCAACCAATAACTAAGAAAGAATGAAAAAAGTCTCATTCACTGAGCCGTAGTTAGGTAATATATTTATTGATATATTTTATGAATGATATTAATGTGTTTGGAGTTTATCCAAAAACAATTATATATTTTACGATACCATCTACCCCGCATTGTAAACTTAATGGTATTTCTTATTAACAACTAGTTCGGATTAGTTTTTATGTAAATTTTTTTTTACATAGCATCGGTTTTCTGGATTTTCACACAAATTACATTTTTATTATTCTTATTACGAAATTCGGTCGGTAGAATATTTAACGAAGCCGCAACATTAAATTCGATTGAAAACCGTTAACGGAGTAGTGCTAATAAACGCTAATTACTAACCTCGAGGCTATAAGCGTGATGGAAATTAATAATTATTATTTTTCTAAATAAAAAACGGTATTAAATCACTTTGAGAGTTCGTTAAACTGTTAGTGAAGTAATTAACGGCGAATAGTATAAGATGATGCACTTATTTTCCATTTGTATCCCTAATAGGTATAGACGAGTGTGCGCTGTATTTGTAATGATTTTTTAATTTTGTATAAACGTCCCTCGACTGCTAATGCAAGAGCATTCATAATATAGGTATAATAGTGATAATAAAATGGCGTTAAAAATATTGATTCAGTAGCGGCATTGAAGCAATCATACTAATTGTAATTACGGCCACTGAGTATTAACCTTTAGCCACATATACACGGTAATCGCATATATTAATAATAATTACAAAACCATTAATGTATACAGAGTGATTCATTATGGACGGAGACGCTAGATTTTTATTAAAATAATTATTGCAGTTTTGTAGTTTTTCTTTAGGAGACTCTTTAGTTTATGTTGTTTCACAATAAGAATCCAGAGCTCTATCAACCTTTAAAATTTAAATGGTAACCTATAATATAAACATATACATTTAATTAACTTTTTAAATTAAGTATAATTTGTTGAAATTTTTTACTCGTCGATGACCAGTTTTGGGTAATTACTTTAAATTTTAGTAACCTTAAAAGTAATTATCCAAAACTGGTTGTCGACCAGTCAACATTTTCAACAAATTATTTCCAGTCTAAAATGTTAAGGTTAGGTTAGGTTGGATTAAGGTTAGATGCCATTTCAAAAGACGACAGAGGTCTGGAAAACACTAATAAAGGTAATTGTTTTATATGTTTTGTAAAATAACATAAACCAAAATGCTTTCTAAACGAAACACTACACAATTATTGCAATAACTATTTTATGAGATATTGAGCGTCTTGTCCTTCGTTAATCGCCCTGTGCATATTATTTTTTCACCGCTACTCCATTGGTTTGTGGCCGAGTGTAAAATTAATTAAATACATAATTTATGATTTAAAAAATGTAAAAAAAAAAAACCATAATCCGTTACAGCCCAGCACTTATTGCGGTAGCTGTCCGTCTCGCCCGCTGAATTTGCGGGCCGCGCCTAATGGTTAGGTCGAACACTATCGGCTACTAATTATTATTGACATCTCGGGTCGAATCGAAGTCATCTAATATAATTACCCCGTCGTAAGGGTTTCCCACGAATCCTTGCTGACAGTCGCAAGTATAGTTTCCGGGCGTGTTCCTGCATATGGCGTTGTTACCGCAAGCGTCCGGTCTCGAGCATTCGTCAATGTCTGCAAATTAAATTTAAAAAAAACAGTTACCATAAGATATATTATGCGCAAGATTGTGCCAGCCCAACACACAATTTGTGTGCGTGTATAAGATGTATAATATTATAGGAATTATGGATCAGTAATCTCGTAAGACAATGGTCTTAACGCGTGGGCCCGATAAGATTAGTCAAGGTTTTTTTAGCGATCCGCCTGACCGTAAACGTCGCCTCTGTTTCGCAACGCTCCTCGTCCCACGCGGATTAATGATATATATTAATAACTGTATGTGAATTTTGCGTTTAAGACTTAAAAATTAGAGTATTGCGTTTTCGGTCAACCAATATATTTCAACATTATGGCACCGGAAACGGTTAGGAAAAGCCCGTTGAATTGGAGTTTCCGGGAAACTGTGGCGCGCAAGGAGATCCGAGGAGAAGCGATCACGTATACAAAACCATAGCCGACCGGTCGTTGATTTCCAAACGGATTGATGGGAAACGACCAGCCAGCAACACAACAAGGTCGACGACTGTTTCACAATTTTTCGGTTGTCAGTCCCGTCGGAGACAATAGCCGGCGACGGACGACGAATGTCGCGTTCTTATTGTCGGTATATTATGCGTGTGTATAAATGATTCACATGCAAAATCCGCCATTAGGTTCTTGCACTCACCTCTGCACTCGACTTCGCCGTCTCCCGTGTAACCGGGCTTGCACTTGCACAAGAAATGCGACGGCAGGTTACAGCATTCGGCGTTCTCCACACACCTGGACGCTATGACCGGGTCCTCGCATTCGTTGATATCTGCAAAACAAACGGGTTAAACTTCGGTTAGGGTTGGTTCAAATACAAAAGCGAATTTCCAATCCCGTTTCCCTTGGCTCTACAGGAAAGCCAAAACTGAGGCTAGAGTTGAAGCTGGAGCTTCGGAGGTGGAGATGGAGTTGGACGAGTTGTACGAGTATCCTTATACGATATAAAAGGATGTATAAGGGTACATAAGGATTTAAGGATATAAAGATGTATGGATATAAGTATGTTTAAGAATATATAAGGATACATTTTCGTTAGGTTTTTTGGTAACGCTGTCGATTTTGTTGCCAAAGTAAAGTCATAAAATGTCAAAAATCGGTGTCGATTACCATTCGCCAATGGTAAATCTTGATTTGGCCAAAAAAAAACGAGATGTTGATGGTGTTGTTTGTCGTTTTCGACACAAACAAAAATCAAAAAACAAAAACCCATGCGTTTTCGCCCCACGGGATTTGGGCCAAGGGCAGCGCTGAGAAAAATATGACACCAAGGCGTCAGCGCCCTACATCACGTAACACATCTTTCCCATAATACCGTATTGAATAACATGGCACGTACTTAATCTAAATGGCCATTATCGGTCAGTGTTAACTGCCGTCATTGTTGCACTGGCTGTTATTATACGCGACAACGCCGTCAATAAGTGAATATACACACTCGGCTCGTTTGTTTTGTATACATTGCCGTTAAGGTCATTGGCGGCGAAAATATAGGGGGGCTTGGAGGGACTTGGCAAATCCTCTCCGAGGTTTTCGACGGAGTCAGACAGTTTAGGCGGTTTAGAATATAGGTTTGGTTGTATTCCATCGTTAAAAACACCAACAGCGACGAATATTGTAATCGAATACGAACACGGCCATGGCTAAATTAGAATATATATTTCTTTTAATGCCGAGCAGTTGTTGTAATGAAATAGTATAATAAAAATCCAAAACAAGACCTGTCGACGATAACACGATCGCCGGACCGCCGTCTTGCTGGTAATATGGGTAATGAGCCGGTTTTGCCATTCTCAAAAAACCTAACGGTACGTTATATAAAATAACGCTATGGGTGAAGACGGCGGCCCGAGGAATGGACAAACAACCTGAGCAAGGTCGATGCCATTTACACTGCGCGTTCCGCCAAGAACCTCTGGCCGGATTAATTATACACAGCACCACCGGCCAGTACACCACGCGCAACTCTGTATGATATCATTAAGTGCAATATGGTATTTTATTTCTATATCTTCAGCTAGTGAACCACCTACCTTGACAGTGAAATCCGTCGCCGACATATCCTGGGAAACAAGTACAGGCGAAGCTTCCAAGACTGTTGGTGCAGTGAGCGAACACGTCGCACGGCCGATACTTGCATTCGTTTTCGTCTGTAATAGATAAGATATAAAGAGATAAACTAACACAATAACGGAGTACCTAAACACAGCGACTAAAACCAGTATGGCCGCACAAAAGGTATAAAGTTGAGCGGTTGGTAGGTACTCTATTTTTTAACTGGACTGACTGGCTTTAGTCACCCCCCCGAATGCTGAACGACATAACAACAGGCGCACACATAATACACATATGTGTACACAATAGCGTCGATTTCGTTATGTTCGGACCGCACAATATTAATGACGGCCACGCGTATTATAAAATAATAGTAATAATGATAATAAAACGTACCTGGCACTTGACACGAACATCCACCGTAGCCGTCGTTACAATGGCAAAGGGAGTCGAGGCAGACGCCGTTCTGACAGGGCGTTCCTTCTTTCGCCTCGCAGTCATCTGAAACAATAGCAATACATGGTGTTAATACTATGCAAATAATATTATTGTACACTGATTACACCGCACGAAGGACGACGAAAGACAAACACAATCGTTGTACCTAACATTACAATGCGGCCTCAAAGGCATTCAACGTCAAAGGCGTCGCAAGACGGCAAATAATAATAATATAATGATCCACCTTGATCGACCGTATCGGCTTTCGGCGACTTGAGGAATTTTAAAGATGTAAATAAATTCGCATATGCAGTTTTAAATTACAACCGTGCGCTCGTGCATTGCATTGGGTGTGCCCGTATGTTTTTTTTTTCAACCCGTTCTGCTGGTTTCTTAATGTTTTTGCATCGTCCACTTCGAAACAAAAGTACAATCCGATTGTGAAACGAAGAAAAACGATCAACAACCATCATATTCTCTTTCGGATCCACCTCATAAACTAGTAACGTTCGACTAATTGGTATTAAAGCCGTCACTTCCAACTAGGGCATAATATTTTCACATAAATATGTCTTATGACGGATGATAAGGAATTGCTGATAAGATACAGCTAATAATATAATGGCTTCCGATGAGAGACAGATATTAGTGAAATTCAGACTCCAGAAATGAAGGGGGAGGTAGGAGATTATTAATTATAGTGATCGGGGTGAGAGAGGAGGATATTTTGGGAAACAAATTAACATGAACCTTCTTATCATAACACATATTCAAGATCCAATGTTTTTCCTACGAGGGAAGAACTAATGTATTTTTTTTTTTTTAAGTTTCGACAAGGGCTTAACAACAAAATACAAGTATGTGGTCGTTTTAAACCCAAAGCCGCATTAAACTGTTGTGTAATGGCAGTATACGAGTCTGGCCGGTCGTGTTGGACGTACACGCCGAAAATAAGTAATATGAAAAAAAAACAACAATTCTCATGGTCCGGCTGGAAGAAAAGTATTTTTTGTGAAATAATTCGTGAAAAACGGATCCGGAGACGGTCGAGTGTGGAAAAACAAACGGTTTACAGTTAGGTATCCCGGTCGACACGGGAGAATACAAAATGCACACACGCAGAAAGAAACGGATGCATCGCAAGAGTCCAATTACAATACATACACACGGCGACGACGAACGGAGAATAAGAAAGGGGGAAAAAAGCGAATTAAAGCGACACAGCGCCGGTGATTATTAGTGCTATTATATATATTTTTTTTCAAGTCTAGGTCGTTCACCCAACGGTCAATCGCATGGGTACGATACTATACTATAATATCGTAGGTATGTATATCCGCATGAACGCACGATTTTCTTCCTGGCATCCCGGTTTATTTTGCTCTCCGGATCGCTATTGGTATCACGCTATTGCGGAAAACACTGGGCACAGGTGGTACGATGCCCGTGTAATACAGGGTGTATCAAAAATAATGGTGCGGTTTCAAACGGCAGCGCTCTGGCAGGACCTAAATGATTCAAGGCCTACCAGGAGCGCTGTATGAGTCCAATACCTGACAACCTACAGCCGTTTGAAACCCCACCGTTCTTTTTGATACACCCTGTACGTTTCCAGACCCGTTGCCGATAGTAGTAATTACAAAGACAGCCTCCTTATAAACACTGCGCCGGTCGTGACAACGGGCCTATAATGAAATCTTAGCGGAGATCAGCAGTGGCCAGGTCGGAGGCAGGTCCCGCTGTTATTTCTCGTATTCCTCTATTTCTTGCTGCAGTACCCACATCGTTTCAAACTGTTTGTTACATATTATATGCGTACATACAGACAACACTCGCGTGTACTCCTCGGGTATAATTATCACGTTATAAATTATATACTCGAGCAGTGTGCGCGCCAACGTGTTCCGTTGACCCCTGCACCGCAGTCATTAGGTCCAACGGGAGTTTGAGAATGAAGAGAAAAAAACCGTACACGCGGCGTGCCGAAGTTCCGGCCGTGTTGCATATTAAATTAATCGTTTGGCCATTATGTCCTTCCGTTTTTTGTACTTACTTTGGCCGGCCGGCCATCCGTCATTGTTGTTCGCCTATTGGTCGACGGTATCTATACGTGAGCGACAATCGCAAACGGCGAAGACCTTGGCCTTAACAAGCTAACGGTTCTCGCCGGATCCGTTGACAATATTGCATAACGTTACATAATGTGATACAATAATGTGAGGTGCAAAAAATATAACATTTCCACAAGGCTTTGACCGATTTGCAAACTTTAAATTACCCCGAATCAGTGTTACCGAAATAGAAATATGAAAAAAACAGCCCTTCCGTTCTACATTGTGGTCAAAGAAATTCGATCAAGCATCGACCTTGGTTCAACTTCTCGATGTCAGTAGTTCATATCAGCTTACAATGTTATTGTAAATTGTGTGTACAAAATAATTTGGCACAACTGCGTTTTGACCGATCAAAAATAGATGTTTGAAAATCTATTGTTTTACTACAAGGCACACTGTCTGAATTAGCCATGGTTGCCAACTGTTTAAGACCGCATTCGGTCCAACAGATCATCCAGTCAGCTTTGGAAGAGTCGATAGCTAAAAGTTACCTAGGCTTGACTACTATACTGGGCATTTTGTTAATACTAAATTCAATTAAGAGACTTGAAAACTAATTTTTAACATTTAATATAATAAAGATTTTTCTTGAAATCATTGACCCATACTGTATCTCGACTGCGTGACGAACGTCAACCATCCATCGACTATTCTTACTTGGAAACACTACATTTATATTACAATGTTTATCAATAAAAAAAACTAAGCAATACTTAACTATTTCATCTCATACAAATGGGGTCGTTCCCCGTAATTCTGTGTTTTCTTATAATAACAAACGCCTACATTTGGCGCCTGCCTACCTACACCTCTTCCTTCACATTAGTCCTCGTCCACTGGTTGTGAAATTCAAATATTTTATTATTAGTAATCGCTTCAAGTGGAGATGTAGCATTGCAGACTTTCGCCGAACAGATGCGTCGTAGGGAATTATTGTCGGTCGAAAAAAACAACTACAGTTATTTAATACCTTAAATTATGTTATGGTGTATTGCCGCTACACGTATGTATATTTATGACAGATTATTTTTTTTTTTTTGTTGTATTATTATACATAGCAAATTAATAATGATACGCGTACGACGAAATTCGATTTGCTCACTTAGGTGATCTGTCAACATATTCAACGGGGCGTTATGCAAATTAAGCCTAAGACGTGCGAGAAACGATATCGTCTAAGATGTTTGTGAAAAAATATTATCTTCGGCCATTTTTTTTTCTCCCTTACACTCTTCATAGTAGACACGATAATGATAATATGTTGGTAAATTATAAGCGAGAAAAAAACCCACGGGACCGTGAAACGTTAGGATGACAAAAAAAAAGATACTGCAGCTATTACCGTGGCGTGCGTGTCTCCAGTGCGTTATTATCATTGTTGTTTTTTTGTAATATATAATTTCTATGTATATACAGGGTGATCATATTTTTATCCCTATGCGATATCGAGTGGTTCCCTGTAAAATAATCACCCTGTATATAAATAAGGAAGATCCTCGTGACGATAATTAAATGGAAGTAGGAAAAATAAAAATACCACAATATACACACAAGGGGTTGGACATGTTTGGGAACAAAGTGACCCGGCATCGTTCATAATATTGTTTCGGGGGCGGTTATCCTCCTAGCTTGTCATTATTGTCGGCGTCGTCGGTCTTGGTTAATGTAACTTTACAGCATAATAACAACAATCGAGGTAGATTGCATGCATTGTGGGTGGTGCTCAAAAAAAAAAAACACAAAAAAACTGACTGACTGAACGTTGACATCCCTCCGACACACGTTGGGGTTGAACTCATCGCACAGGTACTAAAGGACCTCCGTGTGAAACAAATAGGTCTCTTGGAAAACAAATGCCTTATATTAATTGAATAACTCAATACAAGTCCGCCAATATTTTTCTTTGGTGTATTTTTGTAGTTGCCGATGAAAAAAATCAATTGTGACACTTGACTCTATGCGTTTAAAACAAATAAGAAATCGACCCTTTTGGAGTTGTGTATGGAGGTTTATTTTGAAAAATATCATCACAAGAATTAAATAGATTTATAAATTTTAATATAACCCGTTTTGTTGCCATTTTCGTCCTGTGGCTGTATTCGAAACCAAAATTAAAACTAAAATTGACTTTATGGTGTAAGTGATTTCGAAACAAACATTGAATACGGCTAGTTTTAATATAACCGTCGGATGGGTTGAAACCAACCACAATTTTTTTCATTATCAGTTTATCAGTTTGATGTTCAATATTTTTGCAAACCATGTAATAATACAGTGTGATCATTTAGGGTATACAATATAACCAAATTGGTCTTTTAGCTGGTTTTGAAACTAGACTAGATTTTTTTTTTTAATTTAAATTTAATTAAGACGTTTCTAGCTAACAATACTCCGTCGAATGTTACAGAAACTATAACAATAAAAGACTGAAGGGAAATGGTCCTATAATATATCGTGTATTTTGTCTTGGAATTAAAAATATAATTACAGGTTTTGACAAAAGACAAAAAAACCGATTCTCGGTATATTACATTGTCGATAGCGTTGATTACGTTTTGGGGGAAAATGTAAAAATCCGCATGTTTCGCAACACGTTCGGTCCACACTGTACACCTAGTCCGGCTATTCGTTTCGGCCGGGCATTGTTTCATAACTGATTATCGAGAATTTTATTTAAAACCCAATTTATTTTCCGAAACAAAAAAAAAAGTAAATAAATCGCTCGCAGACGTCTCGGTGGCGGTGGCGGCGACTTCTGATGACATATTAAAGTTTCTTTAAACAAAAATAACTACCATTACTTGGATGGCTTTCGTGTAAAGCGCCACGTCGAGTCAGTTTAAGCTGTTTTTCAGGAAGCATAAAAAAAACGTTCTACAAATATTGTCCTGTCTAGTCAATCAAAGTTTTCCATAGGGCCATAAGAAAAAACAAATATGACTTGTGTACACAAGTGCCCATTCTCTTCTTGTAATATATTGCCCTTTTATAACTTAGCATGGAACAATGTAGACTATTACGCACTATGTGTGAAAAATACTATACTTAAAAAATGTTGCATCAAATAAAAATGTCAAAAATTTACTTTGATAATATTATTATACTGCGTCGGTGGTGGTCTAACATTTTTTTTTATTTCATTTAAATTGATTAATTGATCTCCAAACTCCAAACCAAAGAAGATTAGTTTAGAAGACTTATAATAATATGGACTCTGACTATTTATCAAACCCGGTTTTTTTTCCTTCACACGTCAACACACCCGTGTGGCTCAGACATACACACACACGAGACGTTTGATTATTCAAACAACGAACCGGCTGATTATTAACCGTCGCGTCGTGTTGTTTGGGGTACGTCAACCCGCTTATTATATTCATATTGTGTACACGTGTAACCGTATAGCTGACTCACCCCGGTGCCTTTACACCGTATACTCTCCAAGACTTTGTGTAGAGACGAGCTACGTGCCTGTGTGTACATAAAACCTGGGCAGCATTTTTTTTTTCATGGGAAAGTATATACTTTTGAAACATAAATGGTAATTTCCAAAGATCAGGCGTGGGAGCTTTGGGAGATCGGCTATACGGTCCTACGATTCCTCTAATGGCGCTAATCACAATACAATACGAGACGTGTGATCGCGCTTTGTCTGTGTAATCATTACTTGCTGTTGTTTTGGTTTTGGACTTACCGGTGCACTTGAGCTCTCTCCTCAGCTCGTCGGATCCTTTGTAACAGTCCTGTTTGCCATCGCACAGCCTGGAGAGCTCGTACAGCTGCAAGACCGCAGTGGATTCGTTCACCTGGCAACCGAAATAGCCATCTTCCAAATTCAAAAAGAATATTTCTCTTTTGATACCGTGTCCGATTCCACCTTGAGCGTCAACCTGGAAAATCCAATACACACGGTTAGGTTAGCAAAACAAAAAACGCCGCATTAGCATTATTAACGACGTCTATAAATTTGATTGGAGCACAATCAATATCTTGTGGCATAGTAATTGTTATTATACCGTTGAATAGACACATAATAGACAAATGGAAACGTTAATGTTCACCCGGCAATATTGACTATAGCTTCTGGTAATTAACTGTGTTAATGTAACTGGCTCACTGTGTTGATGATCGCATTTTAATTATCGCCTAAGACTATAGCGTGCCCTATATTCCGAAACAATGGACCCCACGTGGAGTTATTAACCCTGAGAAATGATTTCGCATCGTTCCACGCGTTCTAGCATAGTCTCTGACTGGGACGACCGAAGCAAGCGCTAACAGGATTCGAGACTGATCAAACACTTTGAGGTTAATGTAATTTAATTGGATGTGCGTAATATTGTGCGTGGAATAACTTTTGATGAACTACTATTCGCCTATGGTTTTATTTCTGTTTAAAAAAAAAAATTAAATTGTCGGAAGACGGTTGAGCAATTATTGGCGAACGTTCGTTATATTCGAATGTCACGCAAGCTATTGGTCTTTCCGGCAATCAGAGTGTCAATTTTTCCGGCCACCGAATCAACAACGACGACGAAGACGGCATGCGTAACGCTCTATCAACTATTGCACGGTTTGTTGGGTTCGTTTAGGTTCATGTGGTCACACTACTTGAGGTGACGTCGCTGGTACCGTCTTCGTTCTGCCTACACAAGGTTATGACTTCCGAGTCGTACAAACCGTCACAGTGAAATAATAGCTGCACGCACTTTCATTGGTCCAAAGCATACAAACGACGAGGTGGAGAATTTCATTAGAGATGTTTGCCTAAACGGGTCAGCTTAACGAAATGATCTTTGAGAACAAGTCCCGAGGAGGCGATTATGTTTTTGCGTTTTAAGTATACTTTGATTTCAAAAATTAATTGCCTATACGAAACTACTTGCAAGTGATTATAATATTGCATGGCTAAACGCTTAAAAAAATAACACATCCCACGCGAGTATAAATTTTGTCCGCCTACGGTTAGGTAGTTATTATTTTAAAATTATACAATGTGTAAATATATAGATAAATTAAAGTATTTATGTAACCGAATAGGTGTGATCTCTGGGGAAAAAAAAATACAGATTTTGATCTATACAATCGCGATTTGAACTTTTTTACACGTCTGTCTTTTCATAATAATATGTAATATGTATAGCAGGCGAGATACAATTAGTAGTGTACCGTGTGTGTCGCATTCCGATTTGCTTGATGATTTGGCGTTTAAACGGCCGGTACAAAAGTCAATAAAATTCCCAAGGTGCGATTCATAAAAAATAAAAATAGTCAAAACACATGCGCACATAGGACACATACCGTTAAAGAAAAAAGTCAAATAAAGAAATAATATTACAAATGTGTTATTGTGACCGCTTCGAATGGAGAAATAAAATAAAAAATTGTCTCTATTGAACTAAACTAGTGAATGGAACCTATGTAGAAGAAAATCTCCTCGACCACCGCTGTCGTGACCGTTATGCATTGGGTTTTCTATAGGTTTTCCTCTTGTATATCTTGTGGTGTCTATACACTGCGGACACAAAAAAAAAAATACCCCCCCAAACGTCATCAATAACAATGACCAAGCACCGACTGGTCAATTGAGCCATCCAGCGGAAACGCGCAGTGTACGGATGAAAAAATAATTGCACACAGAATACTATACATATGGTTTCTTTTGATTCCAAGACGCTTCGTCGGGTTGTAGAAAATCCAAAAAAAAATAGGTGTTTTTTTGTTACATTAAATACAAAACTATCAGAAATAGCAGAGTACCGAAAAACGCATGTGTTTTTATCAGAAATTTTGACACTTTTGGTTAGGTTTAGAATAATTGTTTAGAGGTTAAAATTCGAAAGGTTAGGTTAGGTTAGGTTCCGGAGCTGTCATAGCTGTAAAGGGGAGAATGGGGGAATACCAGTCAGTGGGTAATAACGGTCAATGGCATATCTCTTAAAATATGATAGCTGAAATTTAGATGAGCACATAATTTAAAAACTGTTGTTACCAACATCTAATACCAGATGTTTCAAAATGATAAACAATTTTTATCAATTTTGTTGTAATATTTTTCCAAAATAAAACTAATCTCAAATTAAGAATTTCTAATTTTTTACTATACTGACTGTTTTTCTAATATATCACCATCTGACAGGGATTGCATTTATTTGCTCATAATATACATGTGTTTAAAAAAAAGTCTGATTGGGGTAATAACGGTCTAACATAACTTATGTAATAACCTTACCTAACTAATATTTCCATTGAACATAAAATGTCTTTGAACAATATCATTGTACAATAGGTCTGCACTGATAATATGATAGTTTAATTATAATTTGTGTGTTTTTTAGGAACTTAAATTTTTCCCTATTATTTTACATGTGTTTTTGGTGAGCACTTTTTTAAAAAAAAATTTTAACTTAATTTTAAAAATCTGAAACTTATATTATACAAAACACCGACCGAGTCTGTAGTTGGATTTCAAGAAAGAACGGAATTTCTGGACAAACCTAACCTTCCCCTTAGTAATTACAGGTTTTGCGATTGCGCCAATATTATGCGTTTTAGGCGAACCTAGGGGCCTAATGGGCGACTTACTTTGAAGTTCTTAGAAGTTTGGGTTCAACTCTAGAGATTCTCGTGCAACATTACGAAACCATTGCCATGTGCAGGAGGTCATCCGCTCCGGCGTGGGTTCCCGGAGAAACCGCTAGCTTACCCTTATATGGGAACCCGAGTCGGTCCAAGGACGTTAATAGCATTATCATTTTGTGTGTGTGTGTTTCGCATGTTTATATTACACAGCTCGCTTTGATGCTTATAATAATAATAATATACTGTTAGAATCGCGATTATAAAATACTCTGAGAATGCTGCATAATACGCATTGTGGGCGCCCACGAAGACGCCACGGTGTTGCATCATACCGAATGAAATTTCTGGGTGAATGTCAACAGTGGAAGAGTGGGTAAAGAATATGCATTGTGCCTCGGATTCTTTTGCTCTAGATTTACAATCGAGTAGGATCAAATGATAATAATAAAAACACACACACTCACATATTATACATTTCAAGGCCAAAAATCGAGAACCCACTAGCCGTTGTGTAACACATACAAAAGGAAAAGAGAAATTAAGATCACAAGTCTGACGTTTTGTATCTTATCTCTCATCTCAGTGACCGTCTGACTCTTGAAACTTAAATGGTAACGCAGAATAATGTACTAAAAGTTTTGACAACCAGTTTTGGATAACTATTTTTGAAGTTTAGGACAGGAGATAACCCTCAGAGATATTGAGTGGTTCACGTTAAAAAAAAAAATTCACCCTATATTTCTACTGTTATTCTATCTTATACTTATGTTCGGCGCGTTTACTCGATTGTAGGCAGGTGCAATGAGTGCCTAAGTACGGGAAATAGTTTCTTGTCCATACAAACCCCACCGTGCTCGATGAAAACGAAACAACAACAATTTGTAATAGCTATACGCGATGCGCCGTACACGTTAGCAATAGACTATATGGCATATTATGTGTGTAGAAATTTGACCCGTTTTGCCAAATAAGGGCCAGCGAAAGTGAACCCTCTCGTCCGTCCCGATTTGGGCAGTCCGGAAGACCGTCACATTAATCACCACTCCGTTCCTAGTATAATGTTATGAGTGCGCGTAAACGCGTTTTTTCATATTTTTTCGCGCCGTTAGTTTTTATGTCACCATAGAAAATAATATAGTATTATGCTTGGATAGATTAGGTTGAGGATATTGGATTTAGGTTAACATTGGTTGACAACGAGAAATTCGATAAAAGGAATGAATAATTCGCTGGATTAGAAAATCTCAATTCATAAAAGCGCCAGGCAGCCATTTTGTGTAACAATTTCATGGAAATGAAAATATGCTACGTTAGTTTTCCATGATACATAACTGCACCTTTATATAATCGATAAATCATAGATACTCTAGGTTAGGTGATGATAACATATGATGATGACTCTGTCGTGCATTTATCTGATAACCGTTCACACAAAACGGCATTTTTACTTGCTTATTTGATGCCAGCAATCCAAAATTCAGACTTACACGGCTTTGACATCAGCAAAAGCACAACAACATATTCTGTGTGTAATACTTAGCCCGCCAATTGGTCACACGTGACTCTTCTTTTGCCGTGATATTACCACTAATCACGCGCCCTTGATATACGTCCCCGTTGCACAACCACTGTCAATAGACAGATAGGTGGAACTAACGTCACTATTGTACCGGTGCATTTATTTTTTCTATTTGTATACATCTTTGTGCGCGCCTGCCTAGAGATGTATCGAAAATCCGACGACGTGTGGTCATCGATATAGTAATAACAATAATAATAATAATATATTGTGGGCGCTGTTGTTGATTTTCCTAGAGTAAAGCCGCTGAAGTGCGTGGGTACCGGCCAACACAAGACGGATGTCATTGCTCTCTGCGGTGCCTGAATGCAATTTACATAACATAATCGCCATAAAAAAAAATATGTATATAAATATATTACATGCCTAACGTATCTCGTTTGAACTTTAAAGCCGCCGTCGAAAATGTCGGGACAACTATACCATGCGATGCGTAATAGCGCTATAGAGTTTGTGAGGCTATTGAGTAATTGGATTTTGGATAGGTTGGAATAGTCGAGTTTTAATAATAATCATCCGAGTGGTCCCCAACGAAGAATGCAGTTAAATTTAGAATGCAAAACCTTATCAGATTTGTTGTCCTCATGTTGTTGAACGGATTAATAATAAACAGCAGCCGCGTTGTGAGATGTTTAACGCGATAAGCTCTCGGTTTATTAAACTCCGTCGTGCAGTGTAATACACTGTAATTGCATAGTTTATTTAATACTATGCTTAATATTTTCGGTG